ACCGAGGGAGCAACATGTCCGTGGACAACAAATTTTAGAGACCATGTTCGCCTAGTACGGAAAAGTAACCACATCTGAGGACGAATGGAGCCACACTACAGTTGTGTTAGGAACGACACGCAACTGTTAGTTGGCGGAATGAGGACGAGGATGTGGTGGCCTCCCTCCCAAACAAAAGAAAGATCACAAAAAATTAAGTTAGAAGTTGACCCTCCCAGGCCACAAAGGTGAACATGCTGGCGTGGCATAGAGATCTGGGATACATTAGATAGAAAATTTTTATTATTTATATGACTGAGAATAAAAGCGTGGCTCTAGAGCCTATAACCACATCCTCGTCCTCATTCCGCCAACTAACAGTATATCGATAAACATAATCAAACTCAAACATTGTCCCTGCAAATGTTTCCTACGATAATACCTCGAAGAGAACAGAGTTGAGAGAAAGAATATTTGAAGATAAATGAAGATAGGTGAAATTTGCAAGGTCAAAGAAAAATTGACTTGATTGAGCTAAGGGGAATAGAATCAAATCAAGTTCGAATAGAACGTAGGAAAAGAGAAAGAAGAGACTCGTGTTTTCTTACTCTAACTAGAGCGCTTATATAAAGTAGCACAAAGGATTACTTGTATTCATTCAGCATAGTGTAACATATAAAAATATAACTTAGGCATTGTGGTTAGCTAACTATGCCACAGATTCATGACAACGATAATGAAGAGTAACTTATATGGAAGAATACTGTGGTCCTGAGAAAAAATGTTGCAGAAGAAGAGGGCTGATAAGCATAACTATGACTTACGACATAAAGGAAGGCGAGCACAAGCGTCAGGTAAGTTGATGTGATATGTCCAATGATTATGAACGATATATCAGCACTTATCATCAATTGAGCCTCAACTCATTACAGTCAACACAAGAGCGGGTGACACTTGCTCAATTGTTGCACAAGTGTCTCAAACGACCTGCTATCAGTCCCAGTCTACTGCTGGCTCCCTAATGGCTACAAGTACAAGCGGAGTAAACCAGAGGGCCGAGCCGCTGAAAGGATTCTCTTCAAAGGGTGGGTGTCTGCAAACGCACGCCTTAAGTAGCCAAAAACTGGCATACTAGAGACTACCTCCCCGAGCTCATGATGCTCATGGACACCTCCTCCCTCATCAACTATGTCCAAGAACGAGTGGGTCAGCCGTACGACAGGCTGGCTAACCACCGAAACAACCAATATCCAATCGAATACTTTCCTCGCCACAGCAGACCATCACCTGAGTGCTCTACACGATAATGCACTCTGGAAACACCCACATGAACGTAAATTCATATACCTCAGCAAACATAGCGTCATTCCTCCCCACTACTCTAAACTAACTGGACTCTTTTTATGAGATTTTTTTCCATATTTTACGCTGATGATAAAGCAGCTATAAAGTACAATGTTAAACAGCATCAACTTCATTCGTCAATGCCTGAATATTTGCAATCGACCAGAATGCAAGGAAGTTCTGAGGCGATATAGCTTAGGCGGCTGACCATCAAGAGTAAGCGGTATTCTTTATTACCCGTAGTTTCATAAATATTGAAACTTGCCTTAGATTAATTAATGAAGCTGGAACATTTTGGCAGTGTTTGCGTCCTTCAGACGAATGTTTTATAAGGAATATATCTTGGTGAGGTGATCTTTTCACAAGAAAATGAAAGTTCTGTGAAGCTTTTTTTACGCATACTAAAAAGTCTACATGTAGTAAGTACATAAGCTCAAACAATACCAAATCAAAGATACATAACTGCAAGTGCCTTCTTACTGCTTAGCAATTTGTGGAATGGTTGCCATACCACTTGGTGTAACTTGTCATCAATGAGGTGATACTTCATGACAAATGTTACTGCCTTAAATTGAACAGGGTATCATTAACAATAAAGTTGTAATTCTACTCATCGTCGGGTACCTTTTCAATGAACTATGGCCGCCCTTTGTTTCTACTATCAATGGGTGCGAATCAGTTTCACACTTACTTCGTTCACAAAAACTACCAGAGTCAACCGCAGTTTCAATAACCTTAACACCGCTGGATCTGATTTGTACCTTAAAATAGTACCTTAACATACGCATCACTCGAGGTCCACATATTTACTGTGGTTTTCCGATTATTACAAGAAACACAATGGTTTCCAACACAGACAGCATGTCAGCGTTCCATAACATCTAATGAAGATGGTACGGTTAGAATTGCTGCATGTATGTCACGTAATGGGCATTGCACATGCTGGTCGATTGTTTGCTTTTTATTGCAAAATAGCCTTTATTCTATGTTAGAATTAAAGTTATATGCAAAGCATAGGTTGCCATTCACTAAAGAGGCGAAAACCCTGCTATCAAGAAATATGTTGAGACGGGGTTTGGTACACGTACATTTAGCATAGCGTATGACCTACTTTTGGAGCCGTGCTTATGCGAAAACATTGATCGATCCAGTATTTTTAAAGCAACCATTATCACTTGTAAATTATGCAATAAAGCCAAGCTTGTGGATAACCCCATTATGAGACAGGAACCAACACTTGCTGGTTAGCATTCGTAGCATTCGAAAACCTTATTGGGAGAGTTTTTTTTTTATCTCTCCAAAAAAAGAAAGGGCTAACAGCGTTGTTTGTTAAGCATTTTGATCTTAATCAATAAGTAGGCCACTTTCGAAGAGGCATGAAGATCTCAGCAAAAGGGTCCACACATGCATCTTTGGTACCGGTTTGACTTTCCACGTTTTCAGTTTGCTTACGTGGATTGAGAAAATTGTTGCGAACCTGACGACTATGTACGTCAGCAAGCATCAAACTGGCTGATTGAGCGTAAGTTGGCACGCTCGAAACGGCCGGCTGAATTCAATAGATTTCTGTCAGCAAAATAAAACCAGAAATTTTCTATAGTTGGGGTGAAACAGAGTTAAGTCTGACACTTGGAAGCAGAATCTTCGTCATGCGAAAAACAATGGAGCAATCAAATTCACAATGAATGGTTTCAACCAAAGGAAAAGCAGCGGCACATGTCAATTTGGATAGCTAAGCTGAACCGATGACCTTGCCGCGTCATGATCTTTTCCTTGGATCTGGCGTAGCTTTCCGATGGTAACCCCTATTGTCACACCTGCAACACGCATTACCACGTTATACATCACTATCAAGCTAGTGTATCTTCCAAAGCTTGGTAAGATAAAGCATGGCAAAGTAATACAGGGTAAGCACACGCACAAGGATACCGACAGAATTAAGATTACATGAGCAATATGATCAAGTAATAGACGTACATGGGCTACCGGTTACATGGACCGAGTGAACGATCGGGTTTAAGTGCCGTCTTTCTTTATGATCTCTGACGGCAAGATATATGGGCCGTCCAGAAAAGATTGTGCAATTGCCATATTTGAAGCCAAGAGCTCGCGGAAATAAGTATCGTCGCTGGGCGTGAGCGCACTATAAAGTTTAAAGTCCTTTCGAATTTTAGAAAATCAGGTTTCAGATGCTCCATGCTTTGCTCACTGCGGTTCGTGAGGAGTCCTGTACTCTCTGCAACGCACGGGAAGCAAAGAAGGTGAAAGGGATGGTCAGATAAGACCATTGGATGCGTTGAGTTTGTGAGGTAGCCATAACAATGAAAGCCGAATTTGACTGGTTGCTGCCACATGCAATTTCTTTTGTGGAGCATTTCTCGATAACTAAATATATGCTTTCTCCGACCCCTCTTTCATTGAATCAAAGCCTTAAAGATATCCCGAAATTCCTGCCCTTTTGATTGGCTGGTTATCCGGATAGCTTTCCCTTGCTCTGAGGAATAGGCAGATCAAGCATCCACGCTTCCGTTACCGCAGACACAACATGGTCTCTTGATGCATTGATTTTTAAAAACGGCGTAGTATGATGGGAATATACTGATATGATGATGATTAAAAAATAAAATGACCCATTTTCTAAGGCTTGACCAAGATAACTGGGTTGTTTAGGAACGTGATAAGCAGATCAGAGAGGTAACAATTCCTCCTTATCGCTATGGCGTACCTTAAGAGTACCACACAAATATTTCCAAGGTGTGCCGTAATGAATGATATAGAGGTATTCGTGGGCCATTATAGTGTATCACACGGTATGAGCCCTTACGCGTTTGTTCGAGTGATTTGACTCAATCGAACCTGATCTTGTCCCGGTCAGAATGCCGAATTACTATGTGAGGATTTTGATTGGCTCGGATGTATAAGACACCGACGTTCGCTGGAAAAGATTCGAAGACCAGATTTGAAACCACGCATTTGTTGCGCATTTGTGCGCCGGGCGATCAACGAGTCAGACTGGCATGTCCATAATTATATAAAGACCTGGCTTTCTTTGCGTCTGACATCTTCCGATTCTTGTATATTCCACCATCTTTTATTTTACACATCCTTTCTATATTCTAATTACATAAATCGTTAACATGGCCTCCAGTATTTCACGGACGGCATCGGTGGCGACCACTAAAACCGTCTCCGTTCATCTTAACGAAAAAGATCAAGAAACAATTCCTATGTCAGGAGTAACAAACGACAAAAAAGACAAAAAGTCCAAGAAGGACAAAAAGGACAAGAAGGAAAAGAAGGAAAAGGAACCCGCCGTTTCCTTCCTTACACTCTTCCGTTTCGCCACACCATTTGAGAAAGTCTTGATTGTCATCGCTACGATCTTTTCAGCCGGTGTTGGTGCTCTTCAACCTATTTCTATCATTATTCTTGGTCAATTCTTGAACAACATGACTGTCGCTCTTACCATGTCACCGAGCGAAATGGTCGACTTTATGCATCCCGTTATTATGACATTCGTCTATATGGGTATTGGTGCCCTTGTCGGTGCCTATGTCTGTCAATGTATCTGGGTTATGACAGGTGAAAGCCAAACCCGCCGTATCCGTCAACGTTATGTTCATTCCATTCTTCGTCAAGACATGGGATGGTTCGATATGGCTGATGAAGGCTCTCTTACTACTCGTTTGGCTTCTGACACCAACATGATCCAGGACGGTATTAGTGAAAAATTCGGTCTTTTCGTTCAAGGTCTTGCTCAATTCATTACTGGTATCGTCATTGCCTTTGTCAAAGGCTGGAATCTCGCTGTTGTCATCTTGGCCACTCTTCCTCTTATGGGTCTCTGCGCTGGTCTTATGGGCAAATACATTAGCAAGTACAGTATCATGGCTCAAAATGCCTATGCCGATGCTGGTTCCGTTGCCGAACAAGCATTTTCTGGTATCCGTACCGTCTTCTCCTTCACTCTCGCCAAACGTTTTGCCGATCGTTACGATATTCAATTGGAACGTGCTTATGTTGTCGGCAAGAAGCGCGGTCTTGTCATCGGTGCCGGTTTCGGTTCCTTCATGTTCATCCTCTTCGCTACTTATGGTCTCGCTTTCTGGTATGGTTCTCAACTTGTTATGCAAAGCAAGATGACTGGTTCCAATGTTCTGGTTGTCTTCATTTCCATGATTATTGGTGCTATGTCACTTGTTCAAGTTCCTCCCAACTTGGCTGCTGTCTCTAGTGCTCGTGGTGCTGCCTACAAGATCTTCCAGACCATCGACCGCGTTCCTACTATTGATCCTGATGATGAAGGTGGTATCAAGCCTGCCAAGGTTATTGGTAACATTGAATTCAAGAACGTCCAGTTCAAATACCCCACCCGCCCTGATGTCACTATTCTCAAAAATTTATCTTTGGAAGTTAAGCCTGGTATGACTGTCGCTTTTGTTGGTCCTTCCGGTTCTGGAAAATCTACCAGTGTTCAACTTTTGCAACGTTTCTACGATCCCCTCTCTGGAAGTGTCACCCTCGATGGTCACGATCTTCGTGAACTCAACTTGCGCTGGCTTCGTTCCAACATTGGTGTTGTCAGCCAAGAACCCGTTCTTTTCAATATGACTATCAAGCAAAACTTGTTGATGGGTGCTTCTCATGAAGTCACTGAAGATGAAGTCATCGAAGCTTGTAAGAAGGCTAACTGCTACAATTTCATTACTCAACTCCCTCAAGGTTTGGACACTCTCGTCGGTGAACACGGTGGTATGCTTTCTGGTGGTCAGAAGCAACGTATTGCCATAGCTCGTGCTCTTTTGAAGAACCCTGCTATCTTGCTCTTGGATGAAGCTACCTCTGCTTTGGATACCCAATCTGAACGTCTTGTACAAAAGGCTCTTGATGCTGCTTCAAAGGACCGAACTACTATTGTTATTGCCCATCGTCTTTCTACTATTCGCAACGCCGATCTCATTGTTGTTATGCAACAAGGTGATCTCATTGAACAAGGTACTCACGACGAGCTTCTCAAGCTCGGTGGTGTCTACAGCGAACTCGTTCTCAAGCAACAGATCAACACTGAAAAGGGTGATGACAAGTCTGATGAGTTTGAACTTGACGACCGTGAATTGGAAAAGGCTCTCCAGGAAGAAACTGTCAACGTTGCTACTGCTGTAACTGATCAGAATGAAAAGATCGCTGAAACTCACATCAAAATGGCTGACAGCACTGAAAATCTCGATGGTTATCAAATGAAGTTGCTTAAGGCTAAGGAAGAAAAGAAGTTGCTCAAGAAGCAGAATGCTCCTATCATGAAGGTTCTTAAACTTATGAGACCCGAATGGCCTCTTATGGCTGCTGGTGTTTGCGGGTATGTACATTTAAACCATTTGTCTAGTTTTCAAAAATAGCATGATCACTCATTTCTTTTATTCTCTTTTTACAGTGCTGCCGTTGCCGGTACCATCTTCCCCATTTATGCTCTCGTGTTCTCTCAAGTCATTATGATTCTCACCAACAACGCCGGCGATCTAGGCGCTATTGCTCCTGGTCCTCTTGAAGGTGCTAATTTGTATGCCTTCCTCTTTGTTGTCATTGGTATTGCCGCCTTGTTCTCTTTCTTCCTTCAAGTCGCCGCTTTCGAAGTTGCTGGTGAACGATTCACCAAGCGTTTCCGTGGTATGCTCTTCCGTTCTCTTCTCAAACAAGAAGTTGGTTTCTATGACGAAGATGAACACAGCATGGGTGCACTTACTTCTCGTCTTGCTGTCGATGCCGCCAATGTCAACGAAATGGTCACCAAGGTCTGGGGTGATGTTACCCAAGTTATTGTTACCGCTATCACTGGTTTGACCATCGCTTTCGTCTATGGCTGGCTTTTGACCTTCATCATTCTCACCATGGCTCCCTTCATTCTTGGTGCCGCCTCTTACGAATCTCGTATCCATCGTGGTTTTGAAAGCAAGACCAAGAAGGCCTACGAACAATCTGGTGAAGTTGCTGGTGAAGCTATCAAGGAAATCCGCACTGTCGCTGCTCTTAACAAGCAAAACCACTTTGAAGGCAAATTTGATCTCGCTACCGAACATCCTCACAAACTCGCTGTCCGCAAGGCTTATATGGCTTCTTTGGGTTACGCTGGTCAACAGAGTATGATGCTCTTCACCAACGCTGTTGCTTTCTACGCCGGTATCCGTCTTATGTCTGAGGGAAAGATCTCTTTCACCGACATGTTCACTGTCATGATGGCTGTCATGTTGACTGCCCAAGGTATGGGCCGTGGCTCTGTCTTCACCTCTACCTTTGCCAAGGCCAAGCTCTCTGCTCTCAGCACTTTTGAAATCATCGATCGTGTCTCCAAGATCGACCCTGATCAAGAAGGTTTCGAAATTGATACTGCCAACGTCCGCGGCGACATTGCTTTTGAAAATGTTGCTTTCAGATACCCTGCTAGACCCGATATCCCTATCTTCAGTGGAGAATTCAACCTCAAGGGCAAGCGTGGTCAAACCATTGCCCTCGTCGGTCCCTCTGGATGTGGTAAATCCACTACCATTGGTATGCTTCAACGTTGGTACGATGCTGCTGAAGGAAACGTCAAACTCGACGACCGATCTGTCACTAGCTACGCTGTCTCCAATCTTCGTGCTCATCAAGCTCTTGTTGGTCAAGAACCCGTTCTGTTCGATATGACTATTGGTGAAAATATCCGTTATGGTATTCAAGATAGTCAAACTGTTACTGATGAAATGGTCCAAGAAGCTGCTGAAGGTGCCAATATCCACAAGTTCATTACGTCTCTTCCCGAAGGCTACAACACTCGTGTTGGTGATAAGGGCTCTCAACTTTCTGGTGGTCAAAAGCAACGTATTGCTATTGCCCGTGCTCTTATTCGCAAGCCCAAACTCTTGTTGTTGGATGAAGCTACTTCTGCTCTTGACAGTGAATCTGAAAAGCTTGTACAAGAAGCTATCGATAAGGCTATTATTGAAGGTGGTCGTACTACTATCACCATTGCCCACAGACTTTCCACTATCCAGGTAAGAATACGTTGCATAACGCGATGTCACCAAATTGGTACATTTTTTTTTGTTTATTTTGATCCATGTCGCTCATCCTGCTTTTACACTCCTTTTAGAATGCCGATTTGATTTGCGTCGTTAGCAACGGTCAAATTGTCGAGCAAGGTACCCACTGGGAATTGCTTGAGAAGAACGGTGTGTACAAGGAACTTGTCACCCAGCAATCCTTGCAAGCTCATTAAGCAGGTTCATACCACATAACATCCCTCCAACCAAGAAACAATATCCACGTCCCCTTTAGAACTCTGCAAGCCTTACAGACTTTTGCTTTGCATACTTATACACAGAACATCTTCCACTACAGATTTGTAAAATAGTATATGTCTTAATTACTCATTATAAATGATGCCAACGCTTTATTATCATCCATGTTGAGTGATGACCCTTTTGGGAGGTGGTGTTCCAAAAATAAGTCTTGTCAGCGCACTTTTCGCTAAAGAGTGAACCGAGATTTCATCGGGAGCCACACCGCTCCTAAATTTAAAATTTACCAGTACTGCACTGATTTCCGTTGTTCTTTCATCTAGCATTTTGATCCCAATCACTCATTTATTAACATGCCTTTAAGAACGACCCTTTTGATATTATTGGTTGCCATTACACCTATCTTGGCCATTGTGCCCAAAAACCTGGTCATTTTTGGAGATTCATATTCTGGTACGGATACTAATGCCATCGCCTTTGCCATCTTTGTTGCTCCAATGGTCCGTATTAATCGTTCCAATCTATAGATGTAGGCAACCTCCAGCGCCAAACGAATGGTCCTCTGTGGGTAGAGGATGTAGCTTATGCCTGGAATGTTTCGGTTTATAACTTCGCATTCGGTGGAGCTACCTGCGATTCTGACCTCTATGCTTTGGATCCCAGCGATAAGTCCCCTAGTCTGCGAGATCAAATCGAAATATACTATGATCAGAAATTAGACCTGAAACCCGAAGAAACTATCTATGCTATATGGATCGGCATTAATGATGTAGCTCTAGCCACAGGTATGTAGTTTAGCCTCCTACCTCTTGACTTTTTTGGATCAACCCCGTTGAATGACACAAACAATGGCTCTATTACAGCTGACAATGGAGCCAAGCCAGTCTCTCCGAACGAAATCACATCTTGTGTCCGATCACAAATCGTAAGTAGCATGGAATTTTTGTCGGGCGCTCAGGTAATGTCGAACTGGATCACTGATACCTTTTTGGTCATAGGCTACCCTCCGTCATTACTTTAAGGCAGTCAATATTTTGTTGCTGGAAGTCCCGCCATTGGAGCATATGCCATTCTTCTTTGAACAAGATCAACGTGGAGATGCCTCGCGCAAAGTTAACACCTTGTTTGTTGTTCAAAATGCTGATTGGAGCAGCGAGCTAAATATTCGACTCAAAATCATTTATACTCACCAATTGCTGGATAAAGTCGTCGCCGCACCTGCGTCATATGGATTTAACAATGTAACGCACGGCTATTGGGAAGTTTGTACAGGCACCTGTACTGACAACGAGAACGACTATCTTTGGTGGGACGCTGGCCATTTGACAGGTGGTAAGTATATTGGAATGCGCGTGAGTGTTGGGTATTTCTGTACTTTCAAGTGATTAACTGGATTACCCTATGTTTAGCTGGACATAAAATCATTGCCAATGAAATCATCAGAGCTTCGCCTTTTGATGTAGAAGCTTATGAAGTGGACGATGTGGATTATGTGAAGGAAGCCTTAAGTGAACCAGCCACAAAGCTCAAATCTGACGTGTACAAGGCGAAATCGGCTACAGGAACATTGGATAATGCACCAGAGAAGGAAAAGGAATCTACAGCAAGTAGCGGTGGACTTCAACGTCCAATGTCATCTTCCAACATGACCTGGAGCAGAGTGTATGCTATATGGATTCTACTGCTTCTCATCATGACGTTCTTCTGTTGCTTTTCAGTCGGAAGAGCTCGACTTACAACCATCATGGCATCTTTCACCACCAAATACAACTCCCGAGGTCGTTTTGTACCCCTTAGAGACTTGGAGAGCTCGCGAGAATGAAATGAAGAAAAAAAAACAGTGCAGCGTTTACCGCTTGTCTTTACAGGAAAGACATGTAAATATATCTATACGCCATTTTGGTATCTATTCACTCCAATAAACTAAAAATTATGATGAAACTTGTTTTGATGATGCGTCTGCCTATGTATTCCGGATACATATTGCAAATTCTATTAATACTATGCCGTGCTCTGCAGTCTAGGCTTGGCTGTGATGTCCTCAGTTCAAAGAAAGAGGTAAAGGGAGGGGATATTGGAAGTTATAGGAATACATGGGTTTCGTCTAGAGTACATTTACAAATTATTGTTGACTATATTGCGCGTCATCCTCTGGTTTAGCGTTCAGCCATAGCCACGAGTAATCAGCATATAGATTATCCGGAACACTGTTGCCTACAAAACAAGATCCCAGAGTGATCAAGGGCCCCAAACAATTTGTCTGCATAACTGCCTTTTTCTACAAAGATGGTAAAGAGGTAAGTAAATTAACGTATCTTTGTTTTGTATGCCTCGTTCATATCAACTTACGTGGCCAAGTGAAATCTTGATGAGGGGGATGTCTTTGCTGACATAAGGTTCTGGACCACCCTCTCCCTTGATGTCCTTCATGATGTTTCGGAGAGCTGCAATGCTCTGTAGCCAAGCATAGTGACCGGTCTTAATATCGGTGCTTTCAATTACATCACCCACAGCATAGATGTGAGGATATCGTTCATCACGAATTTGCAATGTGGGCTGAACCTGAATAAACTTAGTTGCAGAATTGATGGTCTGCTCAGATAGCTTAGATAACAGATCGCTATTGGGGGACATTCCAATACATGTAATCTGTATGCGAGCTTTAGTAATTATAATCGGATGCAAATTGCTTGCTGGGCTGAGATACTTACTGCAAGATCCGCCTCGATAGTACGCCCCTTCTTTGTCTGGATGACAAGTGGTTTCACCTCCAATGGGAAACCATTCTCTGGAAGGTTGACGCGATCTCTCATAATTTGACGCACACCAAGCTTATTCTTGAGTAAATTGTAGGTCATTTGATGGAGACTATACTTATATGGGGCAAGATATTGATCGCGAGAATGAATCAGCGTCACCTCTTTTTCTGGATAGTAATCTTTAATCTCTGCAGCCAGTTCTTATGAAAAAAAGCCAAACCTAACGTCAGTAAGAACCGCCAGAACGTAGTAATTTATAGACCTTTTATCTTACCTAGACCAACAGCACCACCTCCAATAATGACGGGTTTCTGACTCTGCCGTATCAAATCTTGATACACCTGCAAGTATCCTACTCCTTTGGCTTTATCGTATGCTTCAAAATGACCGGGAGCAGGGATACTTGTACCAGCAGCGTAGATCAAATGTGAGAATGGTACGAAAGACCCAAATCCCTCTACTTCGCGGTCGAGTTCAACCTTGTTGGGATGTATGGCAATAGCCTTTGCACGGATGACCTGGCCGACCTTGTTGTCCTTGTTGAACATGTTATCGTAAGGTACAAACAAGGAGTCTTCAAAACCAGACTTAACGGCCGCACGAGGAAAAGCATAGACGTGGTGGAAGTGACTCTTCTGTTCAATAATGATGAGACGATGGGAAGGCAGAGGAGCGTCCCTCCAAGTCACTGCACTGCCAATAGCTGTGAACTCGAACGGTCAGAAAAGAGCTCAATGGAAACATAGGAAAAAGAAGTTGATGTATACCTGCACATGAGCCACCAATAATAACAATGTTCTTGATATCTGCGGTAGGCATAGCTTATAGGGTAGAAAGCAATCGTAGATAAAAAAGAGTTGAAGTAAACGAGCTGACTTATCAGATTTTTATCAGATGTTTATTGGGGAATTTGTAAAGAGCGGGGGTTGTTTTTTTCATCTGATAACACAACTGAAATTTTAGAACCCTCAGAAACGTAAGATCGCGCGGTACAACTATTTCGCGATGACTGTACTTCGCTTATAACCTTTGGTTTCGATATCCTTAACAGACCATAATGATATGCCCATCTGATTTGCATCATACGGTTGTGCCATACTTCTCAAAAACTTCTTGGCGCTAGCGATGGCCATATCAGTGGAAAGGTTAGTTGAGGCATCCATAACATTTTCGTTAATCCACTTTGGAAGTTTGCTCCGTTTGTCGGCGCGGGCAAAGCGCTAATTTGTCCAATCAAGGTTTAGTACTGAGTTAAAAACATGGGCACGAGGGGCGACCTTCTCACCTTGTCAACAAACACCATAAGTCCATAATCTGTTTTACCACGAAGAACTCTTCCGACACACTGGGCAGCATGTCGCATGGCGTCGAAGGTAAGGAAATCGTTCTCTCGGATATGATGGTTGTCGCGAAGATATTCAAGACGTGCCTATTCAATAGCATGAGTAGAGAAGATGTTAAGAAAAGCCAGACACTCGAATTTGATAGCGGCGTAGCTAACAATGGTCACTCACCTTGAGAATACGAGATTCAGTGTACTGATAGGGAATGCCAAACATAATCACAGCACGGCCATAGTTATGATCGAAATCGATGCCTTCAGATACCTTACCCCGTGCAACAGACAAGAGGATAGCTCCTCGTCCATTATCGCAAGCCTACAGGGTTATAGATGGTTAGGGGAAAACGCTCACTGCCGAACCACAAGCGAATATAATGTTGTACCTTTCTGTAATTGTCCAGAGCCAATGTGGTTTCAGCAGCGTCAGGCGTTTCAACAAAGATCAATTTATGTTTCCAGGCTTCGTTCAAGATACCCTAAAGTAACCAAGTTAATCATCAAAGCATGAGTGAGGATTTCAATAGTAGCCAACACCCTACCATATCATTCCACATAGAGACAATCGACTCCATGTAAAGATAGCTTGGGAAAAAGCACACAATTCCATCTGGAACAGCTTTGGCAAACTCCACCATGATCTGACCAAAGTTTCGCACCACTGCTGGATCGTTTCTGACTTCAAACTTGCTGCTGATAGCAACTTGATCCGAACCTCTCGTTATCATCTATGAATGAGAGATTAGTAAAGTGCGATACATATTACAAGGAGCAGTCTGCCATACTTACCATTGGCAAGAAACATTTTCTGGTCAAAGTCATGGAATAACTCTCTTGCACAACCGCACTGAAGTCTAGTATCTTGGGATACATGTCCAAAGGTGACAGAGTACCCGATGTGATAACAACAGTGCTGAAGCGCTCAAACACGGGCCGTATCGCTAACGATGCGTCAAGACACCTAACAAAAAGGTGGTGAGTCTACAGAGAGTGAAGCATTCCAATGAGAAAGTAAGTGTTAGGCTTACGTAAAGTGAAGAATAGGGTTGGGTACGGTTGCAGTATCTGTTTCAAAAGGCTCCAAAATGAGAAGAAAACCTAAAGTAAAATATTGAAAGAATGCTCAGTAATCTTGGGCTTATTCCTTTCATCACGTACAGTAACATTACAGTCCCAATTTGCACTTACCTTTGTCATACGTCGATACCAGTGTAGCAAACCCGGCGACTTTCTGTAGACTGCCATAGTCATCGAGATCGGAAAGCTCCAAAGTTCGCACTAAACTGGTCAATCGTTCAGCACAAAATCGCAGTGGCTTCCGTTCAATGTATGTGACATCTTTCAAATGCTGCAAGAAGGACACTGGAGTCTCGGCAACCACATGCATGACACGTAATCGGGTCTACATTCCGAATCGTTAGATGACTCCAATCAAAATCACTTGCGCCTTCGTCTAGGCTAAATAAATACCTTTAGGTATTCGATGAATCGTCTCAAGAATGCAACAAAGTGTTCTGCTCGCCGGATATTGCCTGGTACAGCTTCTTTCAGCAAATCATCAGGAAGAACGGGATTGGACATATAGCTATCTTCATCGCGCGCCGCACTGGCATCACGTAGTCCTGGTGCAAGTCATTCATGTCAGCTCACTATGACCATTATGTTTCACAGAATCATACACACCTTCAACCAAACGGCTATACTCTCTCTTCAGCTTTTCAGCATCCGTTCGCTTAATCCTGTACAACTTGATCAGTATATATCTCCTATACAGCATATAACAGCACAACGCAAATACTCACTCTTCTATCCTTTCCGCCAACAGAGCCACACTTCGAGCACTTGCATCTAGTACCGGCCTAGTCAAGTCTATACTTAATGATTCAATGCACACATTGTCTAAATAGATATGAGATCAGGATGTGAGATGCATTTCATCTGTTACAGTCTACCTAGTCTTACCAATGTTGTGAGCTTCGTCGAACACGACGATACAGTCTTTGGAAAGCTCTTTGGACACAAGGTCAGCCACTTTGGGATCCAGTAGATAATGGTATGAGTATATTACAACGTTTGCAAATGAGATCTACATGACACCTTGTTAGAAGCAGTGATAGAAAAAATGTGTACGAGTAAATCGAGTTCTTACCGCTCTTCGTGATAAGTAGTATGGACAGAACTTCATTCTTTTGCCGTATTCCTTCAAATCTTCTAATGTATACACGCCGTTCGGAATTGGATTTGGCACATTTGTCGCTTCCAGTTGCTACAACGACATTGATTAGCACACGATATCAACAACGACACCCCAGATTCCAAAGACATACTTCATAGAAACCGCATAACTCTATGCTTGCTTGTTCTGCAGTCTGTTCTGGTGGAGCTTCCGTTGCTTCGCCACCTCGAGTCTTGCCAGCAGCAGCGCGAACCCAGCTTGCGGTCAATTCGCGACATTTTGTATCTACAACTCTATTCTTTCGCTCCTTAGAAACCACTGGGTGAAGACAGAGATTTTTACGACTCGTCAGTCCCAACGCGAAAAAATCCTCTTCAAGTCCACAGCTTTGCCGATATGCTATCAGTCTTTTTAATTCCGCAAGCGCTTTCTCAATCTCAGGAACAGTTCGTGAACAATAGACCAGTTTACGTTGTTGATTTCTATGGTGCTATTTCATGACATTAGAATATGCAAGTAAATAGTTGATAGTTGCGTATAGTTCATACCATTTGATAGGCTACAATCAATGCCAAAAGCGAGACGGTCTTGCCGGTTCCCGAAGGCATTTCCAAAACACAGTGACCCTTTTAGACGATGGTGTCAGTTTAAAAGTATTTGTATAATAGAAGACTTAAATTCTTAGCTACCTGCGCGTCCAGAGCCTTCTTTAGATCACACATGTAGTGATACTGCTCAGGGTAGATTTTATCATAGGGGAAATGAACTGTCAAATCGTCAATGTTGAAACTATAGGCAGCGAGGTTGCAATGTGAGCAATATGTATATCGAATTGACGTTTTGAGCCCCTTGCCAGTAGACGTAAAGGCAGCATGAACTATCGGCTAACAGCACTTACATCATTGTGCTTGTTGCAGATTCAAACGATCGCCAACGCTGCGGCAATTTCAACCGTCACTTTTACAAAAACTGGATTCGCTAAATTTTCCCTTTCGCGCCGGAGTTTGGCTCAAGCATGTCTACTGACTGTTTGAAGGCTTAACATGAGCAACAAAGGCAAATATGAACTCCAGCCCCGTTCTCGAAGCGCAAGCTGTCAGTGCCTCTCCAAACCTATAATGTTGGCTATGTATGTATCTGAAAACAATCGTACCTTCAGCACCAGTGGGATGGATCAGCGAACACCGATCAGAATAAGTTACGAGTCTGCGCATACTACTGTAGGTCAGATTTCTTAAAAAAATAAGTACACTGTATTTTGGTTATCAGAAGTACTGTCACAAATAACCATATCCTTACAAATAAAATACAATATCATTTTGGAGCGCCATCTTAATATAATCGCCATTCTCGTTGAGAGGACCGAAAGCCATTAGCCTAGTCACTATGATTTTAACATGAAAAAACGATATATCCATCTGAAAATCTAACAACAGAACGATCATAAGAAAGTTATCGAACATAGCACCTCTTGGTAGCAGCGGTACACTATTTCGGATTACAGTACTGCAGCAGCACACATTAACGACTGGCTTCAAAATTTGAGGAGTCCAGGCAGATGAAAACTTCAATGAATCGACACTGGCAACGCCCTACAATACATTACAGATCCCAAACAAAGATGTGCATTTGCTCTGTACGTATCCTCGGCATACCAACTTTTTATCATTTTCGCGAACTGTTTTTCAGCTAGGCACACCTTTCCGTCGCTGAGCCAGGCACTCTGCAATCGAAATTTTTTTTTTCAGAGCAGTCACTATTTTTTTCCTCCGCTGTCCAAATGAAAATCTATAAAAGCCAGGCAATTTCGCAAGCTGATGCACCTTGTCTTTTTATTTACCTAAAGAGACTGTAGCGAATTAATTCGCGCATTCTGGCGTTGATGACAAGGTGCCCGATACTACGGTCTGTATGTCTACTAACCTTCGGGTTGGAAGGCATGTGGTCGTGGATACGCACAGAGATAGCTGAGCCAGCAATCCACTAACAATTTATAAAACAAATTGAACATAAAAAAAAATCTCTGGCATTGTAGCATGCTACAAAGCCTTTAATGGTCATGTCTTGAGTCTACAAGTGAACCATCGTATAATCTACATTAGCATGTCTATGGATTTGCGATGGCAGTAGTAGAGATCTGCATGTCGGCTGTAGTTGATTGAATAAAAGAAAAGGAAAAAAAAAAAATTTTTTTTATAACCAGTCTCAATGGCTCGAGTTCATGATGGCAAAGATTTTGGCATTAAGATGATATCAGACATTTAAAAGTAGCTGTACGAGTTTACCTTCCAGTGACGGGATAAACGCAACGCATCTATAGAAAGTAACAGCTACAAGTATTTGTCAAAGGTTCAAAACCTTGAGTGGACATGAAGCGGAAGGCAACTTGGTCCAGCCGGTGACATAAGTTGAACATCCGAGGACAAATCACCGAGAAATTTACTAGAACTAATACTCTTCTCCACAACATACCATTAATCTCTTTTAACAAAGTGAAAAAACACTGGAATAAAACCTTTGTTTGTCTGCCAGGAGCAAATGAAGAAATAGAAAAATAGAAAAGCATAAAGGCCAATTTGGTTTTGTTGGCTTGCTTACGAAAAAAAAAAAATGAGGTGTACTGTTCAAAAGTGGAGGTTTGCTACAAGTAATGGAGAGTCGGTGTACATTGTGAAAAAGTGCAGGTATTAGGTACTACTACTATTGTAATGGGACAGGCTAGAAAGAAAAGGGATGTGGGTAATGGAAAAAAGTGTCATACCAATGGAATGTGTTGACATATTGCTTGGTGGTGAATACAAAATTTTAAAGGTGGTTGGTATCTTTAGTCACGTTGGGCAGGTTTTTTTTGGCCATAGGCAAAATGAATGTTTTCGTAGCTTTTGTGAATATCTGCTTCAGATAAACAGGCGGATGTAAGTGCTTGATATTGCTCTTCGCTAATGTTCCATGCAAGACAAAGTTGTGGCTTTAGGGCTTCAAAATTTGCCTTCCAGGACTGCAGAGTGAGCTGACCAAGCTACAGGAGACGGTTAGTCCATGCTGCCATAGCACTCGAAGAACACATCAGACATAACAAATGCTTACCTTGCCGGCCCATTCTCCTGCAGGAGAGGATATAAACGTTCTTTTAACGTTGATGAGACCATGTTTGATTAACAGCTTATCCAAATTGCGACTAGCAAATGGGTCCAGGTTACGCCCGCGCAGAACTTCGGCGAGCTTAGTATCGAAATCCTTAATACAAGGGCCAACTCGGTAGCGCTCGACGTCGCCTTCTACGAGCTCAATCCACGCTCCAGGCTTAGCCACTCGAACCAATTCCCGAATGACAGTGTCCCACTGCTCTACTTCGATACCCATATTGACAAATCTTATGATCCGACTTAGTATGAAACAAAGCAACCAATACATCAATTCCACCAGTGATGAATTACCTCATGAAGACATAATCAAATGAGCCGTCGTCAAATGGAAGCGGCTGGGTGATATTGGCTCGAATGAATTGGCAATTAGGCGGTTTAATTTCGGATGGAAACATGCTGGTCATATCAATGCCGACAAGCTCTGATTTCGGATATTCGCCAGCAATCTCCATGGACCAGGAGCCAGGACCGCATGCTACATCGAGAACGGCTGCACCGTTACGAAGGGAATCACTAACTGGAGCCAAGTAGTTGCTGTGGAACATAAAGCATGTCAGTCCATGTTTTCTTATTTTGTGAATTGTGCAAAAAGGAAACTTACCCTTGAATGGCAAACCGCACCATGAAATGCATCACATGTAATCTATCTATTTCTTCTTCATCGCAGGGATACAAGTATTCTGAGCCTTCCACATTGTGGAAACGTCTGCCAGCCACCCAAACATACTTTTCAGGTTCCGGGCTTGGCGAATTCAGGGCAACGAGACTTGGATTGGGACTTGGGCGTCGAGAACTTGAGCTACTGGTTCTCCGGCTGGTTTCAGCACTAAGGTTATAAGGAGATAAATGCTTGCTAGACTGTTGTAGAGGGTGAATGGTAGTGCTTGGAACGGTATCTGCTGAAAGGCGCCTGACCGATGAAAACTTGGAGAATGTTGATGACGACTTGGAGGATGTATGTGAGGAGATGGATCGAGGTATTCTGGTAGGCGATCCGGTATGGTCTCGGGAGTTTATAGTTGGTAGCGAAGCATGTCTGGGAGTATCAACCGATTGGCTATTCCCCATTGATACTAGAGATGGGATGCATGCACACCTTTTTGGAGAAAAGCCTGGTTGCCTCGCTAAGGCAACAAATTTGATGCATAAGTCCGGTGGGAGCAGTCCCGGCCTTGCAGGGTCCTTTGGCCTAGGAAGTCTAAGTGAAACTTCAGGGCACTAAAAATTGGTAACCGCAGACAAGGCATTAACACCATAAACCTGCCTTATGAAATTATCTTCCTTCTGCCTTACCTCTCTTGCTGTAGATACATTATCTTGAAAAATCAGTCGAAATCTCTCTGCACGCCACTTTTTAATTATCTTTATACCGGCCAAAATTTGTGTAATTGACGGGCCCCTTCCACCGGCATTTTTTCTTGTCTGTCTTGGCTCGTCCAATGTTTCTCACCATCGACCTGCTCTATTTCCCTATAAGCATAATTGCCATGCATCCCTGTATTATATTCTTCAAGAGCGAAAGATATTCACTGCCTCAATGCAAAGGGTGGATGAAGAGGTCCACCACCCCCTCTATTCTCAGCACAGTCCGTTTACGGAGCTCTAAAATTTGTCATGAAGTGTGCTGTATTGACCCCCACTCGTTCTCAATTCCTTCCATCGGTCTTCTGACACAACAGGTCTATCACAATGTGGTAGAAAAGCCTTTTCAAACTGCTCAGCGCTTGGCAACTGCCTCGTTGTATAGCCACGTACAATGCTTCATTGCCGTGTCTGCTACATTGGCCACTAGAATTTTTTCCGTGATGCGTACCTCGCATCACTTATATAAATGGGATTTCTTCATGCTCCATGGAATGAAGTCGGAATGAAAAGGAAGCACAGCACCATGCTATAAGCTGACGAGCGAAGGCACCAAATCAAGATTCACCTTTCACTGCAAAAATTTGAATGTCAGTGAAGGCGGAGCTAAGTTTTTTGGGAAACAGGGCCAAAACTGTTCCATTTTGGAGCATTCAGAGCGTGACAATGCCCCTGTCTCTCTCTTTTTTTTTCTTTTCAAATGGACGTCGTATCTACCACCACCCTGCCTCTCTCAGAGCTTCCTCAGTCTAGCGATGAGATGGATATGGACAACGATGTCTACTTCGATCGCACCACGTCTTCGCTACCTGCCAGCGCCTTAGACAGAGCTGCCATGGCTAAACTCAGACTTGAGAACTACTACAAAGACGCAATTGGAAGGGCTATAGAACGCAAACAACGGTAAGACACACTCTTGCCTCAGTTATTCATCAAAGTGGCCCCTTCGATCTATTCCTCACCATCGTAACGTCAATAGATACACCGATTTGGAAGCCAAATTGACCGCTGGCAAAACTAGCGAAGAGCGCAAGCAAAAGCAACTACAAGCTTTAGGTGATAAGGAGTCAGATTTTCTCAAACTGAGGCGAACGAGATTGACTCTTACCGACTTTATCACCATTAAAGTCATTGGGAAAGGTGCTTTTGGAGAGGTACGTATTTTACCTTACGAAAATTTACAAATTCAATCTCCGTCGGCATGATTATTTGCCAGTTTAAAAAGCTCAATATCTCACTCACCTCTCCAACATCCAGGTCAGATTGGTGCAAAAGGAGGACACTGGAAAGATTTACGCTATGAAAACATTGAGAAAGGCTGATATGATGCAAAAGGACCAGGTAATGTTGATGCGTTATTTCTGCTGGTACCGCTCCGGCTACCTCTTACCCTTTTTTTTTTTTTGTTGGGAGTTGAGCGGAGCTAACCTCAAACACGTTTTCTTTTTCTTACTGCATGCGAAAACGGATTCAAATATGATAGTTAGCACATGTAAAGGCAGAAAGAGATGTGCTCGCTGAATCCAATTCTCCATGGATTGTTCAGCTCTATTATTCGTTCCAAGACTCTCAATACTTGTATCTGATTATGGAGTTCTTACCGGGTGGTGATTTGATGACTATGCTTATCAAATACGACACGTTCTCTGAAGATGTGACTCGATTTTACATGGCAGAATGTATTCTTGCCATTGAATTCGTACACAAGATGGGTTTTGTACACAGGTAAGTTAACTTCGATCCAAGGGGCGCACATGGAATGGATAGTAACCCTTTAAAACTACTTTATAGAGATATAAAACCAGACAACCTATTAATTGACAAAGATGGCCATATCAAACTGAGCGACTTTGGTCTATCAACTGGGTTTCATAGAACACACGATTCACAATACTACCAACGACTGATGACTGCAAACAGAGACAAGGATAACACATCCGTCTCGATGCCAAAATCTGGTAGTATCACCCTGACATTGTCCAGCAAAGATAAAATTGAAACATGGAAGCGAAACAGACGAGCACTGGTGAGATACAATGCTATATCGGGTAGCGAAATTCCAAAATGGCAAAGTCTAATCACTCTATGTTATGCAGGCGTATTCCACGGTCGGTACGCCAGATTATATTGCGCCAGAAATATTTCAACAGCAAGGTTATGGACAAGAGTGTGACTGGTGGTCACTTGGTGTCATTATGTTTGAGTGCCTATGTGGATATCCTCCATTCTGCTCTGAGAACCATCATGAAACATACCGAAAAATCATGTCCTGGAGAGAAAGCTTGATATTTCCGGATGATATTGTTCTAAGTTGGGAAGCAGAGGATCTGGTCAGACGGTAGGAAAAGCTTTCTAGCGATGTCCCATTTATCTGCTTCTGTCTGCTGACTCTCATCACCATAGATTAATATGCTCGCCTGATCAGCGTTTGGGAAGGAACGGGGCGGAAGAGATAAAGGCGCATCCATATTTTGCAGGCTTCAATTGGGATGGGGTTCGTGAAAGCGTTGCTGCTCACGTACCGCAGCTTCAAAGCATCACCGACACCAGCTACTTCCCAACCGAGGATTTAGATCAAGTGCCGGATATGCCAAGTATGGAGGGTATGTCCTTTCTCCAGCCTTTAGCACCAACAAAATGACGTTTACTAACTAATGTTTATCCTTAGACTCTCAACCACATCCGTCGGACGCACAAGCCGATCTAGCATTTGTAGGCTACACATACAAGAGATTCGAATACCTCACTAGCAAGAACGCTTTGTAAGGAAAGCTGACGATCTGTGCCAGCGAAGACGGCGTTATATCCATCGATGATACCTTAGCGATATGCCACCCATATCGGCTATCATTTCATACCCGTAAAAGAAAATTCTAACTTAAAATACGTTCGTATAATGTGATGAAACCACATATCATTTTGTTATTTTTGATTTATTGCTTCCTTTTTGATTTCATCAATTGTTTATTATCTACACTTGATCCCTAATGACACAAACTTCGTAGTAGTATACTTTCAATTTTATATGGAAGAACCGCAATACATGCAATTCGTACAAGCAACTAGGACGTTGTTGAATATCCCAGCGGCTGGAGTTGGGGCTTTGATCTTGCAGCTACACGTGGGGCAAGATCGGACGTCGGGTGAATCCAAGACTACTTTTGTGAGCTGGCATCTCTCTACAAAGAAGCCATGAGTACCTGAGCAAAGTTGAGAATGGAGCATAAACGATCGTACATACCCCACATATGACCATTTGGACACACGGCTACAGCTTCAGAATGAAAAGAGATCAGTAAAAACAATAGAAAGGTCAGAATCAAGGCATTCATCGTGATATTTCAACTGGATGAAAGTGGTGCATGGAAAACGACAAAAAGGATATGATCTTTGCAAGCTGGGCATTGCTCTCTTGGTGGTAACTCATTCGCATCGATGGAGACTCTCTTCTTGTTCAACAAGTTAGATGTCATCTCGAGTTCAGTGGAGTCCGCCATGATTTTGTGCTCGCTAAGGCGTTGGTATACACGTAAGGCACTTTTCAAGAGCTCTGTGTTTTGGGGATGCCACAGCAAGACAGAATCTGCAATTAAAAGCTCGTTGCATCGCTCTTGTTGATTCAACGCAAGCCATTGCGATTCAGGACAACTAAGAAGGAGCTGAAGGATATACTGGATGTAGAAGCCAGAGATAATATGCTTCGCTTTGGCAGCCTGTGCTTTTGCTTTCTCAGAGAGGGAAGTTGATAGTGTGTATGCCTTGATGGGGTATCAGTAACTGCTCCAACGTGCTATAGAGGTTCATTTGATGGTCTTTACCTTCATTTGTTCAGATATGTAGACTAGAACTTGGGACAGGTAAATCGCTGGATTCTTATCCACCCATGACTGCAGATGCTCAGTGAATGTAGAGTCATGTCTGAAGACGATATAGGTTAGAATACACGCATGTTTTGTTCGTGCCAAACAAAGGTTCGGCCGACTTACTGTTCCGTCATTTGCGCATCTAAAGTGGATTTCACATCAAAGAGTAGCTTATCTAAACCAACTTCTGCATCATAGACAGCCAGATAGTCCACCAAATCCAGCAGGTCTTCCACTTTCGTACCTGAAAGGATAATCGACTGATTAGTTTCTTTTTTCTGCGGTCATGACACCAAGTTACAGATTGTACTTACATTGCGTTAGATTATGATGGATTATTTGAGATACCATAGGTCTTGCTGTTGCGCCATCCTCTATGCTCAATACGCATGCACACCAAGAGTCCAGACCGGATTCTCTCATGTCTCTATCTATCGTAGGAGACAGTCTACAAAAACATGTATCAACACCGACAAGCAGTAAAACGGCACACCTATATAAACCAACAAGTGTACTCACGTATAACACAGTGCAAAATATACGCCATTGGGCGACGGAGCCAACCCCCAAATCTCAGCTCGGTAGGACTCATTCGACTGCGATTCTATTTTTACTTTCTTTGCCATTTCGTAAGCTTGAGTACGCAAAGCCTTGTTCGTTCGATTACGGATTTCTTCAGTAAACTCTTCATCCACCTTTATCTCGAAGCCGTCAATGATTAAGGAATAGTTGGTGTATTGTGAGGAGAAGAGATGTAGGTATTTGCCATCCTTGGACCAAATAGCGCCTAAAGTTTGAATACATGGTCAATTCGTGTAGCTGGCGGTAAGGTGCGAAGCCAACATAGCAACATTCATACCTGAAAAGTAGGCTGATATTTGCATATTTCGTTGTATCCATTTTCCGTGATTCAGATTTAAGCTCCCATCCTTTTCACAGGTAAATAAGCCAACTGAAACGCTAGTGCTTTTCGTCACTGCAACTTTGAGTTGACATCCGGGCTCCTATACAGGGTGTAAGAGGCGTTATTCACCTTGACCATTTACAAACGTGTAGTACTTACAGATGAGCCTGTGATCTTTATGAGAGTAGGAATTCGGCTATCATCGAGGAAGAAGGTGTCTAATGTGGTCATATGGAGTTTGCGTCCAACCAAATCGACTTTGACTGTTGCTACCCTTCCATTTGATGCGCCAGCAATTAAAAATGCAGAGTGGCCTTATTTCTACGTTTTAGTACCCTGATCTTTTTGCCTTTATCTCCTGCTTGACATATCCTTACCTGCCCCATCACTTCGCCAATCAGACCATTCGAGTATGGTTATCCAAGCATTAGGACCATCAAAAATAGGATGACGGAATACAATTTCGCTTTTCAACTGAGGGCTGTGTCGATATAGGTTAATCAAGGCAAAACTGAAGTTAGATACCATCGCCGTCCAATCAAATTACCTCCATAACGTGATGTGACCCGATTTGCTTCCTAACGCAAGCGCACCAAAACACTCGTCTTGTCGAATAACAGCCTTCGACCAAGCAGCAGCTATGGCAATCGGTAGAAATATGGTAGAAACTGTCAGTGGAATCAAGTACATATACGTACGATGGCGTGAATAATAGGTTACGTACATAGAATATGCGTCATGGTGTCTTTCCTTGTCCCCAAGTGAGGAGTTATATCTTCCACCTAGGATAGCATATCATTTAGCTTTACTTCGCGTGTAACACCCCAGCACACAATGAAAAGTGTACCTGATTCCATTCAGAATCGTCAGCAGCAGAGCCTTCTTGAAAAATCAATACCTTATGACTAATGGTGACTATAGCTATAGTACATCTAGCAGGCAGTGTAAGTAGTTGGTACTGGCAAAAATGTGCCCTCTATATGTAAGGCAGCCAGTACTTTACTCACCTTGCTGGATTCCAGCAGTTAGCTGGGGCCCATGCTGCACATCGAAACCCATTGTATACAGAATATGAAGTCATGAAAGGAGATGCTTGACTTTCTGGAAGAAGTCGGTGGGAAAATTAATGGATATGTTGATAGGAAGGTGCTCGTGTTGCTGCTCTATGCCTGCGGGAATCCAAAAGAACGAGGATGTCAAGGAACGTACCTGTTGTATCGAAGCGAGCAGATTCGTCTTGATCCTCACATCTTATTGTTACACTTCGATATTGAATGGCGGTCTTGTCGTCCTTGGTGCTTACTGCAGGAGTCTGAAATAATAAGGTGTGAGTCGCGTTAGAACGTGCGTGGAGGCCAGGACACGCGAAACTTACATAGATTTGAACTGCATTGGCCGTTGTTATCGCTATTTTATTGTCGTCTGACCAAGTGATAGAATCGGGTTTGAATGGTTGGGAAACTATGGGAGCAGACGGTAGCTGATCCATGTACACAGTTTCTGTTACTTGTAGCCGGGTTATCTCGAGCACTGGTGGTCGATCGACACATCTTAAGTGACTGCGAATTCAAAACCTGTACCGGCTCCACGGCGTTAATCATTTTTCCTCCCATGCCAAATGCATCGACGACGGAGTTTTCGATGCAACCGAACAGAAGCATCGGCTCAAACTCAGGTTTTTATGAGCACAGTTCACGCTATTCTTCCTGAGGGGAAATGGTGAACTGAAATAACTTAAGTCTATGTTAACTTCGTGGACATCGTACATGCCAACCACTCGCGCGTGAATCAGACACTACCGGAACCGTACAGTAGATGGGGGCGAACATACCACATTTCGGCGTTAAGCCGCTTAGTATTGTCAAATTGACGGTATCGGCAGTTTGTAGCCAATCAATTAAATGTATAATAGGATTTCGCCAAACAAACGACCGACTGCCTAATCTGTTTGAACAGTTAGGTCTACGGTTGATACGTGGGTTTGGTCTTCCATAAAAAAAACAAAAGGTTAAGGTGGCGGAATAATGCCACCACTACGCACCAAATGTGCCACAGCCTTCCTTAAAGGCTATTAGAGACGAACAATGTAGAACAATGCTCCAGTACATTCTGGTAAATACTTTGCGCAGCTAACCTGTCGTAATTAGAAATTGCCTTGCATTTCAGGTTACGACCATGGTTGGGATTCAGAGTCAACCATAGCAAGAAAAAGAGATATCCTTGATAACTCGCTCTAGTCGATCTCCAATAACGTTCTTAGGATAGGTTTCACATTACCTGTGCACGTTCTACTATGAGATTTGCCATGAAAACCGGTGACTCTCCAGGTGAACATAACATTCCAATTCCTTCGATTCTATTCGGTACAACGCGAAAGGAAGATTATGGAACGTTCCGTTCTACGACGAGTTGTTAGTCTTCCTGTTTTGCTCCATTTTGAGAAACCTTGTCGTGCAGAAGCAATTTTTGGTGATTCTGACTTTGCGATGGGGTTTTAAAAATTGGCCATTCTGGGTCAGACAAATTTTTCCATGTTGTGTGAAACGCTAATGATTGTACTTTTTCCGCTGAGTCTGAGACCGAGGGTCTGGGCAAAATTTCTGGAGAGTGTCGGCATCCCCACTGCTAGCTGATTTTCAAGACACCATCCGCTGGTATAAACCATAAACAAATCCAACTTCCGGGCGCACTTTCCAATTTGTCGAAAGTAGTAAACGCAAAACGCTTTAGTCCACACAACTACCGAATAAGCGACGTTGTGTCTTGATTGGTGTGATTTCCGGCTGACTTTAGGGAAATTGAGCCTAAAGGTGGGTAAGCATGTCTCAAAGTAGTTTAGTTGAAATCCTCAGCGTATTTGCCTTTCGAGTGGGAATGCTCGTAGGTTGTATTGATTGCAGCGTCAGAGATTGACTGGCAGGCAGAAGATTGAGAAGCAAATGGAAGTTATTTTGCTCAGGACACAAAGCGCAGATCCAACCCTCCAATTTCCTAAAACTGACAACAGTCCCGACGGTGGGGGTCTACTAAACTTTTCAGCCGCTAGACCAATTTGTGCACCCCGTTTCTTTTTTGTCGGCCCACTTCTTTCCCCTCTTCTCACTCTTTTCCTGAGACCACACACTGAACCAAAACACTCTTTTCACCTGGTTTTCGTAATATCAAATGGAGCCAGACTCTGAAAATTTGATTTCCATGAGAGAGGACGTTCTCCATGTCAAACATGAAGGCAACTTTGTCCCTTGTGATCAAGGTATGGGAAATAACCGCTCTAAAAAAAAAATTGCCTTCTTTTTTAACATGGCAATCTTAAATAATCCGCTAATAAAAAATATCGCTTTTTTTTTTTCAGAACCCATTCATATCCCTGGCGCAATCCAGCATCATGGAGCACTGATCGCCCTATCGCTATCGAATTTGAAGATAGAATATCTCTCTGATAATACCCCAGATTTGATTGGTTTACCCCATATACAGCCTAATCACCTCTTCGAATTGAAAAGTTTCAAAAAGTTGCTTTCAGATTATCAACGTGATAGATTTTATAAACATATAGATGCGTTGCGAGGTAAATGACCAACAAGACACCCCATCCATAGCCAACAGTTTCATACTCACACTGTTGCTTTCCATGACAGATGCCTCCAAGGTTGGACCCTCCAGTTTCGTACTGGAACTCGATACCTCTATCTTTTATCGATCAAAACGGTTCGCCGACATTTTACAAGATCATCGACAAAGCGTGGAGGCTGCTTCTCCCGCCTCTCATGACAGTGATATTGGTTACTATTCTGAAAAAACGGAGTCTAGAGCGTCGTTTTCGACAGCGTCGTCGACGCCGTCTGGCCAGACCACCGGCCAAGACGACTATCTAAATGGTTTGTGGAACGACTTGTCTGACGATGATGATGATTCAGACGCAGAGCAGTCTATCAACCCTCACAAACGACAATTCTATTGCTCCATGCACAAATCGCAAAGAAATCCCAATCTACTCATATTGGAATTAGAAGTCTACAATCGACTTGCTGAAGTGGCCTATGACAAGTTTTTCTTTGGATTGAATACCCTGGTACACACTTTTGAGACCGCAAAGAATATCCAAGATCTATGCAGCTTGGCTGTACGCTACGTTCAACATGTCACTTCTTATGAAAGAGTCATGATGTACCAATTCGATGAAGATTGGAATGGCGTTGTAGTGGGTATGTGCGATAAGTGTCTGCTTGCTGCATCCAAATGGTTCAAGAGTCTAACCTTTCTACTATAGCTGAAACCCTGGCCATGGATAGCGATGCTGAATCGTATATGGGCATTCACTTTCCACACACTGATATCCCCAAGCAAGCAAGGTAAGCCATAGACGCTATTCACACATTTAAACGCCACCAACCCGTTGTTTTAATCATTATTATTTTTACTCCTATCTTAGAGACCTCTATTTGCTTAACAAATCTAGATATCTCTGCGATCGAGGTGCTCTTACCAGCTCCTTATTGCAAGCCAATGGTAAAGGTTCGGCCAGCCGATCTAAAGCCACACGCCCATTGGACTTGACTTTCTGTCATTTAAGAGCTATGAGTCCAGTTCACTTAATTTATCTAAAGCATATGGGTGTAAATTCGTCCATGTCTTTAGCTGTTACTGTTTATGGCCGACTTTGGGGTTTGATATGCTGGTAAAGTATCCATTGACCTGAACTAAATCTACTCTACCTTTCCTTTGTCACTAATTACCTCTATTCCCTCCCACTCGGAAAAAAAAAAGTCACCATATGTTCGCATTGCCCGTCACTTTCCAGGCGAGAACGGCATGCTCTTATCTCAGTACGTTGATATCTACACATCTCGAAAATATGATCAACAAGGAACGTTTTGATCAAACGCATCAAGTGCGACAGCTTGCTGAACAGTATTGGACTGGCTCACGTAATGCTTCACAAAAAGCACCGCCAGAGCCAACAGCGACGAAGGTGAATGACTCTCCAGCTGATACTAGTGTGGACTCACCAGAAGATGAATACTGTTCCTCATGCGATGAGCGCGACTATTTTGACAAATCCGTCGCTGAACGACTTGAAAACTTGCATATCGATGTCAATGCAGTCAAGAGACAGACATCCCGTAGCTCGTCCGTTACTTCACAAAGATCCGGCAAATTTCGCCGAAGACCTGATCACGACCGAAGAAGTACAGAAGATTGGGCTAGAATGTACGAGCGATTTGTTCGAGTGGCTGGTCCCACAGTATGCAAACTTTTCGGTGCAGACTATATGCTCTTTATGATTCAGGGTCGATCTATTGTTGTTCCCAATCCAGCCCTTATTCCCGATCCGGATGCATTGACACGATTTGTACAATACCTTCAATCCGTTCGACTTAAGAAGACCGTTGTCAGCAGCTGCATTGCCAAAGATTTTCAAGGCATGGAAAGCACTAGAGCTCTCAGTGGTGCCATTTACTTTCCACTAAGTGATGATGGCATCGACTTCGCCGTCATATGTAGACAAGAACAAATTATGAACGTTACGTGGGCGGTTAGTACAGTACACTTTTACAGTTGGCGTTTACTTGGCATTTGCCTAGTGACAGTCTCACTAATTTTTTCACTATCTCAGGGCGAACCAATGAAGTCGGGAGACACAATGACCATTCAAGCCTATAATGGACGCCAGAATGACGTCCTCATGCCCAGAACTAGTTTTCAAAAATGGACTGAAACTATCGAAGGCACATCCTCCAGCTGGAGCACACACGTCAATCCCGAGCTATTGTTGACCACCTTGTCTGTGTTCCAAGAATCGCTCAAGACATGGAAGAATCGCATGCTTCGCATTGATGGTCGTGAGGCCCGTTATAGAAACTCTCAATTGGAGCAAGCTAAGCGTCTTGCCGAAGAAAGCGATAAAAAGAAGAGTTTGCTGCTTGCAAACGTATCCCACGAAGGTAAGGATGAAATTCCGACATATGGCCCAAAGTCGTGACTTCATACTTACTGACAATGAATTTTTAGTACGAACTCCTTTACACGGTATTTCTGGTGTCATTAATCTCTTGCTCGACACAGACCTCTCGAGTGAACAATCGCAAATGCTTCAAGAAGCCAACCAGGCTACTAAGACTCTTACTACTATTATCAATGATCTATTGGATTTTTCCAAACTTGAACGCGGCGAGGTTCACCTTGAAAAGGCTTCGTTCAACCTTGAGGATGCTATCAGCGATGTTACTCAATCGTATGCTCCACGCTTCAAGGAAAAAAACCTTGGTTTCTTCGTCAAATTTGATCCTAGCCTTCCAAAATGGGCTATCGGCGATGTTATAAAGATCAAACAAATCTTGAGAAACTTTGTAAGTAATGCGTGCAAGTACACGTCCAAAGGTGAAGTCTCTGTCAATGTATCCCTGATTGAGGTCCATGAGGATGGAAATATCTCTGTTAAAGTTGGCGTCACCGATACTGGTAAGTAGAACGCATTTTTCTTTCTTGTTGAAATATGTCATCCATTGCTAACATCTAATGTCATTGATAGGTATTGGTATACCCATTGACAGACAGCAACTTATTTTTGAAAAATTTGTGCAAGGCGACGATTCGCTCAGCCGAAACAACGGCGGAATTGGTAAGGCATCGTTTCTATATCTGGTTTTGCACAGGACTTCTTCTAACAAGCGTTTGTTTAGGTTTAGGATTGGCTGTCAGTCACACTTTGGCTCATCTCATGGGCGGTAAGGTTGGCCTAGTATCTAAGCCAGAGATCGGCAGTGAGTTTTACTTGGAGCTACCGTTGGAACCTGTGGATCAGCACCCTGACAGCACCGTGGCGCCAACCAATGGCTCGGATACGAAGAACGTACGCCCACAGCTAGTGCCTACCATCCCGATTCCGCTCGCTCAAACTCTTCCAGCTCATACCAAAGACGAACTAATAGCGAATTTCTCCTCACCAACAGAGGCTATCTCTCCCTATCCTGTGATGAACGTTTCTGAAATTGAGAGCATTCTAGCTCAATATGAAGGCGCTCATAGACCATTTCGAGTACTCTGTGTGGAAGACAACAAGCTTAATCAAGCATTAATATGTCGAATGATGCAGAAACTTAAATACGTTTATGAAGTCGCCGACAACGGTCAAGAAGCCATCGATATCTATGTCCGTGCCAATACTACAAAGTCGACGTTACAAAAGGATTCGTTCGATGTCATCTTAATGGATTTACAAATGCCTATATGCGATGGATTTGAAGCCACACGACAAATTTTAGAATACCAAAGGCATACATTTGGAGCCGCTGTTATTGCTGCACCTATCATTGCCGTTACCGCTCAAGCTATGAGTGGTGATCGTGAAATCTGTCTTAGTAAGGGAATGAAAGGCTACGTGAGCAAGCCAATTGATTTCCAAGTACTACGGCAACTCTTGGAAGGCTTACGCTGCCAGAAACTAGTCGCTGAAACAGGATCTCCCAGCCTTGAGAAATAGTCACCATTATCAAGTCACTGTATTCTTCCTTTCACTGTTCTATGCAATTATCGCTCAATACCTCTGTCTAACCCAACTGAAGTGTTATCTACTCTTCTAAGAGTTTTCATGTGTCATGCACTCAATAATTTTCACGCCCCTCTAAAATACTCTTTCATTTGTTAAGACTATCTTATGATATAAATGATGCTTAATCAACTCCTTCTTTAATACTTTGTTCTGCGAATACAATGGGGCTTTATGATCACGCCGGTAGTAAATTGGCACTTCAGTTGCAATAGATTACCACCATATGGCAGTGATAGCTGAAAGAAACATATGCTATGTCATTTCATTATGGTATTTACAACGAAACAGATTTCATAATAGCAAAATGGCCCATAACAGAGATCACAGCTGGAACCTAAAATCCAAAAGTTGCAAAAGGGAAAAATTTAACCAGGTCTTCCCCCGCTCAATGCCAGCATGAGGACCGTATCGCTTGTCAATCGCCTGCGATGGTCGTTCGGTGGAAATATGAACCCTCATGCCCTCGTTGTTGGTGATGCAGATAATGACGGGGTAAGACTTTCGTGTTTGCCACTGAACTTCCGCTTTCTTCAAGTCTAATAACGCTTTACCTTTCCTCCGCGCAGGACAATGAATTTGTTATTGGCAATCTCAACGGAGATCTCGCTATATTTAAAGGCGATTGTCCCAATGGCCTGCCAACTTACTTTTGCCGAGGTCTTGGCACGGTGAGCTTGCATTATTGCCTCTATCCTGTCATATTGCCTCGTACTAACTTTTGCGCTGAATAGATCACTTGTCTTGCCATTGGGGATGCTCGAAATAGCGGCAAGGTAAGCTCGAAAGTGAAAGCGGCTATCGACCGTATATCAATTCTAATGCATCTTCTGATGCCTACTACCAGAACTCGGTCGTGTGTATCAATGCTGAAGGCCAAGCCCATATATTTGATCTGGATAACATTGACGCGACCAGGCGGTCATCTTCGGTGCAGGCCAACAACCTTATGACCGTTGAAGAGTATTTACAACATAGTCGCCGAGGTTCAGACACGGCTACTTTGCATAGTTTTCGAAATGCTATGGCCAATGCTCAAAATGGTCAAAAAACCAGCCGTGCAAAGAGTCAGCTTGGCAAAGACGATCAAGAAATGGTCATGGAGCATATAGCACCAATTCACACGGTGAAAGTTCCAGTCAACGTGAACAAAATTATTATTGCAGATATCGATGGTGACGGAAGGAACGAAGTCGTTTTGGCTCGAACCGATCGAATTTTGCATTCTTTTGAACTTAAGAAAACAAATTTGGACGACATCTCCAAATCTAATACGACTGCTGGACCTCAATCCACTTCGACCTCTACTTCATCTACCTCCACTACACCTAATCTGTATACCCGTCCCAATCCATTAGCCGGAAAATCAATGAAGTCATCTCTCTCTAATATTACTCAAAGCACTTTGAGCTTGGCAAAAGAGCGCCCTCTACCACCGTCACGGACGTTAACCAAGGAGGATGCGAAGGATTTGAGTGCCATATCAAAAATCAGCACCGGGTGGGGGAAAAGGGACAAGAATAAAGTCAAGCCGAAAGACGATGTTGAAAGCAATGACGAGAATAATGTCAAGCCCACAACCACAACCACTATTATTGAGAAAGACATGTGGATATTTGATGGCCAGGTAAGTTGACATGATGATTTGAACAAGAGAATGCCTGTTTATCGAGCTACCTGGTAACCTTTTTTTCACTCTGTAGATTACATCTTTGTCCACCACTGTGCACCCAAACTATCCAAATGAGCCTTTGCTACTAGTTGCTCAACCTGGAAATACCTTTACTATCATTGACCAAAAAGGCGATCGCTATAATCCTGATTTCACACGGCATTATGTTAGCAACAGCCATTACCGACGATCTAATGACCCAGTTGGTGACATCTCCACCTATCAGTTTGATAGCCCTGAGATCTCACAACGTCCGCCAAACCACTCCTTTGACCGATCACCTGTTGATATTGAAAAGAGTTTGACCAAATTGATCGACGGCGACGATTGTAGTGAAGAGATGTACGGCTTATCAGTCACACCAAAGGCAACACAGTTTATGACGGATGAACCACCCATGGCCAAGACACGTCGCCTAACGAGTGGCACTATTCGCCCTTTGTTACGACGAGCTTCCAGTACGCACGCCATCGGACCTGACGTTCTGGATAAATCCAAGCCGTCTTCTTCCATTTCAACACCTCCTGTAGAGATCAAAAGTTCGAGCTATGTCGTTCAAAGCTGGCCAGTAGTTGACGGCGATGCTGTTGTAGGTGATGAAATCAAAGGCTTGGTTGCGACAGAAATTGTCATGGGAAAACGGCGGCATCGACGACGGTCCCTGGACGATATTGATAGCGAGATTGTTGATGATGTGCAAGCTGATGTTGTTGGCATGCTCAGTATGGACGGTGAGTACCACTGATTTCCACCGCCCAACTAGATATTGAAAATCTTTTTCCCATTCGTGCTGACCACGATCTTCCGTTCGGATTGTAGGAAAGTTCACGGTTTACAATCTGTTATCGAAAGAAAGTTCTGAATACGACCTGTTTGTCACGCACAAGCTGTTCAGTTTGGCTACCCTCAACCCTCATAGCAACCCTCTGAGACTTGGTAACCACTCGTCTTCTCATGCCACTCACGGCCGTTTCAGAAGTGGCGTCAGTACCCCAGCCTTTTCCTCGCACGCATCATCGCCACAGCTTAGATTCCCCTCGCCTTATATGAGAGCGGCAAGATACAACTCTTCTGCCACAGCGTCCATCAATGACTTGTCTTCGGCGCCTTCACCCGTTGCCACCACATCAGTTAGTGTGTCGGAAAACGGAGATAGTGATAATGAGGACGACCATTCTCTTCGGCACGTACCTAGTCTAGATGATGTTACAGTTACTATGGGATCAACTATCTCAAAAATTTTAGGAATAGTGAGCGGCAATCCACCTGACGGCGAAGCCAGTGCCGCTGACGGAGACGATGAGTTGGAAGATTTCAGTGACTCTGAGCATAATGGCTCGAGACGAGGAAGTGAATATAACGGCCTAGAAGACTCTTGGCTAAGCGAACAGAAGGTCGAAGTTGAGAATGATCTCTTTGTCGCTTGTGCTTGGAATGGTGTCACCTACATGATCGACTGGAGCCAGCGAAGTTCTACCCCTACGGATAGTAGCCAAAATGCCGCTACCAAGTTTCAACTGGTTAAATTTGCCTTTGAAGGCAGAGTATGTGCTTTCACAGCAGGTGAGTCGTGGGTGGGGTTCGCCATGTCTGCAGATCTTTGGTATTGATGCCCCATTTTTGTAGGGTCGTACGCCATTGTACCGGGACAAAATGTGCCCTGTCTATTCTATGTGGACTTTGACGATCAAATCTATGTGTATTATGATGTCCGAATATCTCCAGGACCGGTCACTAACTTTTTGGATAAACAAGATGATGATATTGAAGAAGCTCTGGAACGGATTGATGAATACGAGTACATGATAAAAGATCTGCGCCAACGAATGCATGATCCCGATGACAAAGTTCTCATGGAGAATCCATTTGGAAGCGCCAACGTTATCACCTCTCACAGTCCTCAAGCTCTACCAGACATCATTCATCGATGTCTGTATGAGCTACCCCAACTTCAAGCCGCCTTATCGTATGAACTCGAACAGGTATGTACCGGTGGAGAAAATAGAAAGAAACTTGACTGTGATGATAATGAATCCTTGGTGTATGTATAGCTTGCGCTGGCGCAGACTCCTTTCCAGTCTTCTCAACCTGGAGGTAACCGAAGGCTCTCAGATATCGATATCTTCCCATATTCATCGTTGGAAGGAGGAGCTAGCGACGGCGTGGTACGCACCCCCTCCAGCATGACATCTCCCGTTCCCGCCACTACTCCATCCGAGCTACATGACCGAGATCTCTTGACCGACAGCGATCTAGCCGACAGTGAGCTTGAAGAAGACTCCATTCACTTGACACATGATGCCACTACCAATGACACTATGTAGTAGGCACAGCTTAATACACCCTTAGTTTTTGTTTTTTTTTTTCTTTTTTTTTTATATAAATTATGGTTTGTATAAGAGTAGGGAGAATGATTCATGGATCAGAAGTGCGTTGTTGGCTGGCTTTTTGAAATCACAAAGCATTTCATCCAAATACCGACTTCATCATTACATGAAAAAACTTTATATGTTGAGTCCTCTAGGAGGTACTCGCACAGATAAGAATTCTCTACTGATGATAGAGAAACATTGGATTTGCCCACTTTGCCGGCTTTTTTATAGACACAAAAAAAATTTTCTTTCACAGTGCGATTTCACTATTGACAGTCACGACAGTCCAAAATTGAGAAGCCGCTAGGCTCCCATTTACCAGCGCAAAAAGTGAGTAGGACACTAAGAGAGCGAGCGTATCAGTCAGTATAAATCTCCAATGCCTGCACCTTTAACAAGGCCACTCGGGCTTCCTTACCTCGTATCCACCGGGATTTCTGTCCAGGTACTTTTGATGATATTCTTCGGCCGTGTAAAATTTGCCAGCGGGAATAATTTGAGTCACAATGGGTTTTCCTTTGTAATGTTTCTCCTGTACTTCAGCAGTGACTTTCTCGGCTGTCTGCTTTTGCTCTTCGGAGTGGTAAAATATAGCCGATCGGTCTGTCGCAATGGTGAGTTAGTATTCGTCATCAATGACCAAGAGCACTGCGCTTCCTTACATTGGGTTCCTCGGTCAGGACCTTGGTAGTTAAGTGTAGTAGGATCGTGCATTCGGTAGAAGAACTCAGTGAGGGTAGCGTATGACACCTTGCTAGGGTCAAAGGTCACTTCGAGGGCTTCGGCATGATTGGTGTCTCCGCCACACACTTGACGATACGTTGGGTTATCTAAATCACCACCAATGTACCCTACACGAGTGGTGATACCGTCCTTCTTAAAGTGCTTGACATACAAGTGTTCTACACCCCTATAGAGTGATGTCGGTGAGTGTGTCATTGACAGGATTTGTCAGCCCTTTGTGGCCATGGCCGGCATGCACTCACCAGAAACAACCGGCAGCATAAGTAGCTTTTTCAGTCATTGCGTTATTAAGAGTATGGTTAGATCGAGTAAATGACTGCGTCAAATGAGAAAGACGAGGGAGCATATTGCTTACGACAGTCTCCGTTTCATAGCCTTTTAACCTTCCCCGTGCTTGAACCAATCTCATGGCTGAGTTTCAAATATTGGATTACGATACTGGACCGATCGAGGTGCCCTACGATTCGGTAAGATGGTTTAATGAGACATAAAAGGCCATATCGAGAATCTAACATAAAACATCATCATTTTCATCTCACTTGGTGTCCAGCCTTCATATTAACATCTCTTAAACTGCTTGTAAAACTGGTTTATTTACTCACAAAGGGAGGCGAAACTACAACGCTACAGTTTGCAACGGCAAGGACGCAGATAAAAACACGTTACATTAGAGTCACATTGTTTATATAGCATGACACACAGTCGAAAAGTAACAAGGACTGACAGTTTCTTCACTGTGCAAATCCCATTTTATTTTAGTTTGGCATCAGAAATTTCATTGGAAGGCGGCTTGAGAGATTCATCTGAAGTCTCTCGAGTGGTTGCAGGAAATCTTCCCGTTCGAGCATAGGTGGCATACCCTTCATATCGTTGCCGCGCATTGCCTTGCACATAGCTTCCCACGTGACGACTGAGCTGAACCGCCACTGCCCTGCTGGGTACGTCAATGTAGGTGGAGTACACTTGTTTATCAATGGGAAGTGTTTGCAACGCCGTGGGATTATTTTCCAGGTCATTTCGGTTCACATAGTTCAAGTAATTCTGATACTCAGGGTGAGTAGACGAAGGGTGGTCATCGAATTGAGTCACTGCAGTCAAGCGGTCTACATTATTGAATTGCTTAGTGTAGCGCTTGTATTCCTTGTACTCATCCTCATTGATGTTGGGATCAAGGCTACGTGTGACCAATCCTTCCATGGACCAGGGTCCTGCTTTTTCACGCTGGTTTGGTTCGACAGCCTGAACCACGTCTTCGCTGACCATTTCCTTTTTGCCAGTCCTGGGTCGCAAAGTACCTCGTAGATGACGAACTGTAAACGGGCTATAGTCAAAGGTTTCACTTCACGTAAACAGTTAGGACTTGATTGCATAGTAGCGTATGAAATAGGGGAGGGTTATGACAGTTATCTTACATTTGTTTGCCATCTCGAATGGTAGGGGCAAGCCGATACGGTCTGTACTTTGCTGTCCCGTTCATAGTGTATGCAAATAAAGTATCCAGCATGGTCAGTCGTTTGGGTTCATAGTACTCTACCCAGTACCCTTTAAACGGATCGCTTTCGTCTACTTCGCTGTTTGGCGCTAGAAGCTCGGCGGGTGCCTTGAATTCGACAGCATCCTCATCGCCTCCTCCTTCATCTTGGAATAAGTTCTGTGTCCACCATTTTCGATAACTACATGTAGTGCGTCAGATAGATATGCCTAGCTTTGTAAACCAAACCAGAAAATATTCAAAAAACTTACTGTCTTCTCTTTGTTCGCAGCCTCGGGTCCTCATTATGCAGATGGTAGTCACTGCTTAGTTCCCACAAGGGAGGCTTTCCATCTTGAGATACATAGTTACCTAAAAACAAGTTGATAGCGTCTTGCTTTTCCGCGTCTGACCAGCATGGACTGCCATTAGTCATGGTTTGCTATAGGTTCAAAAAACCACAACTGGTACTCACCAACGAATGCGTTTGTATAATATCGTCGAATGGTTTCGATCATATCCCGGGAGTGACTGGTCCACTGATTGATCTTGCGATATGTTTCCATAGTATTTACAAGGTGGGATCCACCATATTGGAGGGCAATCGTATCACCATGATCATGATACATTTCCGTGAAAATATTCACAACGTCTGTGTCGAATTCTACATTTGGCGTGGCCACGATTCCGAGCGCGTACAGCTGATGTCCAAGTGCGCATTTACCCATCAGAAATTGAGCTGCGTTTGTCCGATCCAAACAATCAATGCAATTCGTTCTCAGAACTCCATGCTGTCTCGATATGATGTGCCGGTATTTGTAGTTGCTATCGCTGCTACTAGCCTCCTCATCTAGTTCAGTAGGCTTCTTTGTTCCGCTGTGAAAAAATCCAGTAGCTTCCATAGTCTCCTTTGCCACATCTTCCAGGTAACGGATAACATCTTGGTCAGGACTTTTAGATGCTCTTGACATATCCCACGCAATATATTTGATCTTCTTTTCATCAGGCAGAAATTGGTTGAGATACTGTATAGCCTCTGCAAACTCTTTACCCAAAATGGACTCTCGCTTGGTCTTTTCTTTTTGCTATATATACATGGTCAGTATTCATTCCCATCAGCTTGCACATACCGTCACTCAGAACCCACCTTAATCAAGTTCAAAACAATGCATGGAGCTCCATACCGTTTAAACAGATTGTCAAAATGCAGGGCCGCCGAAGAGAAAAACGGATCGACAAGATTAACTAAATTGGCGATGGTGAGCCACTGCTCATTGTATCATGTTGGTTCTGACAGGCATGACTTACGCTCTATTTTTGGCTTTGGGGACATGTTGGTAGTATCTTGAGACCAGAACAAGGGGATAGAACCACGGTGCTGGACATAAGAGGTATACCTTGGATTGTTGAACAACGTATCCCCCACATGGAAAGACGTTGTAGCCATTTCTGCCACGATCTGTTCGGTTTCGACATCGTTTGCAACATATCCCTAACATGCGCTTCATCAGACAAAGTTTTGAACACACTAACCATTCTTCCATGTCCACTCACCTTATCATTGGCTCCTCGTTTCAAAAATCTGGCACCTGCAAAATACCGAGATCTGCGAGCAATTAGGGTAACAAATATATTTCTGCCAAGAACAGAGATTTCTATCACAGCAATGTTAGCCAGCACATCCAGGTTACGGAAAGACACTATCAGGGTGACTAACTTGCTTGGTCTACAAATCCATAGACCATAGGTAATATCCAGCTGGATTGAGTATTAATGGTTTCAAATCCTGCCTTCATCAAGTAGTGATTCCAAGCAAACATGAGATTGTATTCATTATTTAGTTCTGCCTTTTTGGCCGCGTTTTGCAATTGCGTATAGGGCGGTCTTGTCATGTTGACTTGCAACGTGTTTGTAAGATCGTAGGTATAAGAAAAGTAAAAGTTCTTGGTCATATCAACATTCTGAAATATAGCAATGTATCTGATGTTTGGGATGGTGAGAGTTAATCACCAAGAAAACAAAACTTCGCTACAATCTGTTAAGCAACGTACCTTGCTTCATCTGAATTCTTATCATACTTCACAGGCAAACCAATAGGAACCAGCTTAGTTTCGTCAATGTGATATATGTAATGTCCACCGATGAGGGCAACTTGACTTCGCCGAGTGATGAACAACATATACCATCCCTGAGTAAACTTTATGAAGCCAATGATACCATGTATTTGCATAGGCACTTCACTACATCCACCGGAGTTTCGATTGCCGTCTATGATCATCTTCAGTAGTTGCTCAGCTTCTGTACGGGTATATAAAGCATCTTCCTCAATGACTACTAATTCCTTGGGTGAAGTTCGGTCTATCTTCAAAACGCGGTATCGCTTCTGGTGGTGGTTCGTACCAAATAGATAGTATCTCTTAAGTTGACAGGACATGTTAATATCAGTAAGTTAACAAGCAAATATAAGCCTGGAGTACCCACTGTTTTGGTCTCATATAGCGTAAAGCGATTGACTACAAAGCGAACTCCCGGTAACAGATCGTCTTCAAGAATGCTAGCGGTGTGAACGGGTCGCTGTGACGATGCAGTTGACTTTCTGTCCGAATTAGCAGCGTCAAGAGGTGGTTCCGATGGCGATGTGAAAGAAGGTGTGGTCGGTTTGTATTTATCTTCATTTGAGGCCATTGCCTCCATGAACAGCTGTGCTTCTTGGCTCATTCTGTCCTAAAGTGGCTGCCTACTATCCGCTGGAGGTAGAAAGAAGTGCGTAGCGCAGTTTGAAATTTCGATGGCACTGTAGTTTTCTTTCGCCAACACTCAATGTTTAGACTTACCACCATCGACTCACAGCAAACATTTGGCTATATCTCCATCATCCACTTTGGTGGAATTTTTTTCATCTTTCTCTCACATAAGACAGCCTGTGGCGGTACGTCAAATAAATAAATAAATTGGTATAAATCTTGATTCAAAGCGCGTAACTTGCACACATATTATGAATAATCATTTTTAATAGTTTATTATCATCCACCTGCAGAAACTGCATTTAACATGGTAGTCAAGGGGTGAGACAAGAGAGGAGATCGTGATTCATATCCGCATGGTCACTTCAAATTTAAGCTACTGCCCTGCGTAATAATTAGCTACTGTCAAAACAAATTGGATCATGGATTGTAATGTCATACTGCGGCGTCATACTGGCCTGAAAAGTGACCAGCTGTATGACGATCGACGGTTTGGAAAGCGAATCTCGGGCTGACGGCGGAAAAGGCGACTTTACGTGATGGCACAAACGCGGCCCGACCAAGATATGCTTCAGTGTGGAACGCCTTTAGCTGCGCTAATCCACGCAAGATGGCATTTAATTGGGCATGTTGGCTCGAACTTTTCTCCGCAAAAGAGGCACTTTAAAGTGTCGATAATATTTGCCAAACTGCAAGGGTGTCGAAATTGACATAGCATGTCAATCCCGAAGCTTATGGGAAACTCTGAGTAGTGTACGCGAATTGTGTTTCTTGTTCATTCAATGCCTCGTATCCTCTGTTAATGACTATATAAAAGTTGTAACCTTTTATATGATGCATCGGATGTAAGAAGCGTATAAGCATTTGAAGGAAAAAATCGTTGTAGTAGCAGCTAGTTCCATAATGTTAAAAAACGAAAATCTGACAGATCAACGACAGTGCGTCCGTCAGAATGAATTATTTTTTTCCTTTCTGTCTTGGCTATCCTTTTTACATTGCCTCCATTTCACCATTGAGTTATCTGAATATATGACGAACGCTCAATACTCTCCGGTAGCGATTACGACAAGGACAAGCTACTGCTTTCAGCCCTTGTGACCGACGTCACGGATGACCCATCGGTATTGCCAGAATTGGCTATGGGCCGAGCCTTTTTGTCCGTTTACCAGAAAGCCAATCTCCTGTTCAAAACCTTGGCAAATGATGCTACCAAAGCTGCTTGGTGGTCGCAAGAAGAAAGACCGACGGCCGACGGACCTCAAGATTCCTCTGCCACGGATACATGGTATCCATAATGCTGATCTAACCGAATCGCAGATCTCTGCTTTGCTTAGACAGCCACACCAGGCAGCACCGACTCATTTCAACAAGGAGCACTTCGCACGTACAAATAGCCACCGAATATTATCGCAACCAGACTATTTACGAGTGACGCGAGACGCCAATGAACCCGTTGTATATGCACCAAAACCTGGTCACCCACTACCACCTGCTCGCAGGCTACTGCGAAGTGAAGATCATGACAAGACACAAATAGAAAGCGAGCACGAAGCAGTTGATGATACTCAATCCTGTGAAAGCAGTTACGACGATGAAGATGACGATTTATTGGTGGAGTCTTTGAATGTGAAACCGGGTGTACCTGTGCGTCTCGATAATAAAAAGCCAATGAGACATCCAGACTCAGAAAAGGCAGTGGCGGGAAGTGCAGCTGCTACAACAATGCTCTCGAAACCTTCTCCTGGAAGGAATCTTACAACTTCTCCAGATGATTTAGATTCCATTGATCTTAGTCCCACACCTAATGTTCCAGGTAAGTTTACCTTAGTATCGGTGCCTTGGTTAGAGTGTCTCTAATCACCGTATATGGGACTCTCCCCCTCTTGTTGTCAAGGTCATTATCCAAAGTCAATGAGTGTTGAAAAATCGGCGCCACTAGAACGTGCCTCTTACATGTCAGAAATGAGCAGCAATGAATCTCAGCAAACATTTGCTACCGCTCCACAATCACCATTCTCTCATTTGAGTAGTGTCCGTTCCACACCTTCGATGACTATTCTCGCCAATACGGATTTACCATCATCCTTGGACCCTTCTGATTTGTTACATCACATCTCACAGCAACGACATAGTGCACCTGAAGCACGTCGTGCGGACCCAACTGTCATTGATCCGAAAACCGCCAAACCCGAAATAGTACAGCCGGAGATGGTTGAAAATGAAGTTCACCCCCTTCGCCATCAGATCGAATCTTTTCCTGCCCTCTTATCTCCAGAACAACAACTGTCGCCAAACCCTATCAGCCCAGAAAGCCCAAGGCGTCAATCGACCGGCATCGTATCGTCTAGTGTGACCAGTCCAGCATCTAGTGTCAACACAACCAAGGCTGTAGTATCCAGTGCTGTCACAACACCTGCTCAAGCATCTCTCAAAAGGATAGCTTCCATCAATTCCCAACCAGCGGCCAACATCCCGACCATTGTTCACCCTGTTAAACCTCCATCTCAGAATTCTAATAAGCACCTTGAGTCTTCCAATGAATCCAATGCAACCGCTACCCCAGGCTCTCGGTTTGCTGAAACAACAGCTGAAATAGAGGCTCTCAGAAAACAAATGGTCGCTATCCAGCAGGAGAGAGCAGAATGGCACAAAAGAGAAAACGAACATAGGGCTCGTGAACGACAGATGTTGGCACAGATTACCCGTACACAAGAACAACTGCAATCAGCATTGGCTCAAGCTGGATTTTATACTGGCCCCAGAACAAGCAAAAACCCAACCCCCATCAGTCAGTCAAGTGGTGGGGCCATTAATACTGCAGATTTGGACTCGACAAGCTCAGGCTCTTTGAGACTACCAAGAAAAAAATCGGGAGGATCTACAAGTCATAGTATCAGTCGCAGCCATCAGGCACGTAGTCGCTCAAACTCTCGTGGTCGGTCTACCTCTCATACAGACCGGTCGCAATACGAACGAGATAGACGGAAAGATTATCATCGCCCGCTTGAACACAGCCGCAGCAGGTCATACGACCGCGGTAGGTCGTACGATCGCAGAGGGAATCCTGTATACGAACCTCGAAGGTATAAACAAAGCTCCTCAAGTGATGATTCAGAGGACAATTACCGGCACCACTCCAGGTCCCGATCACGGCGGCGGCAAACATCAAGGGATTCTCACAACCGCAGAAGGTATTATCACGACGATGACTACTCTGATAGTGACTATGAGGTGCGCGGTAGACGGCGACGGTATGCAAGAAGTCTGGATCCACCTAGTAGAGGTATCAGCCGTAGTAGATCAGGAAATCTCGCAGCCGATCAGCAGTACTCTTACCACTCTGCGGTTGAGGATGAGGAGCAAGCGCGTAGCCGATTTCCTACAAGCCATCGAAGGGAAGTGCATCGAAGTCGGTCTCGCGCTGATGAACCTCGAAGTAAACCAGATCTTCGAAGCCATCCATCAAAACATCCTCAACAGCCCAAAGGTACGGATCCCTCAGCACTAGCTTCACAATCGACTGTCAAGCAGCCGACCACAACGATGAGCAGGGCTGACCCTAGCCCTGTTGTGACGCCTAAGAGCATTTTACGAAACGCCAGTAATGGTATTTTGAGCAGGCAGAGCAGCGCAGGCAGCACAGTCCGGAAAATGAATAACGGTCGAATCATGAAAGAGAATGTCCTGGCAAATTGATGGAGTTTCACCGTTTCGTTTTTTGAGGATGTTCTTGTAAAATTTGAACCATTACCTTTTTAACATTTTTGACAAAATTGTTATTCCCCACCTTTTCTCTAAAGTAATTCTCACTTTTGCTATGGAGAAGAAATATATATAACTTCACCTACGGTACATAAATTATTGGATGTGTTGCTGCGGCCAGTTCCTCAAATTCATTTTCCCAAAGCAACTCCGAACTTGACTGTGCCTTCTGGCTTATTTAACTGAACCCTCTTTCAACCTACACCGCCAGACAGATCCCTTTGAAAATGGTAAAGCGAACCAGGCCGATCAATCTGGATTACGTAAAGCAACAACATATCAATGTTTTCCGTATACCGGAAGAGCTGCTCAAAGTGATGTCACGGCATGAGGAAGAAATGCCTGACATGGCAGATCAAGTCAACCCTTCCATGCCTGCCGGTCGCATGGTGGATTCCGAAGGCAACTTCGTGCCTGCCTGTTCAAAGTGTGGAATCGAATTTCGGTCCGTCGAAAAGGATAAGCAAAGAGCTCATTTTCGCTCTGATTGGCATCGATATAATGTCAAGCGAAGCATAGAGCATGCGAACCTCCCAGCTGTTTCAGAACAGCAGTTCCAAGATATGCTAGAAGGTAACAGCATCTGGAAAAACCCTACATGACACTTTTTATACTCCATTCTAATCACTCGTCTGTAGATCTAACCGACAGTATATCTGGATCCGATGCCGATGACTCTGCTTCTGAAGGAGAATTGGATGCACCTGCGGAAGACAGTGTCGATTTATTGGTGTCCAAGGAAAAGCATCGATTGGCAGCTCTGGAGCGAGCAAAATTGGCAGTAGAAAGTCAGAAGAAGGTGTCTTTGCACAATAACTCGCCACTGTCATGGTACACTGCCTCGCCACTGCTACCTGGCAATGTCCATTTAGGTGTATATAACAGCGCAAGACGAAACATTCAAGCTCCATTGGAGCACGATCAGTTGCTGGGAAATCATACAAGGATGTGGACAATGATCATGGTGGGAGGTGGACATTTTGCTGCTGCCGTCATCGATGTTGGAAAGAGCCGAGCACAAGAAAGTAACTCCAGCAGAGCGACTTCCGTCATCGCTCACAAAACTTTCCATCGATATACCAGTAAGTTTTTTTTTTTTTTGGGGGGGGACGATATAATGGTTATTTCCTCGGTAACTCACACTGGATCTCGCTATTTTAGCACGTAGAAAACAGGGTGGAGCGCAGTCGGCAAACGATAACGCCAATGGAACGGCCAGTTCTGCAGGATCTCAAATTAGACGATACAACGAGGTGGCACTCAAGCAGGAGATCCGAGAATTGTTATCTCAATGGCGTAAATACCTCCAGGAAAGTGATACCATCTTTGTTCACGCTCCTAGCGCCAACAAAAAGATTATTTATGGCTATGAAGACGCCCCCCTTGACGTGAACGACAAACGCATACAATCGTTCCCATTTACGACTCATCGTCCAACTCTGAACGAAATTAAGCGAGCGTTCTTCGAGTTGACGGATCTTAAAGTAGTTGAATTCGATGAAACAACGTTACGACAACATGAACAACAACTTGCACGAGCGGAAGAAGCCAAAAAAATAGCTTTGACCAAGTTGGAACAGCTGAGCTTATCAACACCAACAGAACCAGAGGCTGACACTGAGCAAGCTAAGCCGGACGCTGATGTCGAAAAGGCCGTTTTGTTGACAAAACAGGGCAAAGTACAAGTCCTTGAATCATTTATTGAACGTTGCCGTCAACAAGGTAAAGAATTACCGCTGAGCGGCCCACTGCCAGCAAACACCAAAATAGAAGACAGTCGACGCCTGGCTACGTTACTGCATGTCGCCAGTTCTCATGGTCAAGCTGAAGTTGCGAATTTTTTACTTCGGGAATGTGGGGCAGATCCGACGGTCATGAACGAGGCAGGCAAGGTACCGTACGATTTATGCAAAGACAAATTGGTGCGCAACGCTTTCCGGCGATGCATGTGTGATATGCCTGAAAAATGGGACTGGCTACAAGCCGCCAAAGTGCCTAGCCCACTGACTGCAGAAATGGAGAGACAGCAATTGGAGAAGGAAGAGCTGCGTCAGCGAAAGGAACAAGAGGCTCGTCAAAAAATCGAAGAGCAACGTCGTCAAAGGGAAGAGCGCAAGCTGGCATCGGAGTCTGCTCAAGATACACCAGCCAAGCCGTCCAGTAAATCGGCTGGTCCACTTCAAGCCCTGTATGGTGGTACGGCGATGAACACGGCTAGCATGTCACCTGAAGCCAGGAAGCGATTGGAACGCGAATTACGACTTCGTGCCGCAGAGGCAAGGCGGGCGTAGAAGCTGTTGGTCACTTTGAGTTTGTTCTAAAAACCTGAGCTACTCATTTGTAGTATATTCCAAATATTATACTCCCAATATAATAAAAAACATAATAGCACATCTTTTTTTCTTGACATTGTTGCGACACCCTGAATGGTTACACTGATCATATCTTCATATCACAACAATCGGTTCATACATAGGAAAATGGCGATGTTTGAAGTTGACCCATTCTTCTACAACGCTGTTATCAGAGAGATTGTACTTTGTACATTCCCTTCATTCTATGCCGTTACTTTCTTTACGCTGAAACGCAAGTGACGCACAGATTGACTACGATTGACCTGTGCGTATGAGGCGCTCTACAGTGTGTAGCACTCGGCCCGGAGATGAAATTGTAACAACAGTCGTCATAAGTATTACTATTTTGACATTTTGCGCTGACTTCTCGGTATCAGCCATACCAATGGTATACTATTTCATGCCAAAGGCTTCTTAGGATGGCCAAGTGAATGGAGTATCAACCCAACGGTTGAACACAGGATTCAACGCAAAATGCCCATAGCCCTGCAACACGTGATCATAAACGCAGTCACGTTTACAAAAAATGCGTTCATCCCATTTTGACCAAAACGTGTTTTAAGTTTTTTTTGGGCAGCCTTCTGATTCTTTGTTGGAATCTCGTCAATGAGTGAAACGATTCGGTTCGACTTGGGAACCAATCCAACGGACATTACCATACAAGCGTTGTCACTCCTATTGACAAAAATGACAACAGCAAATGACAAAGTCATATCAAACGAACGACCAGAACACCACTCTACCCACAAACGCTCGTCTTCGCAGGCCGGGTGCACTTGTTTCCATGCGAGAAGTGTGCCTTCGATAGCTATATTACCGTACCTTCAACGGATCAATCGATACTGCCCAGCTGCAAATGAGGTCTTCTTATCGCTTTTGATCTACTTTGACCGTATGGCTCAGTCCGCCGTCAACATGCGGATCGATTCATTTAATATCCACCGCTTAATCATTTCCGGTGTGACAGTTGCCAGCAAACTTTTTTCAGACACTTTCTTTACAAACACTCGCTATGCAAAGGTATGTTTTCACATTTGACTTAGGGTGAACTGGGAAAAAAGTGCTGACGAGGTGTTTATGATTTAGGTGGGCGGGCTCCCAGTTGCAGAGCTAAATAGCTTGGAGTTGGAATTTTTACACTTGAATAATTTCGATTTATATATTTCCGTCGAGGAATTACAAGAATACGGCGATCAATTATTGAAACATTGGTACAATCATGAGGCAGAAACTAGTCAAAAGGCGGCTTCCAAAAGGAAAATGTCACATCCACAACCCGAAGCGTATGAGCAGCCACGAAGTCATGATCATGGATCACCCCGAAATACAGAGAACGATATTTTGAAAGCCGATACAGTTAGAATGCGACAACTTTCCATAGATGATGGTACTGGCACAGGTCGAAGAAGATCTTCAAGTGCCGCTCAATCGCCTATAATACCTAACTCCACCTCAAGCGACTCTTCTAAATACGCGACTCATGACAAACCCACAACACAACCACCGGTTGGAGTATTCTTACATAAAGGCCAACCTAGCATCGCACACCAGTTTACCTAATCAAGGTCAGAGATACCCTTCACCATTAAGCGATTGGTTTGTGTAATGAACCATGCTCTTTGTAGTGCATGTACCAGAGCAGGCTAGCTGTAGTATACTCCTGTTGTAAAATTGTAATATATTGGTCTTGGAATGCGAGTGAAAATGAACGCTTTAGTCAGCGAGCTCTTTTTGTGTTGTGATGCGTAGAAGGAACACCTCGGTAGTGTAGGATACATGGTATTAATAATACGCAGTTGCTGCGGATGTGTAATAACGGTTCTCTTCTCGAGTGGGCTTTTCATCGATCGCAGAGATGCTAGGAAGCCTGCCATAATTTCCATTTGGGGTATTTTGTCAGCATTGCCCGGCGTCATAACAAAACCCCAGCCGAGAAACTCGACCGTATGGCTTTTGTTTTTTCTAGACGAACAGCAACCTTAGCCACACGCATCACCAGCAGAAATCTATATCTAGCCACCAGAACCTTCTCTATATCTCGTATCAACATGGCCAACAAATCTGACAGGTAAGTTTCCTTATAGCCTAAGCTTACGGAGATTCCGTCTGAGCTGACATTACTCATAGTGAATGGAGAACCATTCTCACCCCGGCTCAATTCCGAGTTTTGAGAGAGAAAGGTATAAGTTATTTTTTATGAATCTTGACATATCGTACGTGGCACTAACTTGACTGTAGGCACTGAGGCCGCTGGCACTGGACAATACAATAAGCATAGCGCCTCTGGTGAGTATCATGCGTACATCCACGTCAGCTGCATATAATATCTAATGGTTCGTATCGTAGGCGTCTACCACTGCGCTGCCTGTGACGCTCCCCTTTACAAGTCCACCACCAAGTTTGACAGCGGTTGCGGATGGCCGGCATGTAAGTGCTACTCTTTTTATGAAAGTTTCGGTTGCATCAAAACGTGTAATTGACGCCATCTTCTTGATTTACAGTCTTTGATGCTATACCTGGTAAGTGCATTTTTTCTTATTCTTAAAAAAAAAAAAAAGGTTTGACGGCATACTGATGTTCGGTTCTTCATCTAGGTGCTATCAAGCGGCACGAGGATACCTCTTACGGTATGACTAGAATCGAGATCACCTGCGCCAACTGCGGCGGCCATCTCGGGCATGTCTTCAAAGGTGAAGGATTCCCTACACCCACTGACGAGAGACATTGCGTCAATAGTATTTCTCTTAAGTTTGAAGATCAGAAATAATTCCATAAAGAGCGGATAATGCAAGGTTTTGGAAGATGTAATTGATTAGCTGTTATGTAGAAATATTGGTAAGAAGATGTTGTTGAATAAATGATTTTGTGAGAACGCTATGAAACTGCATGCCTGATGCTTTACAGAAAGCTGTCCTACAATGGCTTGGTTGAGTTATATAGCATCACTGAGGACAAACCGATTAAAAAGTAATAGAATAGACCCTCTACTATGTGCAATGCAGAGGCTATTACATTTTTAATTCAATCTTATCTCAAATTAAGCAGCAGTAATCTCCAGTTATATGACACCATACATTTTCTATATAATTCGTTACTCTCTCTCTGAAAGTAGATGGTTGGTGAGGGAACAATGGGCCATCAGGAATGCCAGTTGGGTGGCTTGGACATGGGCAAAGATTTTGGCCAATCAAATGTCGTCTATCCGGTAACAAATTGGAAGCAAAATTTTTTTCAGTTCATTCTCTCTTCTTTTTGCATCGACTTTTCCACTTGGTCACCGCTGGTAATTGTCTTGATACTATTGTCAGTTCGTGACAACGCCCTGAAGAATGCACAAACTAATCTGCTCAATCACCCTGTTGCTTTGACTACCAATAGAGATTTACATTTAACAGACATGTCTTACGTCGTACGTACCTCCCTGATATATGAATGAATGCATGTGAACCAACCACTTTTGAAAGATTTTGTCCATTTAACAAATATATTTTCTATCAATAGGCCAAGCCTACCACCCAAAAGCCCGGTTTCGAGGAATCCGCTGATGTCAAGTAAGTAACCAAAAAGCTCCATTTGAAGGTGTCAGGGTGGGTGGCTTAGACCAATATCCTAATTTTCTTTCCCCACCTTCCAGGATCCACCGTATCCGCATCACCTTGACTTCCCGTAACGTCAAGAACTTGGAGAAGGTCTGCTCTGACCTCATCCAACGCTCCAAGGATAAGCAACTCAAGGTTAAGGGACCCGTCCGTCTCCCCACCAAGGTTCTCCGTATCACCACCCGTAAGTCTCCTTGCGGTAACGGTTCCGAGACCTGGGATCGTTTCGAGATGCGCATCCACAAGCGTCTCATCGATCTCCACTCCCCCTCTGAGATCGTTAAGCAGATCACCTCCATCTCCATCGAACCCGGTGTCGAGGTTGAGGTCACCATTGCTTAAATGCGGTGCTTCTCCTAGTTCTGGATCACAGCAAATGTGCGCGAGTTTTATATGTTAGCTAATGACCAATAAAATTTCACGCTCGCCGTGATTTGGCTTTTCAAAAGTTAATTTGAGGGAAAATCGTTTAGGAATTGATTTTAGTTCATTGTTTGATGGCGTATTGTCAAAATACCAAGGGGTCACGAGAGGAGAACGCCATGGCTGTCGTAGGCATGTGAGAGACGTTTGAATTTATGCATCCATCCAACCTACCTGTCTGCAATAGAATACGTCACATTACTTCACATTAGTAAAAGTCAAGCCATGCAGAGAAATTGCTGGTACTGTAACCAAGCACAACGTTAGTGTGCTGAGTTCGTTTTTGCGCGTGAGAACCATTAAACCTCCCATCCAGCGCCTACAACTGAGCAGAAGAAGTCGTTCTTGAGTGTGTTGATCACTGTGGTAGTGAAGCTCGACTCATTGTCTTTAAAAGTCCATTTTTCCTAGCATTTTGTCTATGAAGTGAGCTTTTTGAACAAATACAGTAAAATGTACAAGTGAAAGCCATTATGAGAGATTCCCAATAGCTTATTTCAGGCAAATCGCAAAAGATAAAATGACTTCATTTGTCCTTCCGATGGATAGCTTGTACACACACACACGCAGCTTCGGAAGATTGTGATGGCTCCCCACGTACAATGGTGCTCACGCCTACCCATAATGCATCAACTGACCAGCAATGCTCATTAACGGGCTATTTACCGTGCATTCCGTTCTCTTTTAACAGCGGTGTTTGTGCATAGTAGCAAGTCATTTCTTCATAATGTGATTAACCACGCTAGCAACCAACGTGCAATATTCAACTGGACTCGAAATCGGATTTCCGAGAAAGTCTGCGGAGGGAATCCCTCCATCTTGATTACTGGGCCGACGTGTGCGGGATCGGGAGAAGCGGACAATTTGTTTCCTTGGTTTTTTTTTTTTTCAATACGGCGGAAAACCTTCACTATAGAAAAACCAATCGTGCTCCTAGCTATCTCTGCCATCGCTCTCTGATATTCCATATTAAATAAAATCGCTGACAATGTAAATGAGAACACAGCATAACTTGGGAAACCAGCTGATGTTACCAGAATGAAAAATACCCGAGTGGCGGTCTGTGAACTAAACACAAATGGTGTCAGGCAGGATTCAGAGCCTGATGCTATTGAAGATAACGAACCGATGATTCCAAGACAAAATCAGAGAGCATACACATTTGCTGCCTTGCATATGCCTTCATTGCTTTGGGCTCTCTTTCTAATGAACAGTGCGGGGTCGAGGACATGGAAGTATTCGGAAGAGTTGATGGGACTCCCCGCTCAACGCCCCACTCACAAAGGGCGGGTAACAAGCTTAGCACTGTTTTTTTATCTTATCAGTAAACTTACTTTTGGCCCTGATTGCTTCTCCGCATTTTGATCATCTACCATTTGATCTTGACGAGTCATTGCATGAAGCGTATGGGTTTAAAGCCAAGTGAGCCGTTGTTTCTTTCTTTCTAGAAACTCACGAAACCGCCAACCAGATGGCCTTTCGAAGAGAAGTGCAAAGGCTGGCGAATAAGAGAACCCTGAAAGGAATTAATCTGCCTATTCCCGGATGGAAATTCTACTCTCACATTTTATCAACCAATCAAAATGGGCCATCTTCAAGCAGTTCACGTGTAGCTTGATCTTATCTGTTATATAATACCAGGTGGCACAGAATTATACCTAGATGATTTCCTTTTATGGATGGGTGGTTGTCCTACGACATTTCCCTATCTCTGATCTGTTTCGATTTTTTTGGTCTGGCTGGATGAAACATTCATATAAAAGAACGTTTACAATGCTCAATTACCATTCCCCTCATCTTCTTTCACCATGTCTCATCTTCCCAACGAACCCGAATTCCAACAAGCTGTCAGCGAACTCGTCTCCTGCCTTGAGAACTCCAAGCTCTTCAAGATCCACCCTGACTTGAGACGCTGCTTGGAAGTCGTTCAAGTTCCCGAGCGTGTCATTCAATTCCGTGTTGTCTGGGAAAACGACAAGGGTGAGCTCCAGCTCAACCGTGGTTACCGTGTCCAATTCAACTCTACCCTCGGTCCCTACAAGGGCGGTCTCCGTTTCCATCCCACTGTCAACTTGTCTATCCTCAAGTTCCTCGGTTTTGAGCAGATCTTCAAGAACGCTCTTACTGGTTTGAGCATGGGTGGTGGCAAGGGTGGATCTGACTTCGACCCCAAGGGCAAGTCTGATGCTGAAATCCGTCGCTTCTGCGAGTCTTTCATGCGTGAACTTTCCCGTCACATTGGTCCTAACGTCGATGTCCCTGCTGGTGATATCGGTGTTGGTGGTCGTGAGGTTGGCTACATGTTCGGTGCTTACAAGAAGTACCGCAACGCCTGGGAAGGTGTTCTTACCGGAAAGGGTTTCGACTTTGGCGGTTCTTACATCCGTCCCGAGGCCACTGGTTACGGTCTCGTCTACTACGTTGCCCACATGATCAAGTATGCTTCCGCTGGCAAGGAATCTTTCGATGGAAAGACCGTCTCTGTCTCTGGATCCGGTAACGTTGCTCAATTTGCTGCCCGCAAGGTCATTGAACGTAAGTTGGGAAATATTTTTTTTTTTTTTTATGAATGCATGGGTATTTCCCGCCGCCCCCCAAAACAATGAAAATGCTAACCTTTTGATTGGTGTAAACAGTTGGTGGCAAGGTTGTTTCTTTCTCCGACTCCCAGGGTACTCTCTTGAAGGAGGCTGGTTTCACCAACGAGGACATTGATGCCATTGCTGACATCAAGCTTAAGCGCAAGGCTTTGACTGATCTCCTTGAGCAGAACGCTGACCTCAAGTCCCAGACCAAGTACCTCAAGGGTGAGCGCCCATGGAAGCACATCAAGGTTGACGTCGCTCTTCCTTCTGCTACCCAAAACGAAGTTGACAAGGCTGATGCTGAGGCCCTTGTTGCCGGTGGATGCCGTTTCATCGCTGAAGGTTCCAACATGGGATGTGACTTGGATGCTATCGCTGTCTTCGAAAGCTCCCGTCTCGATACCAAGTTGACCAATGGTGGCTGCTGGTACGGTCCCGGTAAGGCCTCCAACTGCGGTGGTGTCGCTGTCTCCGGTTTGGAAATGGCCCAAAACAGCCAGAGAATCCACTGGACTCCCGAGGAAGTTGACAAGAAGCTTGGTGATATCATGAAGAACTGCTTCGAGAACTGCGTTGAAACCGCCGTTGAATACGCTGACGAGAGCGTTGAATACCGCACCAACAAGCACACCACTGGCCACTTCCCCTCTTTGGTCCAAGGTGCCAACATTGCTGGTTTCGCCAAGGTTGCCAACGCCATGCACGATCTCGGTGACTGGTGGTAAATTATTCGCCTCTCCGTTAATCTGTAAATAACTAGTCTCGCTCTTTTCACACAAACGAAAAGCTTTTAAGCTAGCCAAACTTACCCCCTCCCTCCCCTTCTGAAATTGTTTTCTACTGTAAACTATACATTATTCATCTTTTATATTCTGGAATAGAGCGTTGAACGTCCACATGAAGCTTGACTGTTGTGATGTGCATGTATGAGCTGTAGCTGCGTAAGCGCCCGGCCATTAAGAACTTTTTATCCTGCTGTAACATGATGCACTTGTCTAGATTCTGGAATAGAGCGTTGAACGCCTACATTATTTGCTTATTGGTCATGAATGTATATCAGTCTCCAATACCCTTAAGATCTTTCACAATGCGGTGGCAAGAATTTTCTTAAGCAGTCACAAGCGTCGTTGTCTCTGGCCTGAGCTTTTTTTCATTCCATCCATTACAGTATTTGACACATCTATACTCACTATTTATGCTGAAATGGCCATTACTAAAGTCCCTTGAAGCATCCTCTAACCTAAGAAGCCATGTCATTATTTTATTTCTAGCCATAATATTACATTCGCTGAGGTGGATTTTAGTGGGGCATATACATGGATATCAAGGTTCTTTGTGTTAGCATTTCCGCTTCAATCGGTCAATTTTTTACAGCTTCAAAACCACGAGGCTCCCGTTGGAGCCCGCGAAAGTAGAATGTTTCAAAGTTACTGCGGGATTTTGACATCCTTTTGCAATGTGATGAGCGAGTGCTAAGTCATCATCAAAATCCCAACTAAAGCTATTTGATGGAAGCTGGCTAAAACACTGTGAAACCATTCAATTAAATCGTTCCACAGCCTTCAATGACATAGGTGTGCCGGAAGTTCTAATTGATATACATGTTTGGTAATTTCTGCGGGTAAAAGACAGCTTCGTTTTAATAAGTTTCAGTACCCAAAATGTCGCTTTGTCTTGAAGATGAGGACGCTACTCAGGCCACACCTGGGCTACACAGACCGGGGAAAAAAGGTGGTAATTGGCATATACCACCGCCTTGACCATCTATGTGAAGCACTCGATCATTCAAATGGGAAAAAATGAAAAAAGAAAAAAAAAACTAAATCATAGTAGAGGGAAGCTAATGGTCATGTGCGGATTCACTGAACATGGAATTCACTGAACATGGAATTTACTGGACGGAAGGGTAAAGGTTTTTCTGAGAATATGATCACAGGGAATGCACAAGCCTGAAACACTGTCAATGTTGTTCATGAATACCTTTACGAATCAAATCAATTTGAGACAGTTTCATGGGTAGCCACGATAGGAAAGGACCTGAAATTGTCCCAACTGGAAATGGCCAGTCAGAAATGAGCAATTCCATCAACAATGGGTCACCCGGAACAAAATTTTTCAAAGACAAATTAACTTCCACCCTGGAAGAAGCTGTTGCAAGGTTGATTACGCAATGGATTCTTGGTCCAGAGCGCCAAGAGAATAACAAAGCATCACAGTGAAGAGGTTAGTTGTCTGTGTCCACTATGTCGGTGGCTCAATGAAATAAGGTACCCAGCTCTGTCCACCACTTTGACGGGCAGACAAGCTTGTGGTCCGTTCATTGCGGAAGTGAAACAACGGCCATTCTATTGGGGTTGATCCATATTCATTGTCCACCCACAGTGACCCGAGTCGCCATATGTGTGGATCCCGGCTGCGCACTGAAACTTGGTCGACTGAAATTTGTCAAACCCATTCTTCTTTCGAACGATCGGCCGGCCGAGGATTTTCTCTATAAAAGCGGACCCCTCTTTGTCCCAAATTTCAAACTTCATCAAATCTACTCTCGTTAACGCCGGTCGTTCTCATTTCAATCCCTTACAACCCAATAACTTTCATTTAAACTAAAGTTTATCAAACCAACCACTTTCCCTCAACCAAACTTCAAATTCTATCAAACATGGTCTCCGTCAAGATTTTCTCCATCCTTGCCATTGCTGCTACCGTTCTCGCTGCCCCCGCCGCCGTTGAGAAGCGTTCCTTCTCCGGTGATGCTACCTACTACAACCCCTCTGCTGGTACCAATAGCTGCGGTACTCAAGCTTCCGACAGCGACATCATGGCTGCCATGAACGTCGCTCAAATGCAAAACGGTGCCAACCCCAATGCCAACCCCAACTGCGGACGCAAGGTTGCTATCAAGGGTCCCAAGGGCTCCGTCACCGTCACTATCTTGGATACTTGCCCTGGCTGTGCCTCTGGTGATATTGATATGTCTCCCGCTGCTTTTGATAAGATTGCGGATGAAGCTCAAGGTCGCGTTCCCATCACCTGGAACTGGGCTTAAGTGATTCTTCACTTACTTGAACCGTTTCGCGGGTTATCAGCGAGTTCTGTATCTCATATACCTTGTTTGTTTCCCGGCTTTAAACACCCTGTTTAAAGTCTCGTAGAGTAAATATCTCAATTCAATTGTAACTAGAAGTTTGTATCGCTGTGTCCTCATAAATATAACACAAAAAAAACCCAACCAAAAAACTATTTTTTGATTGTCAATCCCGTGTGCCTACTGTAGTTTTTTTTTGGAGTATTTGGTGTTCTATAATGTCTGCTCCCGAGATCGAACTCCATGTTTCTTTAAAACACCATGCGATATATTCAGCGATATCAATAGATCACCATGCAATGCTTTGCTTATGACATATGGAACACAATGCCTGCTAAACCAAATCCATTTTTCATGCATTGACATTGGCTTCCAAATTGGAAGTAATTTGATTGAAAAATTTTATGCCCTTGTCAAACATGCGACAAACGCATCCAATTGACTGTCTAGAGTAATGTGATTCTTCGCCAACCACTTCTGAAACACTCAACACAGCAGTCAAGATCAACAATCAGTGATCACAGGTAGTCTGGACCGCCATATTCCCTTGTCTAAACTGGATCGACATGGATATATCTCATGATGCTCAATCTCAGCTTATCTGTCAGCTTTATAAACGCCTTCCTCAAACCAGCACAGTAGATAAATAAATAAATAAATCACGTTTATTAGAAACTAGCTTTGGATATAACCGATGTGTGAATAATGTTAAATGGGTATGCTGATCACCCCCATTGTAAGTGCTTACAGTGCATTGCGTGGTAGATGTTTACAAAGCCAACATACCGACAGCAACAACAGCCAATGCAGGGAGAGCCATCTGTACTGACTTTCCGTTGGCACTGGAGACCCATTGTCCATTCTGCCAATGGCCAGGACCTAATAAGTGGAATTGTTTAGTCGGCTGGCTGAAACCTTTTCTTTCATGCAGAGTTAGCTCTTACCGTAGGGCTGCTGTCCATAGCCTTGTCCGTTGTAACCACCTTGGGGATTACCATAGGGGCTACCCTGAGCGAAACCTCGACCATTTTCAGGAAGATAGTCCTTGGCACAGTCGCGTTGACAGTCAGCGTCTCCAGACTTTTCAAACTGGCACTTTTGGAAACACTCTTGAGCCTTTACAGCTAATGTGTTGTTTAAAAGGAATCAGAGATTTGAAACAAGTACATGTCAGCGAATTAAAAGTTAGAAAATGCACTTACAACAGCGCTGTTGGCAAGAAAAGTCATCATCGCTACAGTCGCATTTGGCAGCGACAGATGCAACAAGAGCGGCAATGGCAAGGATGGATGCGAGTTTGAATTGCATGTTGTAGATTGGAAGTTGAGTTGTTGGGTTGATGAGATTTTCCATTTTCCAAACGTTCAACTTTTATACATTTTTCGCGATCGCTTTGAAGGCAAGGAAAAGGAGGAAATGCTCTCGGTTAGCTATCATGGGATTCAGGAGAGATTACGAACTACCTCATTGTCGATATGAGAATTCTCTGGAATACCTAACAGTACAAAGTTTTGTGTGTACATCCTAGATCAAAATGACGCACGAATAAAAGGTCTTTGTAATAGGGATCATCGTGCGATAATATCACTATTGACAAATAAATGTTCGGGCAGAATAAACATACGGCTTTGACGTGCATTTTCAAGTCAACTATGGAATTATCATCATATGAATTGACAAACCTAACGTTCGTTAGAGAAGGCAATACTTCGCTTGACTGGTCTGAAATAAAACCGGTACCAGGGCAGAGACGTAAACGTTGATGCGTGTGATACTTAACGTTTATGATTGTCATATTATCATTGTCTGTTAAAGGAGATATTGCCGAATTTCGAAAGTGACTGTATGGGGCGGCCGTACCAAGCTATCCAGGGCGGTGGGGATCCACTAGGATATGGCATACTTTTACACTGGCTTGAATGAACAGTTTGCTGTGTCATTAGCAGATGCCGCTGTTGCGTATTGTTAAATTAAAATTAACGTCGCCATTTGTGTATCTTTCCACCCAGTTCTTCTTGTTTTCCCAAGTTTCTAAATCAGTAGCACTTTTGAAAGTTTAAATGTACCGGTGACGATATTGATATCTTTCGGACCAGCTGTAATTTCATTACGGTACGTTAAGATTTGTGACATACCATGCTTGCTACGAGTCATCTCGAAGTTCGACTATTGTCACTAGAAGGCTCCGTTAGATTTTTTATTCCATTGTTTTTCGGACAAAATGCTGCGGGCGGACCAACCTCCAGCAAAGCAAAAATAGTAAAAATGGGTACATTGCTATATTCGGTATCCAGGACAACAACAGTGCCAACTTCTTGCGCCAGAACCCTTCATTTGACAAATGCTGTGGGCAGCAACACTTTGCTTCTTGCTGGTCTCGGCTAGAGGCGTACTTGCTGGCTTATGGCTAGGAGGAACAAGTCCCTATATAGAAGGAGGTTAGTTGGAATTCCAATGTTTTTGAACCCGTTGCAATGCTGACAAAATCCTCATCCATGTTTATTTCAATTACCCAGTGCCAATTTTCCTCTACTCAAATTCAACTTCACTAAACAATGTAGACACGAGTGCTGAATATCCCGATATTAGAGAACTCATTCCGTCAACTAATCAAACGGTCTCCTCTAATGGTCTCACTGTGAGTAAACTTTTGCCATAAACCCGCTCACTTCGTTTATGCGTAAACTGATTTTCGTATCTCAAGGGCTTACTTTATGACCGAGGGTATTCTTGCGTACAAAATCCTCCAGAAGCTCTACCTGGTCTTCCAGCCCCTTTCAACAATGGAACTAAGATTGCGCTTATTAGGATAGGACAATGTTCACTTGTGCAAAAGGTTCTGCTTGCCCAGTATGATAACGCTAATGCTACTATTATCTACATTAATGGCGAATTTGATAGTGAAACCAACCAGCTCATGGTGAGAAGTCTATCTCCTCTTTTTGTCAGTTTAGTCGAGTTATGCAGCTACTGACATTTGCCGCTATCTAGGATATTCCACCAGGCAACATCACTATTCCCACATTTCTAGTAGGCGGCGCTGATGGCTTGATGTACTTGAATGCTATCAAAACCCTATCCCACTACAATAACAGTCTACCCAACAACGTAACTGTCGATAAAGCCCTCAAGGTTACTATGTATCCAGCGGTTGGTGTTTTCCCGAATACATGGGAATTTACACTGATCATTGTGGTTTCCTTGCTCGCCGCTAGCTTTATAGTATCTGGTAAGTATCCTTTCGGAATTCATCCTATATGTTGAGTGACAAATGACTCATTTTTTTTCAATCAGTTATACTTCACTGGCATCTATGGCGTGTTCGTCGCAGACAGCGCGCCCTAATTGAACAGGGCATAGTTCTTACTCAAACCAGTGCTTCCATCATACCGCAAGATAAAACGTTGATAGACCCATCTCAATTGGAAATTTTCCCTGCCCGGATCGTAGGAGATGATGACCATGAATCACAACCACCTACAGAGGAAGCGGAGACGAATGCCGACATGACAGAGAGACGTTTATCGAGACGAGTATCGCTTCTTTCTGTGCGATCGAATCGGTCGACCAGATCTGCACATGCTCTCGAAAATGCTGAAGCCTTAGCTGCATGTTCGGAAGGGGACCTACCACAAGCAGCAAAGGCAGCCTTAATGATACCAGCAGAGGGTGATGATCAGGCGAAAGACGCAGATGACCAGGAGGAAAACAAACCCGATCTATCCACAAACAACAACAATGAACGAGAAGTCTCTCCACCAAATGTAAATGTACTGAATTCCACAAATATAGCACAAAGTCAACCTGATGCTATGTGCGTTATTTGTCTGGATGATTTTGATAAAGGAGAAAAAGTTAGAAGGCTTCCTTGTGGACACGAGTTCCACTGTGAATGCATAGGTAAGTTTATCCTCTCATTCTCTTTACTAATGTTTATTGATATTAACTTGTTCTTCATAGATCCATGGTTGACCGTCAAGTCGGCTTCCTGCCCGCTTTGTAAACACGATTGTTCATTGAGCGTTCCACGCACGGAGTCTAATGAGAACAGCCAAACTCCGCAACTCCCACCACAGGCAGCAGCTTCTAATTCTCGATTCCAAAGCTTCTTCTCTTTGACGCCAACCTCTAGCCCCTCCTCCTTTGGTCCAACCATCACTGCTGATAATGCAGCCGAATTCAGTCAATCCTGGATGGCCCGCAGTCTTCCAAGAAATATGAGACGACAGCTGGAAGCTGCCTCGGCCGCGATCAATGGGCCTACCATGGAACTCCCGGCGCGAATGACTGGAAATCCAAACCCACCCGTTCAAAATAGAGATCTTGAGGCAAACTCTTCACAGGAAGGACCTCCTAATCGGCTGGCAAGGTCTCTTCCAAGATACTGGCGAACGAGAGAGTAGGGGTCGAAGGATTATTTTACATCGTCCCGCTACCGTGTACGAGAGTTAAAGGACAAGTGGGCTAAGGTCCCTTTTCCAGATTTTGTACTGTATATTGCTCCACTATATTAACACCATACCCGAAAGAAATAAAGACAAAATATCTACATATGTGAATCGAAGAGATCTTCAGGTCGTTATGTCTTTGTTATTGTCATCAAGGCGACAAAACTGCTCTGTCCTGGCGGGGTCAATTTGTGACCTTGCATTTTTTTGCAGACCGTTTCACGATCTGAAATTCGGATCAAACAACCTTACTTCACCCTAATTTAAAGATCAAGATGGCTCAGCAAGGTATGCCTCCGCCTTTTCCAGGCATCGCTCCACCTGGTGCTCCACCAATGGGAATGGCTCCTCCTCCAATGGGCATTCCTCCTCCAAAATTGGTGGGAGGTATTCCTGTGCCCAGACAGCCTCCAAACACGACACCAAGCCGAACGGTCTACATCAACAACATTAACGAGAGAGTGCAGATTCCAGGTATATAGCTTTCAGATACCACCTTTGCTGGGCCGAATCATTCGGTTTACACTTTAATCGTTCCAATTTCGCCATACTAATTCGCCTTTGCTTTTTTCGTGGTGGCATAGTCTTGAAGAAAACGTTAGAAACGCTCTTTTCGCAGTACGGTGAGGTGTTGGATGTCGTTGCATACGCCAATATCCGGGCTCGTGGACAAGCTTTTGTAGCTTTCAAAGATGAGGAAAGTGCAGGAAAGGCTATCAAGGAACTTCAGCATTTTGTCCTTTATGATAAACCGCTTGTGCTTCAGTACGCTCGCAACAAGTCAGACGTACACGCCAAGTTGGATGGAGACTACGATCAGCACCATACTACTAGATTAGAAGAGAAAGGTTTGTCAGGCTGTCATACCTGTAATGCAAATACTCCTGAATGTATCGTTCTAACCCAGTCTCTACAGCTAATCGTCCTCCCCTTTCTGCGCCATTTGGACAGCAGCAAAAAGCACCCATGCCAGGTAACTTTTGATATTCTTGTTTTACGTGTTGTGCTTACGACTACTTCGTTTTGTTCAATCTGTCTAACCCTACTTCCAGGTTTCGCACCAGGCGCTGCGCCTCCACCCGGTCAACAAATCCCAGACGAGTTTCTTCCTCCCAACAACATTCTTTTCCTTCAAAACTTGCCGGAAAATGTTCAACAGGCTCAGTTGGTCGACCTTTTCCAACAGCACCCAGGTTTCCGCGAAGTCCGTATGATCCCCACCAAGCGCGACATTGCCTTCGTCGAATACGAAGACGAAGCGCTTGCTGCCATCGCAAAAGCTGCGCTGGGCGGCCACGAAATCGAGGAAGGCAAACCTATCAAGGTTACATTTGCCAGAAAGTAAATGCGCTGGTTTGCGGCGTCAACCGCTTTCTTGCTCCACAGTGTATATTCCACCGCTTTTTCGAACATTGCACCACGTTCAGTCTGTAAGATACTGAAACAAAACATAATAAAAAAATTGGCTACCATTTGTATTTATTGGTATAACTTCTTTGCGGCAGGCGTTCTTTTTCTCTTTTTTTGGGTTTTTTATACATGTCGAGCTTTCTCTTTTTTTTTTGGGGTGTGAGGGAGATTGTAGTCAAGCCGGAAACGTGTCAGAGCAGAAATTAAGGTCGAGAATGTAATATATCAAAATGTACAGAAGAAAGTAGAACAAATGAAAAAAGCGTTCGGAATTAGAAGAGAAGGGGCGATCGTCTAGAATGGCTCATATCAGCAGCTTTGGTGATCCCCAGATACTAAGTTGGAATATAATCTTCGAAGCGTTTCGAGCATGGCCGGTCGTTGAGGGAAGAAAGATAAGAAATAGTGCAAAGAGAACACCCATATTCTAAGGGCTTCTGGCCACACTCGTTGTTCGGGATGCTCATCATTTGCATTCAGCAGAGAAGGCATGAAGGGTTTGAAAATGTCATGTTTTAACAAGGAGCTAAATGGAAAAGAAGTATAAGCACCGAGCCTGCGATCCTATATCTGTAGAAAGTAACTTACCAAAATAGCAAACTTGCGAGTTGGAAAAAGTTTTCACCGGTTTTGACGGTGGAATAATATACAAGTTGATCAACAATATAGTAGTATTTGAATTCGAGCTCGGCGCGGCGATCATCATCTTCACTGAACGTAGAGAGGTAACGCATCCCTGCGTTGAAGTCCTTGAGGAATGACACGACGTGACTTTCAAGCATGCTGTACGCATGCGACGACCGATAGCCCGATGCCAGTTGAAAGTTACTGACGTGACCGAAGCTCATACGCAGCGGTATCCAGTAATTCTCCTGAGGTCTATCCTTGTTGTAGACTGTAACATACTCTTGAAGGTACTTTTCCTAATAAAATGTATGAATGCATGTCAATATATGGATGGCACTATCTCATCTCAGAGTCTATGCTGTTCACGTAACGTACCCGATGGATGGCTTCAGCATTGTCAAGAAGCCTCTTCATATTGGGCTTGATGATAACCTTGTGGGACATGCCAGGCGGAATCACCTTATTATTACCATCAGGAAATTCGAGTAAGAAGTGCGATGTGTCGTTGACGATCTGATATGACATTGGATCTTTCTGTAAGTTGCAAATCACCATATGGTGACCAGGCGCTGGAAAAGAAAGGTCCCATTGGCTTCCATCTTCATTGCCAGCGTCTTTTCGCTTTTGGAGAGTCCCCATCAAGGCCTGGGTTTCATGGTATGCAACCCGGAAAGCTGGCATACGACATTCTGCTTTTAACAACACAGTTTGCTGGTAATCCTTAACTAAGCGACAATTGATGTATATCTCAACCGTCTTGTGTTCGACAACATCGTTGTGGTCTCCTCCTCGCTCCTCTATTTGATGGCGTACAGCCTTAGAAGGTAAAGGTCGGAATCTGATATAGACACGAATATGGTTTTTGGGTTCGACCGTCAAGGATTTGAATAGTCGGGTCGCAGACTGAGAAGTAGAGAAGAGAATCTCGGTTGGGTCGTCATGAAGTAAATTGGACATGATCTAACGGATGGCTTAGTTTCATGGCACATTTGGACTTTTAAAAATCGACGCTCATTTGCATAAACAACATACCGTAAACTCCAAGGGAACCGACTCTCGATTATAAATCAGCATACTTCGCGCAGTGTACTCTGATCCGTAAAATATGTTGAGCATATCTATACAGGTTTGAGATATATCAATGCCATTGACGAAAACATCAAAAACATTGTTATTTTCACTCTCGCTGATTTGACCACGTCGAACATTCTGTCGAGCAACAACCTCCATGGTAACGCGGATAGTTTTGGTGTCGATGGGATTGTCAATATTCTCAATGATCAAGTAGGTGAGATATATGTTACGTATAGCAGTTGAGAAGCTGAGCGTGACAGTGTGCGGTTCAGTGAAAGTCAAGGTATCGGATAGTGATTCAAGCGTTCCTTCTGACCGGCTGATTTTTAGCCATTCTCGTTCAGGATCTGGTATACAACGGATGCGATAGGAAACAGCGGAATCAGATGTGTTTTCCAACGTGAGCTTCTTCGTAATGGCATTAGAACCCATGTCCAGTTGTCCAAGGTCAAGTTCATATCGACCACCCATAAATCCTTCATCGATCCGCTTGCATCCACGCAAGTTGATATACGGCAAGACGGAAGCAGGAGAGTCCATGCGAATGAGGTTGGGTTTCAGCAAACCACCCTTTCCCGCTACTTGATCGAGCAACTTGTTTGTCACCGGCTTCTTCTTTTTCGGCGTCGATTTCCTGATCTTGCGTCGGTCCTCTATCACATATATCGTCGTTGTCTGTCTACAACCGTGTACTGAATCCATGTCATCGATGTGAATGCGGAACTGTCCAGATAAACTTCCTTTTGGATCAATAATCTCTACTGATAGCGGAAGGGATGCACCAGGTTCTACAATGCCTATGCCTGAACCATCGAGCTCTGCTATACGAATGACCTTGCGAGCAGAAAATTCAACAGGTCCTTCAAGCGTCACTTTGAATCGGAGAGCTTGCTTCTGTGACAGGTTAGTCACAGACAACTGAGCAAATTCAGGCACTACGGAAGGAGGTGGCAACGCTTGTATGGCGGCAGCTTGATGTTCTTCATCACTATTTTCTCCTTCAAGATACGAAGTGACGATTTTGAACTCCAGTCGCCGTTCTGATAACGAGAACATAGGAACTTCTGACAGTACGCCTCTAACATTGATCTCCTCGCTGAACTGTCGTCCATTATCCTCCCGAGAGTCGTTAAACCGTGTACTGACCCACACTTTAGCAAAATCAATTCCACTGGGATCAAGAAGGTCGGGGCGATCCACTGGCAAACGAGCATCTTCTATTGGATATGCTCTGACTCTGATTTCAATTTTACCACGAGGATTGAGCGTGAAACCACCTTTGAGTGGTGTGTTGGAGTAGCGTGATAGTACGTTTAACTTGATGAGGGACTTCAAATCTGGCGCTATCTCTGCTCCGATCTCAAATTTGGTGTCATCGTCCGTTGTGTTGCATATCGTGAACCAATTGTCACATGGAACATTTTGGGCTGCCAAGGGATGAGAAAGCACAGGTAGCAAAATGGAGTTGTTGTTGAGTCGCTCAAATCCTAACTCGAAAATAGTCATCTGAGCACGTAATGTCAACACCATAACATTGTCGCTGTTGTTTTTGTTGATCAATCGAATGGGAATATCACGCAAGCCTGGAGTCTGATCTTCACAAGCTTTGGGGTCTAATACACCTTCAATTCTACATTGACCCATTGGTGCCAAATCATATTCTCGAGCAGACTGTTCACCGCTGGCGATGGTCGGCTCTAGCGTGATATAGGATGGTGCCTCTATGGTATATCGTAACATGATATCTGACAAGTTCCGAACAGCGAAGTAGAAAGGCATGGGTTTCCAAGAGGTGGCATGACCAATCTTACCAATGTTGATGGATTTTACGCTGAGATCAGCAACAGATGCGCAGAAGCTTGCTTCCAAGTCAAATACTTTGATGACGTTCTTAGTGATCGCGTCATAAAGAACAAGCAGGCCGCGGATAGAACCACGTTCTCCAACACTGAGTTGCTCCAATTCTGTAGCAGACAAATCTTCTGGTGATGGTGGATACACTGTGATGGAACACACTTCGTTGTGAGTAAGTCTCAAAGCTGGTCCACAAGCGTGAAAAGGCATCCCAGGTTCTATTTCGGCGGCGCATACATCATCCGAATTCCACTGGGACTTCATAGTAAGGTCGCTCAAAGGTGTTAGATGCATCAAAGCTTCTGACATATTCTCTACTTCAAAGCTAGGTAACTGCTTGGCATCGTTGGAAGTTGGATCATGAGCGAATGTGTAGCTTGGGCTAGTATCCGTCTCGTCAGCCACGTTCTCTGAGTCTAGCTTGAGAGGTCGAACATAGATATCTTCCCATTTGATAACAGGCAGTTGGTGTGTGTCTCTGTGATAATGTCTGTCGGATGTTTCCGACAACTCGGATATATCAGATGGCCAGTTGACACCGCTGTCGGTGGATGGGATCTTCAGCGTTCCACAGTCGACAAAAAGACGAACTTCGATATCAAACACTTCCATGCTGTTGTACTTGTTGATGATGGTGATCTTTTCCTTGAGCAACCCATAGATGGTGGAATAGATTTTGAACGTTATTTGAGTTGCTGATACACTCCAGGCTGCATCATAAGATGGTTTTCTAGCATTGGCGTCGGTAAATGCCTTTGCTTTCAATTCGGACATGCGCCATCCATCAAGAGTACCACTATTTCTATCCACAACAATGTTGCTACTAGAACATTCAACTTCGTAATCAAGAGGTAGCCTTCCACTTTTGTTCTTGATCGTAAAGTGGCCATAAAATTCTCCTCCTAAAATATCAGTGTAGCCCATATTGATGATTTTGTCCGATACTTCGAGGTTGGATTGGCCAATGAGAGATGTGAACTTAACAGTCTGCTGGAGAGCAAGACAGTATTCTCCTTCATCGGCTTCGTCCCTGATGGGCTCGAAGCCATCGGATTTCATGTAGATACCAAACTTGATACCACCAACGAGCTCTCGACATTCGTCTCCCGAGGTATTTAAATATCCAGATAACAAGTTCGGTTGAACGGCCACCCACACGGTCGTCATGCTCTTGCGCTTAAAGAACATTCTCTCAACTTGACCACGCTCAATATTTTCGTCCTGGAAGATGACCACTTGTTGCGACAGATTACTCTGACAGCTAATGTACAAATCATCATCAGTAATGTTCTCCACCAGCAAAGGCGTGACTTGAGAGTATTTGCACCCAGGATCAACATAGGAGTAGCCCAGATCAAGCTCACCATCCCCACCTAAGGAGGGAAATCGCAAATATTGACCACGATGAACCATACATTGTACTGTGAAAGGAAAGACAGATCCAGTGGCAACGTTTCGTAGGAGAATGTGATGTTGCTGTAATCCTATGGTCTTTGGAACGATCGGAAAGATGACCTTGCGTTGTTCCTCAGGCTTAAGTAGTTGCTTAACATCCTCAAAATTATTGAAGAAATCGTATTCTGCAGGATCAATGATGACTTCAAAATACAGTCCTTTTTGAGATCGATTGGCCACGTTCAGGTAAAACGTGGTGGGTTGATCAAGCTCGAGCCGGCCACAATCAAGGAACGCTCTTTCCAGTGATAAGGGTTCCATCTCTGGCTCTCTGTCTATCACATGATCTGCCTGCAAGCTTGGTTGGCCTTCTTCCACTCCTGGTTCAACACCGTTTACAACATGCTCAGCAACAATTGTATCATGATTTACAAGCATAGGTTCATCTCCTGTCATTTTCTTGGCAACATTGTTGATGAATGCTCCTTGATCTCGGCATATTTGCGCGGTGAAAACAATTTTTTTGCAGATATCAGTGTTCTTGTGCTCATGAACGAAGATTCTTCCAGTGATCTGCTCAAGAGTAGGGACGTCCTTCGAACTCCTATCGTCCGGTGTCACATTTCCACTTGTTATGACAGTGCTAACCGGTTTAAGGTACACAGAGATGGTCTTGGTAGCATGCGCATCAAGGGAGAAGATGACGCTATTTGCAGTTCTCTTGTACTTTTGTGAGGTTTGAGAAGAAACAGTAGACATAGTATCAGAGCGCAGCTTTGCAGCGGCTTCCTTGACAATGCTGACAGCGGGGTGATCGATAAATCCATTGGTGCCAGGGGATATATTACTACTATCCGTAGGCGCATCAGGTGCTGTCGTGTCACTTTCTGGAGGTGCTGTTGATGATGATCGCTCACTCTCAGGTTCACCATGCAGATTGCTCTCAATCTCAAAAGTAGTCTTCTTGAGTTTCGCAAGTTTCTTTAAATACTTCTTGACCTTGTCAGCGTGACCTTTCCTCCGCGCGATCTTCAACTTTTGCTCCAGAGTCTCAATCTCTTCTTCTTGCTCCTTGGTCAAAGTACCTTCGTTATCATCCTCCACAACATAATCGAAATCAACAGTACAGAAATCAAACTGCATTTCTTTAGGATCCGTGCGAATTTCAAACGTCCGAGACTGCTTGTTGGTGTTTGTGATGACAATGGTTTCAACGCGCGAACATAGCTGACCCATAAAGCAAACGCCAAAGTTCATCTGAAGGGACTTGATGAAGAAAGTGGATGGTTTCCGAACATTTGCTTTCACTAAGACAACTTGATCATTCTCTCGATCTCTGATGTTTTCCACAACCAAGCGCTCCATAAATTGGCCGGGTAAAGTAGGCTCGAAAACGAAATCGATTTCACGTTTGCCGAAGGCTCTAACAACGCCATGTCGTCCAGACCCGAGCATAATATCACCAGAGGCAATGGAACCTGATTTTCGAATGGTATAGAGAAGAGAAGTTTCACTTCGGTTGTGCAATATGATACTCTTTGTCCTTCGTTCATTGCGTTCAAGTAGACCAAAGTTGATATTCTTCTGACCAAGGTCCATAACTGACCGACAAAGATGAGATCGCACAATCAGCTCTCGAAGTGGGATTTGCGAATGGTCTAGGTCCCTCAAAGATTCGAACTGAGTTTGCTCAATGCTGCGGTCGAACTCAATCAGGCGAAGGAAAATACGAGCATCTTGCTTTCTTGGCGTATTCTGAATATGAGGTTTGGTGGAACCATCCGGGGTAAAAACAATGATCACTTCTTCTTCTTCACCAGCTTCAATCTCGATCTGCTTGGACGCAACAAGAATTTCCTTTTCGATCAAACGTTCCAGTTCATGACGCCAGGCCATTTGATGACGAACAAACTTTTCTTCCACAGACTGCTTAGGAAACAGAGGTGGTAAAGCTTTGGAACAATGTTCTAAGACGGCAATAAGATCATCAAACGGTACTCTTGACATGCCGGTTATATCAGACCAATCCAAATTTTTTCGTGACTTGTGCCGCGCGGCGGTGATACCCAAAGATCTACTAGATGCATTCTTAGAGTCATCACGGGATAAGGCTAAAGCAGGTCGTCTTGGTATTTGACTGCTGCTAAGTTCTCGATCGGATGAAGGAGTTGAGCTTTGCGTCGAGGATGATTTGCCGTTCAACATTTTCCGGCTTGTTTCCTTATTCCTTGAATCTTTAAATTTATTTGATAAGGAAGCGATAGGTGCTTTGTGGTTGAGAGCCTTTATATTCAAGAGCTTCTTGCGCATGTTGCTCTGGGAACTAGGAATCGCCAGATCAAGGTAGGCCGTTTCACTATGCAGATAATCCTTACGCGTGGCAATATTGCTTCGAACTTGTCGTACAGCAGAGATAGCTGCTTGATTGGATGTGAAATTCTTTGCCACGCCAGATGGAACAGTAGAAATCTTGTTTGTTGTATTAGGATGTTTTCTTGCTTCACTTTGATCACTAGATTGAGATGTCGGAATTTCAGACTTTTCATCCACCGTTGGTCGCTCCTCTGATTCCAGTTTCTTCACTTCATCCTTCTCTACGTCTGGTTCCACATCGACCTTCTTAGCTTTCTTTCGCGTATATATTACAAAGTCGTCTGGGAGCGAGGTGGTCACCTCTAATTTGAGCGTTCGATTGCTGATATTGTCAATGGTGAAGGTTCTCAAGGCTGGAGAATTCAATGCGATAGGTCCAAAATCGATGAAGTTGGCTCCAGTAGCGGTCAGAATTCGATAAAACAACGAATGAAAAGTAACTCTATTTTTGTCAATGTTGGTACTTCGAACTTCTATAATCTGATCGTTTTTGCGGTTGAGATAATTCACTAAAGTCAGTTGTTTGCGGTAGTCGGCATTGACTTTGCGAGGGTACATGTCTAGTTTCAATTCAAAGAGACTTCTTGGCGGAATAGAGATTTCTCCACGCTGACAATTCAGGACTTTGGAATTGAACTGGAGTTCAACTCGAGCTGGAATATCGGAACGGTTAAAGATGTTGACAGGTAGTGATTTAAGCGCTCCAACATCAGTGTCGCCAAAGTTGATTTCGCGAGGTATGGCTTCCACGAACGATGTACAGCTGCGAGCTTTACATTGGATTACTTTGCGTTCTTTGGAAGCACCAGAACGATAAGGACCATATTCGATGACAATTCGAAAATTCCGTCGCATGAGTTGACCAGCGTTAAAGTCGGTCGGTGAGTTGTCCATCTCTGGTCGATACGAGACTTGTATACGTCTTTCGCTGCCAGCTCTTATTATGATGTCTTCAATTCGCGTAAAGTTCTCTAAACCAGTGTTACCTGCAGAGGCAACAGAAGACTCATCAGCAGACTCGCTGGTTTTCATCGTTCGGGTACCTTCAGCATCCGTATCAGAATCGTCATTGAACGACGTTGATGAACTAGGTACTCGCAAATTGCTTGGTTTTGGAGATCGCAGGGAACTTTGTACAGATGGACCTAATGAATCTATTGATACAGGTAAAGAGCTTGTCTCTACCTCCTTGGATTTAGAGTGGGGGAGAGTCGGGGATGACGCACGTGAGCTAACCTCACTATTAGGACCAGAAAGTTCGCTAATGCTGGCGACTGGAGTAATGGTTGGATTTGTAGTTGAAGTTCCACTATACGGATCTCTAAGCAGCCGTGGGGCTAATAACCTCTTCTTGTCGATATTTCCCATATCTTTTGATGATTCTAAACCACTCTTGATATCGAAATACATTTCTGCACCATCGGACGCGAGGTGAACATCCATTGGCAATTCGCTGACATTCCTCAAGACAAGCTGCTGAGTGGTCCACGCACCAGCACAGCAATCGCCAAAATCGACTACGTTTCCGCTGCTGACAACTAGGGTTTCATCCTTGAGGACAGATCGAACCGATGCATGTATTCGAGTTTGTTCCAAATTTCTAGAGTCATTCACATTCTCGACTTGCAAATCATAGTTGAATTCGCCAACTTCCTTGGGCTTAAAGGTAACTCGTACTCGACGATGAGAGTAACTAGGTATTGGCTTATTGTCAAGTACCTCGCCCGTGTCGTAGTCCGTAAATCGAAGACTGTCATCCTTATTGGCGTTGTTGATATCGACAGTATTGAGCAACCAGAATAAATCGATTTCAGATTTGTTGGAGATGGTGAAATCCTTAAAGTAAGTTCCTCCAACAACACAATCATCAAAGTTTAAGCCAACCTCGCTGATATCGGTCCAAAGTACACTTTGACATACAGTAGATCGGAATTTGACACTGAGCTGATAATCTGGCTCGGCCCCGGCAAGTTTGTCGTCTGTTGACTGCGTCAGGTAGGCTGTATCTGGAGACTCTGAACGAGAATCTGCACTTTTCTCATACGATTTTTCATGCTTGTATCCAAAGAAGAACAACATGCCATTCACTTCGAACGTGTTGTAGGTGTCTTCTTCTTTGCCAGGATCATACCGAGTATGGAACCTAGTTTCGCCTTTGACAGCTGATTCATCATCTATGGCGTCCTTTTCTTCAGCCAGGTTGTCGGCATCGCTTTCATCAATATGGCCAGATGCTGCTCTATTGGCCATACGATTGGGCAGCAGGGCGAGAACAATATACTTGGTTTGAAAAGGTTGAAGCTCCACTTCGTCTATATGGTTGACATAATTGAACAGTTGATTGAAATGGCTATTCGAAAATTCCTCTAAAGCCTTATTAGACCGGCTAACCGTGGAAGCTGCTACTGTATTGGATACGAAATCTTCTTCCTCTGGACCGTCGTTATCTACAATTGGAAGGTTCTCGTTGTGTAGCTGGAAAACGATCTGACGTCGTAAGTTCGATCGCATCTTGACTGTGACATACTTGTCGCAAAGATTCCGAAGCTTGATATGCCGTAATGCGTGCATCCCGTTGAAGTAAACATTGTCCAAAGTTATTCGGTTGTGGATTCCGACCAGCTCAAAGATTGCTGGTTCGGATTGTTGCGTAGTCATGCTGCAACTCCCGATGTAAAGACAGGATCGCACCCAGGAATCGGGGAATAGGGGCGTGAAGTACCAGTCTGCTCAAGTATTGAGTTTGAAAAGCAGAGTACTTTCTAGAATAGACGATAGAAAGGAAAGATAAAAAGAGTCTTGCTTGCTTTGTGCTTTTGGGGATATGTACGATCGTCGTTCCAGAGCCAAAATGGCAGGTCACGCGATCACCCACTCCACCGAAGTCAATCTTGATTTTGATGTGGTAAATCTTCAAAGAAGCAGCAATATAATGTTATAGAACATCACTCTGAAAAACATCTTTTTCATATGAGAACACTTGGAATGGTTTATTAGAAATTATCATTGCTTTTGCAAAGTGTATCACCAGATGTGTAAAGTCGGCCCTCTTGTGAATTCATCGTAAAATACAGAACTATATATCGCCTTTTTTGCCTAATCATCCGTCCTTATGAGCGTTTAGGATGTAACTATTTTAACAGATGTTCCGTAAAGAATTGATGTGAGTATTTGGTGACAATGATTCTAGCGAAAGCAGCGCGGTCAATAATGGCAGTGGCAATTATCAGTGGCAAAGCCACTGTATAATTTGTGACTCGAGATTTTGAGTCAGGATGCATCCCCGTTCAAAAAAGTCCTGACCCTGCTTTTATTAACACGCTTGCTCCTCGCACACCTTCTGTGAACTTGCTTTTCTTCGTGTGTGTCTGAGTGCGTGTGTATGCGTCGATTTATCCTGAACTTATCTCCTATATCTTATCGCTCAACTCGTTCATTTTATCAGCTTCGTGTTCATTCCACCATGTCAACCTCAGTGTCCAGATCGCAACCAAAGTGGCACCTCCCTGCTCAAAAGGAGACACCTGTTCTCAAGCTCCAGAACTCTCTTACCAAAACAAAGGTATATATGAATTACGACGGGAGCCATTTAGTTAACGTGTACTTAAATCTGGACGCTGCATAGACCGACTTCATTCCAATCAACGGCCGTAGAGTGACATGGTACAACTGTGGACCAACTGTCTATGATGCATCACATATGGGTCATGCCAGGTACGTCCCTCGGTTTTTTGTAGGATTGAGCCCCTCGTTTGTATTTGATCGCTTGATTTACAAACGCACTAATTACCCAGAACCTACCTGACCATGGATATCATTCGCCGTATATTGGAGGACTACTTCAAATATGATGTGTTATTCGTCCAAAACGTTACTGATATCGATGACAAGGTAAGCTCTCTCATTTTAGTGAAATGTTTGCTTCTATTGTGAGCTATGCAAGCAACTACTGGCGGAATAGATCTGACCATTCAGTACAGATCATTCTACGAGCACGCCAAGGTCATTTGTTCGAGACAATGAAGAATGCTACTCCAGCGTTGAGCTCCGAACTTGTTGGTGCAGTTAAAAACGCATGGAAGGAATATGCTGATTCCAAGATGGAACGCATCGATTCTGATGCCTCAAAAGATTGGCCTGCGTTCAAGCAAAAGATGACACCAGAGGCAGTACAAAGTGCACTTCTCATTGACGAAAAGTTCAAGATGCATTTCACAGCTTTGGTAGGTGTCTATAATTTTATATCATTTATTTCGTGAACAAGATGCTCACCTGTGATTGTAGGACAACTCATATAACGCAATAGCAAATGCTGAGAAGGAGTTAGCAGCAAATAGCACTAGCAAAGAAAACGCTGGTAGATTATTGGAAGAATCAAAGGATGTCGTCTGCCTTTGGCTGGATAAGGAGGTATGTCCTTGGATCAGCATACAAAGGTTTCGGTCCAACGATTGATATGCAACCTGATAATTTCCTCCCATACTAATCTTGCGCTCTTTTTTTTGGGAAATTATTCGTATCCAGAAAAAGGACCAAGTCAACGATCCCAAGATTTTCCGTCAGCTGCCCGCATACTGGGAAGATAAATTTTATGAAGATATGGCTGCCTTGAATGTCCGTCTTCCCGATGTTCAAACCAGAGTTAGTGAATATGTGCCAGAAATTGTAGACTATGTTCAAAAAATCATTGAAAACGGTTACGCCTATGAGGCATCGGGTTCAGTCTACTTTGATACTGGCAAATACGATGGTCATAATGGTCATCACTATGCAAAACTTGAACCATGGTCCAAGGGTAACCAGGAACTTATTGATGATGGCGAAGGCTCTCTCGGATCCAAGCTTGAAGGAAAGCGTAGCCCTAATGACTTTGCTTTGTGGAAGACATCCAAGCCAGGTGAACCAACTTGGAATTCACCATGGGGCAAGGGCCGACCAGGCTGGCACATTGAGTGCTCTGTTATGGCAGGGTAATGGCATTTCATCTACATTTACCGTTCAGCTAAGACACTAGTTTACTCATACACACTCGTTGTTTTTAATCAACTCTCACTTAGTGCTGTGCTTCCGGAAAACATCGATATTCACTCTGGAGGTAGCGATCTCGCATTCCCTCATCATGACAATGAAATCGCTCAGTCCGAAGCTTACTATAACTGCAAGCAATGGGTCAACTACTTTTTGCACGCTGGCCATCTCCATGTTGAAGGTCAAAAGATGAGCAAAAGTCTGAAGAACTTCATCAGTATTCAAGAGGCGCTGCAGAAATATACTGCTCGCCAATTGAGACTTTTTTATTTGATGCATCAATGGGATTCCAGAATGGACTTCAAGGACTCTGGCATGCAAGATACCATGGATAAAGAAAAGTTTATGAACGTAAGGATCATTCCAAAGTATGAAGAATTGAACCCAAACGGGCCTTGTTGAACTAAATCCGCTACACGGCAGAACTTCTTCCTTTACGTCAAAGCTATGGGACGAAAGATTCGAGAAGACGGTAGTCGTGGAGCCATAGAAAAATCCGATGGTTCTCTTACTCACCGATTCAATGATGAAGAACGCGAGCTTATGAACATGTGAGTTTTATGTATTTCTAGAGAGTATTCAATATCCCTGTCATCTTACCGTCTGCCGTGCAGCCTCGCTCAAAAGCAAGACAACGTTCACGCAGCACTCTGTGACTCAATCAATACTCCGCTTGCTGTTCAAGAGATGCTTGACCTTATCAGCCAAGCGAACAAATATGCTGCTTCCAAAGGAAATCTGGTCAACATACACGTGCTGGAGAAAGTGGCAAAGTGGACCACCTCCATGCTCAAGGTATTTGGTGTAGCAGACAACGGAGCTGAGATAGGATTTGGCGCTACAAATAATGCTGGTGCTGCCAATGTAAGAAACCGACGATCGGTGACGTGAATCGAACACTATCCCCGCCACATGTCTGACATTCTCTTTCACAGCTCGAAGATACTGTTATGCCTTATCTTGATGTGCTTTCTAAATTCCGTGACAGTGTCCGAGGTTTTGCAAAAGAGCAAAAGAGTCACGCCGAATTTCTGGCTTTGAGCGACAAACTAAGAGATGATGAGCTTGTCGAATTAGGTGTCTTGTTGGATGACCAAGAAGGTAAGATTGTGTGATATGGAACAAGAGGTACAGAACAAACGTGTAATTTTACCAAATTTAACTATGAATTTTCTTCTAGATGGGACAGCACTTATTAAATTTGTAGACAAAAATGAGCTCATCAAACAACGTGAGATCAAAAGAGCCCGTGAAGCGGAGAAACAAGCAAAAAAAGCGCAAGCTGCTGCTCTACTAGAACAAAAGCGTCTGGAGCGGTTGGAGAAAGGAAAGGTTGCACCTGAACAGATGTTCTTGAGCTTGGACAAGGAATTTTCAAAGTTTGATGAGAACGGCATTCCTACTCATGACAATGAAGGCACTGAAGTGGCCAAGAGTCGACGAAAAAAGCTCCAGAAAGAATGGGATGCGCAAAAGAAGCTTCACTTGGAGTATCTGAAATCTCTTCCAAAATGAGCCAACATAGTACAGGCAGGCTCTCCGCCTCATCCAACTTACTTACTGTTAGACCGGTGTAACCTTTACAATTAAACCAAAAATTAGGGTCAATAAAAATGATCAACACAAAAAATTACAACGTATGTACTGTTGGAAAGTGCTAACTGAAGACCAACATTACCGCTATCAATTGCGCCGGACATTAGAGGGAGAATACCGGGATCCGGTATCTAAGGCGGTTGCAGTGACAAATACTGTCGTAGATTCTAACATAGAATTAGGCGATGTGGAGCAGGGCTCAGTCACACAGCATTATACTGCCGAGCAGGGTCCCCTCATCGACAATAAAAGAAGTGTTCAAGTCCCATGTACAAACAATTTCAGCTAAACTACTCTTTCCTCTCTTTTCTTGAACATTCAATGGTCAGAATTGCCATCTTTGCTGTATTGGCGCAACTGGTCGTATCCTCAGTTGCTTGCGGTTCCCACCCCAAAAAGCACGGCAAAGTTAGTGCCTACGTTACTGACTGGTAGGTTAAAGCAGTAAGAATTATGCGTAGATAAGAAAAATCTCTGACATCAATTGAATAAATTAGGGATCTCCCCACCAACATCTCTTACGACAAACTTGACCATCTTCTCTACTCGTTCGCTGTTCCTGATAAAACTGGTGCTCTTGGCCAATTTTCCGTAACTCAACTCCAAGGCGTTGTAAAGGACGCTCATGCCCATGGCAAGGCCGTTTCTTTGGCTGTTGGAGGGTAAGCAATTCCACCACTGTCTAAGGGAGCTTGGCATAAACTTCATCCATCGCTGTAAAACTAACTTGTACATCCAACTTACTTCTACTTCGCCACTCGCTTACTTATCGGCAAATCCGAAAATCTTTTTCAATTTTCATAATTTTTGCCTGAACCTCGTGATAATAGATGGACTGGCTCTCTCTACTTCAGCAGTTTGGTTCAAACTGCAAGCTCACGCGACGCTTGGACGGACGTTCTCGTGAAAGCGGTTCAAGACTATGACTTGGACGGTCTCAATCTCGACTGGGAATACCCTAATAACCCCAACGGAGTTGCCTGTAACACAATGTAAGATGAAATGGCCGTCTTCGTCATAAAATTGCTGTATTACTTGAGAGTTCCCTCGCATTAATTCTCATCTCCCTCCTCCTGTCAATAGAAATGCCCATGATACCGCAAACTTTTTGTCCTTCGTTCAATTGCTCCGCAAAAAGCTCAAGGCCAACTTCAAGTCTGCCAAATTGATCACTGCTGCCGTCTCTACCTCTCCTTTCAACGATGCATCTGGTAACCCCTCTTCCAGACTTCCTGGTTGGGCTGCTGCTATGGATTACTTTTATATTATGGTAAGGTTATTCATGCACAAACTGTTATGTAAACGAGACTCAAATTTATTAACGACATGTATCGTATCAGGCTTACGATATTGCCGGCAACTGGTAATTACACATTTCTCACTTCAAATCATTGCTTGCGATAAATGCTAACCCTTTCGTTTTTATTTTACAGGAAAACCGACACTTCCTCCAATTCCCCTCTCTACTCTACCAAGTATGACGACTCCTCAGACTCTGCGGCCATCGCTGCATGGAGCAAGGCCGGTATTCCCAAAGATCAGCTCGTTCTTGGTGTACCTTTCTATGGATTTACCATCGACACGCAGGTTCCCATCACTGCTAAGACTGGTCAAAGCGTTCCTATGAACACCAACGCTATTCAAGGTGATCAATACGATACCAAGAGTGCCGACCCTTGCCCTGGTGCAGTGGCTACTTACTCTGGTGAAATGCAATGGCGTACTATCAAGGAACTCGGCATTCTCCAGAACAAGAACGGCTGGAAGTCATACTGGAGCTCGGCCAACAAAACTCCTTATGCTTTCAAGGCCTCTAACAGTCAATTTGTTACTTTTGACGATCCCCAAAGTCTCACTCTCAAAGCTCAATATGCCAAGAAGCAAAACCTTGGTGGTATCATGATGTGGTCTCTGGAGATGGTAAGCTGACGACTAAAAATGATGAACTTGTTAATGTCCCTTGTGAATTATTTGGCTAATAATTTTTTATTCTTTTCTGTACAACAGGACGACGCTGAACACAGTCTTTTGAACGCTTTGCAAGCCATCTACTAAACCTGCTTATTATTTCAGCAGTATAATTTCACGGCGTATCATACAGCGATCTTTATTTTCCGTTGACTTACTTTAAGCCGAAGAATAGAACCTGTGTTGAACACAGTTATAAAGTCCCACATGTACCTTGTTAAGCTGAAAGTTTTTAAGTTGGACACCAGCTGCTCGTCGTCCACCGCTCAGTTGTCAGGACACTACGTTGAAAAACCTTGTCAGTGTTCAGACGCAAGAACATTAACAAAAAAAAACCCTTCAAATCAGGCGAATATGAAGAATAGTTATATCATAGCGCTAGGGAAATTCGCTAGAGCGCGTTCAGCTGGACTGGATACTTAAAAACTAAGTTGTCACTCAGAAAGGTTGACACAGAAAGAATGACCACGACAACGATGGAGGAATGATCGTAAATTATGAAGTGCCTGAATCGTTAAAGAAAAAGTAGATTCAGAGGTAGTTGAAGGAAGCAAAAGCAAATCCAAAATTATTTTCAAAGATCAAAATTTGGTGACAAGAGCGGGGTTCGAACCCGCGCCAGCTTACGCTGATTTGATCTTAAGTCAAACACCTTAACCACTCGGTCATCTTGCCTCGAACCCAGGGCTAAACGGTTCCTGTTAGGGAATTTTTCCATTGCACCAAGAGTCTGCTTTTTTAAAACTCGGCATTCCTGATGTTTACCTTGTTTAAAACTCAGATTTTTATTTTAGACGCTGATGTGGTATGATACGCCTGGTAAATCATCACTTTATCCTTTTGATAACATTATTATTTTTACACGCTCTCATTTGATGCTATTAAATACAGCCATGATAATGTGGAAAATGGGATATAATTTATATGACAAAAGGTTATTTCTGTTTTGATGACGTAACATTCGCACTGGCCTGACTCCATGCTTGGTGTACTGGTGAGAAAAGTTGACTTGTTCGGTGACAGGATCGATTGCAAAGCGTATTATGAAGGTGGAAGAAGCTTTATACTGATGAAATGAGAAGAAGTTTTTAAGAGGCTGGAGCGTCCTCTCGCATACAGCTTGTGGGATAAGTTTTTTACGCCCAGGAGACCGAATTTTTTTTTTTACCAGCTCTCAGTATCTACATCTCTCATCTCTGCAGTCTTTGAGTTCCGATAAAAAAACAACCTCTAAACTGTTTAAAGACAATGGCAGTACCTAAGCATTTTGGTAGTTAACATACTGCTTTCCCCGTGGCATCCACTTTACCCGTCCAAGTCAATTTTTTCGGAATACTTGAAATTTTATAAAGTATCATAATTACCCATTAACGACTTTGCTCATTTCTGTGCTTACCTCACGGTCTCTTCAATTTCTGTTTTTCTGCGAACTTCAGTTTATTGGGGGATGAATTCTTATGGCGTTCCTTAGGTATCAATGGTGAATATCGCCCTAGTTCCATTGCCCAGCTGCACTCACCTTGGAGGCCAAGTCATACAATATGTGGCGGGCTTGCTGATAGACTGATGGTAAGGTTTTTTTTTTTTTGAAGACAAGTATTGGTGATCACGCTCGTTACAGCCCTGATCATGAAAAGAACCTATCATGCGTACTAGGACGCACTTGAACTTGAAATACCTTCGAAGCTCTTAACGTTAACTGAACAAATGATATGGGCAACTTTTACCGAGTTGCGATAATCCTTAGATCTCGGCCAGTTGTCAGTTCAACAGCACAGTCAGTGTTATGTACACTCATATGCAAACCTGAGTCGCGTGTTGAGTTTGAGTTCAATGTTTGACTGTAATATAATTGATTTAGTTTGATGACTTTGGTATCTTTCTCTACATAGCATTATCACTATGTATTCCCTACTTTGGATTACACATATAACAGCTCATGGACGGAAAATTTTGGGGAAATAATAAAGAGGTCAAATGGAAAGGAATACTGGTGCTGTACAATATTGCTCACTTAAAAAAAAAAATCATGTCTAGACTATAGACTATTCATCTGAGAATTGGGTCGATTGCGTTCACAATGGAAGTGTGTAGCCGCAATCGTCATTTCCAACTGTTTGCAGCAGTAACCCTATCTTGTTTGATGGGTTACTCGCACAAATGCTCGAGAGGTATACTTATATTTTGGTATTTATTTATTTATTTAACCTTGCGATGATACTATTTTTTGCTTATGAAATCAATCAATAGACTAACAAGCATCAAATATAAAAGAATTCAAGCAAAAAAAAAATGCTGTAAATAACTCGCAGTGCTCATAAAAAATGAAAGTCTGTATGAGGTTGGGGCCCAAAGTGAACTTCTAAACCATTTCGACTGATGAAAAGAAAAGATGGCTGTATGCATATCACATTTTTATTATCATTAACCCGAATTCAAGTGAATGTTTTCAGGGCTGCAATGAGAGTGACAAATGGACGCAGCTAGCATACTAATCATTGGAAAAGTGCTTTAATTCAAATAATGAAGGATACCTCTTCCTCAGTTTAATATGCCTTATTTTGGATCGGCTGCCACGAAGTCTAGCTGATACCATGTGACCTGCAGAGACCTACTTTCAGCGCCGACAACTTATCACGGTACAAGCGAAGCTCACCTCTCACTACCCATAACCTCTTCATGGGACTAACACGACTACCGACACCAGAACCTATTCTCGAAGAACTTTGTGCGAGGAAACCGCTGCCTCCACTTTGCCCGGCTCAAGTATATAACCGAGATCTGACAGCCAAGATTGACGCACTACCGTTTCATGCCAATGTCAAAGCGGGGTTGCACCTTATGAATGACGATTGGAAACGAGCGCACGATCTCGTCGAACCACTTGACCCGGATCAAACTGCAAATTATTGGCACGCAATTGTGCATAGACGAGAAGGAGACTTTTGGAATTCAAAGTGGTGGTTTCGCAAGATCCAGCATCCGCTTTTAAAGACAGTTTATGGTAACGACAGTAACCGAGGGGCCCAAGCCTTTGTGGACCAAGTTGAGCGGGGTGACAGTGTTTCTCGGTTGGAGGAGAAACAATTGAATGAAATGCGGCTGCTGATGGATTATGCGTTCAAAGAGTATGCTCAGTGATAACCTGGCAAAAATGGACTAGGTGAGTAGAACTGTGTCGGGGTTGATTATTTGGTGGGCCAACTTCATTTCATCCTCAATGCGCCTTGTTCTAATGTTCTTTAGTCATATATTGCAAACCCTTCATCGTGTAGACATCATCCTTTTTGAAACTCTTGCAGAACTTCCGATCAAATACTCCATGCACAGGACTTTAATGCAACTCCCATCTACCAACATCTTATCCATCTACAAACACCATTCTTTTATTCAGTGTGTTGTGGGGATATGATACAACTTATCGTCTTCCTATACAATAATGTATTTTTGGTATGCAAAGGCTGTATTAAAAACCATTTTTACACAACCGAAACAAGAAGCAGTGATATGATAGTGAACCATGCGCTAGTTGAAATATATCTTTCTAATTCCTCCCGAGCAACACTACTCTATGCTACGCCTTGAAAATCTTTAACAAGGGCGGTGATGGCATCAACTGTTCCTATAGCGGCACAAAGGACACCAATAATACAAATACATATACAAGCTACAAAATTAACCCATCCTATGCGTGCAAGCCCAAACAGTTTCACGTAGAACAGACAGGGAAACACGAGAAGAAGGAACCCCGAGGCCAATGCACCCAATAGAGCCATGAAGTCTCCGAAGAAAGGAATGATGATGGCAATGGTAGCGCAAAAACACAGCTCAGCTATGCGCAGTATAGTGCGAAATGTAAGCCACGTTAGTTTGGAAAATCGTTCGTTTGCTTGTGTTATGCCCAGCATTCGTTCGATCTCCATGGTGAATGAAAATAGATAGATGGGAATTGCGAGGAGAACGTGAATGGTGATGACCACCATGGCGATGTTTTGAGGAGCTCCAGATGGAATGCTAGCGTATACGGGGGATTTCACTGTATTTCCGTAGACTAGGTAGCATGGTACACCTGTCAGAATGTACATGGAGGTGATGAGAAAATTTGCGGCCAGCAAGACCTTGTTCCAGCTCTTAGGATCTCTCATGGATTCTTCGACTTGGGGATAAATGACGTTTCCACCGTATGAGAAAGCAAACATGCAGAGAGCGATCGGGAAATACCTCGGTCTTGCAATGTCATGCTGGTGATCCATGCGAGTTTGTTCAAAATCTGCCACCGACATGACAGCTACTACAATGACAACGCAAACTGTGGCGAGACTTCCAAAGAAACTGTGACAAAGCTGTTAGAGGATGGGGGCTCGAAATAAACTTTTCGATCTGTTTCCTAATCTGCTTACCTCATGACAGCTACTTCTTTCATATTTTTCACCACAATAAATGGGATACATACAGCGACAGTCAAAATCCAGACCCAAGCCTTCATTGTAATTGGTACATTCAAGGGCTGCATGAGCGCGGCAAGGTTATCGCCGGCCAAAATGAGGTACAGCACTGGAGTTGTCAATAGGAGTGTATAATTGAAAGCGAGGACTAGTGCACGACCTGCTTTTCCAAACGCCTCATAGCCGATTTCTGGGAAACCTGAAAGTCGCCGTTTGCTAGACAAGGAAAAAGTCAGTGTGAAAATTGTTGAAACGCCAGTACGAGTCCACTGCCACTCTACTTTCAGATAGCCAAAATACCTACGGATCATAATAAAGGCATTTGATCAACAAGGCTCCAGCATAGTTGGACATTACCGCACTCAGCATCAATAGAAATAATCCTATCCAACCGGATTGCCGGAGAGCATATGGAATACCGAGCGTGCCGCTACCTGCCACGACGCAACTACACATAAGGCCGGGTTAACCATATAATATCGTATAGATGTTGATTCACCTCTTTTCACTTACACGATGTTAATGAAGGCCGAAGTGTTGGAGGCGTTTCGCACTAAGCCTAATTTTTCCTCTGCTGGCTCCAAGTACATGGCCGAGTGTTCAAATTTGCCTATCAAACGAGAGATACTATGGTTAGGTGTGTTTGTTGTGTCAGAAAAGCTGTTGGTTTGTTGAACATTTTACTCTACCATCGTAGGAACAAGCGCGCGATTCGCCTGATATTGAGACGTTATCAGGTCGAGGTGAGGCAGATTTGACCATACAAGCTTTGGCAGTGCCAGGAAGAAGAGAGTTCAATAGCAAGTTGGGTAAAGGAGATTAGAAAATAAAGTGAGAATTCCCAGGCAATACTGTTTTGAATCAATCTCGAAACTATCATTTTGGCGCATCTAGCCAAGGATTATAGAATGGACCAAGGGTTGGATGAACACTCACCAACGGCACGGCAGGATTAAACAATACAAGGTTGCAAACGAAGCACATGGGAAGCTGTGCATGGAGTCATGAAGAAGAAACATATGTTGGTCGCTATACATTTATTGCAGAAGGCATATGAAAGCTGGTTGTCTATGTCTGATCCACAAACAATAATCATGAGTGTTGCAATAGCAACCAAGAAGTAACAAGGTTTGATCTCCATTTTGTCACCCGCAAATTTTCCGTATTTAGATAGGAAGATTTAGTTGGCTTGGATAATAGCGGCGGTCAAGCGATCATTGGACGGCAAAGGAAGGCTTGAAAAAGGAGGTTACGAGGCAATTACATTACAATAGGCAAAAGACCAGAATACAAATCAGAGAGTTGACCGTTGATAGTAAAGGGTTCGGGGTTCTATACATATGATGATTGTAATCATTCATCCTTGCTTTTAATACTTGGTTCCGTTTGTTCCTTTGGCGTCGGCCACCAACCACTGAAATAACCGGACCAGCCTGCCGCAGATGCTTCAGATAAGCTGGTTGATGGAGTGACCTTTTTGGCTGATTCGTACGATGCTATGGAGTCAAAGCTCTCTGTTCTTTCCAGTAATGTTGGCTCCAAAGCATCCAAATCTTTCATCATCTTTTCCAGGTGATCCCTCTGTGATCTTAGTTCGGTTTGGTCTTTGGGAGGTGCTCCCAGACTTGCTGGGTGAATGAAAAAAGGATCATCTTTGACTGGACTATTAGGGTCTCTGATAAGCGAAGAAAAGACTGCGAATGGTGTGAGAGAAGCGATATCAAAGGAAGGCAACTTTGAAAAAGCACTTGTTTGTGGTGGAGGAGCAGGTGTTGCTGATTCTGGTCCAGCCGAAAGTATCATAGCACGCAGCTAGTGGAAAATGGTATACAAACAAAGATGGGTCAACCAGTGAACGAATGAATGGATGACAATCCATCGAGGGCCGCTTGGCTTACCTTGACTAACAAGTCTCCTAGAGCGCTGTTCAAAATAGCGATTCCCCGCTTGCCATACTCAAGGCCTGTGCGCCGAGCTTGCTTCTGAAGATCTAATAAAGCTCTATCGATGCGTGATTCATGCTGGGCTAGAAATGGTTGAATAGCCTGCTGGTAAATGATAACCGAGCCCTGTGACACCATAGTTAGTTTTAAGCCTGCACTTGCTATTTACAACGGGGTCCTGTATTACCTGTGTCTGCGGCAAGATAAACCATATGACCAATAATGCTTTGATGTCGTTGTAAAAGGGAAACCTACAACTTTGGACTCAGAAATTGGACGAAAGAACTGCTACGATAGTATGCCAAGCTTACCAAAACAACACAATATCGCTGACATACTCTGCAACTAGAAAGGTTGCAGTGACTATCCAATACATAAGCAGCGGAGCCAGCTGCTGATAGTTGCTACTGGATTTTATGGCCTTGTATGAAATATAAGCTGGATATAATTGTAATAGCAGCGTTTTCAATATGAAGTAAAGAAATGTCGGTAGCATTTGGGAAATGTTGTTCGTCAATGGAGAAAGACAAAGCAATGAAACAATAGCTCTACTGTAAAATCCAATGCTATGTAGGCTGCCGAAAGGCATTCACGTGGCCAGGTCACGATTTTGTTCGTGGCTGTCAGTGAAAGGTTTGCTTTTCAAAACGTGATACTGCCTGTTTCTGCGCATAAAGTCGAATAGAAAAGTCCCCCATGAACAACCATCGTTCTGGTGTAACAAATTGTGAGATTGTTTGCGCTTTGTTTGCTACGGAACCTCTTTGCGCAGCCTACGTACAAAGCATTTCAAACCTCAAAGATTTCCCAGGCAAAACACTATAAAGGCGCTGCGCCGTGTCGCCTCTACTTCCCTCCACGTATCGCCAATTTCTCTCAAACAAATCTTTCACACTGTAACATGGTTTCATTTGACTGTAGAGTAGATATAGTGTATGGATTTGCTATGTCACTGTCGAACACTGCTGAAGAAAATAACACATCATTTGAACTACAGAAAGGAAGACATCACCTACCATGCGTATGATGCCATTGGTATTGAATACTTTCGTAATATCTCATTATATCACAGAAGATATTTGATTTAACAATATTATACAGTCAATGCATGCAACAGAAACCTAGATGGCAATTATGGAGGTGAGTTTTTTTGTTCATGGATAAAAAGAAATAGACATCGGAAAAAGGACTTTTTGAGAATGTCTCGAACAACTGATAACATGACATTTTTTCATGTAGTCAGTAAAGAAATTCATAAGTAAGTAAATGCGTATAGGTAAAACGGATCTTCAGTTATATTCATATCCTCTCAGAGTTGCTGGACCCAAGTTATTACAAGCATGCCAAAGGCTAGGCGGTTGCGAAATAGGCGTAAGCAAGTGTTGTAAATTGTAGTGAAAATGTTGTAAATTATTTAAGTTTCTCACGCTGTACGAGAGCACAGAACGCCAAGATCACCAAAGGTACGTAGTATAAAACTCGTATTGGTAAAATTGCTTCTAAAAATTTTTGTTAAAAACAGGGTACAATCTCTCAAAATATGTAATACATGCCGTTGGTCCAAATGACCTCGACCGAGGAAAGCTGAGGCATTGCTACACCAAGTCGCTGAGTCTAGCAGAAGAACATGGCTGCATTTCTATCATCTTTCCATGTATTGCAACAGGGCGAGGTCACAAGTATAACTCACACAGGGAGGAAGCAGCCATGATAGCATTGGAGGCAGTAAGGGATTACCTCATGGATAAGAGAAAACAAGGCAAGGTACCGGTAAGGGAAAGGCAGTGGTGGGGAACGATATCAGCAATTCAAGACATCAATTTAACGTGTTATAAGTTCGCAAACATTGTCTTTTGTGTTCATTCTGGCAAATATGAAGAGATTTATAAGCGTTAGTAGGATGAAATATTGATATTCGTATTGTTTTCTATTATTTACGAGTACAATCTGATAGGGCTTATTCCGATGTACTTCAATTTTGGGCCCAATTATGTGGCAGGGCAACCGAACCACCCTGATCAGTTGGCACCTATGGGCCACAAGGATACTCGTCTTCAAAACCCAGTTGATATGACAAATGGTGGTCAAAAATACTTCAACAATGTGCCGAGACAGCAGAATCACCCTACTCAAGCGGCACATAGCGACCGTAAGAATAATGGTCCTCAAAAACCAGATGATGCAACTAATGGCGGTCAAGGATACTACAACAATCGTGAGTCCAACTATGTGCCAAGGCAACAACATTACCCTGGTCAAGTGGCACCTGTAGGCTACAGGAATAATGGTTTTCAAAAACCAGATGATGCCACTGATGTTAATCAAAGAAACCGCCATATGAGGCAGCCAAAAAATGATTAATGCTTCTGGCATTATAAATAGTGGTGTTTATTTTGGAAAGTTATGGGGAAGATGAGGGCTTATCAGCCGTTCATTGTCTGTACAAACAACGAAATAAAGGTCAAATTTAAGAGGTATGTTGGGACTGGTTACGCGGGGCAAAAATGTGTGCAATTTTGACCTCACTTTTTCCTCTTGTGCGGCGTCTTAAAAAACATCGGTTCGGGATTCACACCCAATTTAAAACCTCTTCCTTTCTTCCACTTGGTATCTACCCGTCTTGCTTGAATTCATTCTTCAACACTATGCAAATAGCCAGGAAAAAGCTTGCTGAGAAAGTACTACTGCTGTAGGTATTAGCTTGAGTTTTAGATCAGAACTCGGCCATTGAATTACACTGAACTGTGGTTCTGATATAAATTGTAGGAAAACCGATATTACCACCCTCAATGTGGATGCGATTGGTAGGTGCTGATAGACTTGAAGGATATTTACATTATGGCTTTTTTATTAACACAACATGTGTGGGCTGTTCAGTTAACGCAGCCAACAGTGCTCTGGCTGGCGGAGGTGGAGGTTTGTAAACAATCAATGGCGTTTGGCTCTGCGGGGAGAGGGCTCGAGTTACTACGTGTTCAGTATTCGTTTGACTAACATGTTTGCTTGAAATGAAGTCGACGGCGCGATTCACCGGTAAGGCTCGAACATTGTGATCTGCAAGATCGCAATCAGGAACTCATGTCATTGGTAGAGCTGCAGGACCACAACTGCTAAAAGAATGTCAAAAATTACACGGCTGCGATACTGGCGTAAGTGAAACTTTGCATATCAAGCATACTATTAACCATAGTTCTAACCTTCCAACTTCATGGGCGCGCTAGGATGCCAAAATAACACCGGGTACGTCAATCCATTGTATCAAGGACGGCCACAACCGCTAACCATTCGCTTTAGGATATAATCTTCCAGCAAAGTACGTCATCCATACAGTCGGGCCGCAACGAGAGCTTCCTGACAAGTTGCGAAGTTGTTATGTTCGATCGCTGATGGTGGCAGAAGAGAATGATTGTCGCACCGTGGCATTCCCTTGTATCTCGACAGGAGTCTACGGGTATGATAAGCAAAAGGCAGCACACGTTGCAATGTCTGCTGTGAAAGACTATCTCGTCGATAAGTCGGCAGAACAGAAAAATCCCGTAAGTAGAAATGCATTTGGATATACGTTGCCAGAATCAATATCATCATGGCACTAACTTTTCTGCAGTTTGACAAGATTATATTTTGTTTTCACACTCGTGATGATGAAGCTATTTACAACAGTAAGCTATTGTTACAATCCCGGACTAAAATGGCTCAATGAAATTTACATCTGTTTCCGTTAGCGCTCTTTTCATCCTATTTTCCTGATGATGACGAGTGAGTGGATTGACCAGAGGGAAAAGGTGGCCATAAGCTTAATGAAAATTAGTGTCAATTCAGCGTAAGGAAACCAGTATGCCGTCTGCTAGTGCTGTTGCTTCGGCAGCTCCCATCTTTAACTTCTGAAATTCATCTACAAAAGATATGAATATCATATGAATAAAGTGATTATGAAACTATTGACAATATCAAACATTGGGTGGCCACTTTAACTCACCATTGCCGGGGATATCGTGCCAGTGGGATATGGTATCCAAGCAAGTATCCTTCAATTGACTTAGTAGGAAAGCATCGTCATTCGACAGTGTTCTTGTCCACGGTCCCTTGGCCCATACGCAAAACGAGTAGATCCAGTATTTGATGACAACATGGTAATCTCGCCATTGATCCAACAACTTTTGAAGCTTGATGGTACATAGCTTCAGGAATCTACCTTGGGATCCAAACAGCCCTGCCAGCACCGTCAAAGCTACCGGACGGATATATTGGATCTCCATAATGTGTTCAGCTCTAAGGAAAAAATGCGTAGAAGGGTGAATAAAGAGTAACTTTAGCTTTCGTGCATGAGTACTTTTGCATACCTGATCAACAGAGCTTGCAGTAGCCGCATGGACAAGCTCTTGTCTGTATCGAGGGGCTGCTGTTCAGTAGATGCTTCCATCCAGTAGTCTCCCGCTTCTTGGACATCTACGTCCGCTACAATACTTGAAAATGCTGTCTCCGGCAGTGACTGGTTGTATAATATTAATATACATTAAAAAGATGTATCGCCATCATATCAACAGGGCCTGGACCTTACCAAAAGGATCAAAAGCGGGCATAGTCGAGCAAACGTCAAGTCTTGAACAGCCAAAGCTCCTTCATCTGTAGGGTCATTAATCATTTCCTCTGTCAATCTAACACGAAGGATAAGGAAGCATAAGAACTCTTATTTCATGAAAAGATGACTAGCAATAACAAGGACTGTGCATACCTCGGTTGCTGCTCCATAATATCCACACAACAAGACGTAACAATTCGAACGAGATCAGGATCTGCGCTGATAGCCGCCGAAATCGTTTTCCAAACAGTGGTATAAGTTTGGTCTTTGCGACAGGCATAGGTTTTGGTTGTCAGCATTGGAATCACGCGTTCCCAACTGTTCTTTGTTGCCTTGAATTGATCGCTGTTAACAGAAAAAAATCGTATTCAACATGACGAGTACGACTATTTACCTTCTCTGCCCATTCCTTAACAACGAGCATCATCTGGTTCAGTTTCTCGACTGCTCCTCCTGTAAATAGGCTTGGTTAGATGCGAGAGGAAACGGGCAAGGATATATGTAAAGGAGGCAGTTTGAGTGCGCGTAATGCCTGTACCTGCTGCATTGGTATTGTTTGGTAGACCACCGCCAGACAAGAGATTAGCAGGTGATAATTGCTGGTTCGCCACTTGCCTGATTTCCACATGTCCGTTTGCTACGTTACTAGACCGGTTCATAGCGTCAGTACAGAAATAATAAAAGGTTGATTGACATATTCACACCAGCGTAAGCTTACCGCATGCATTCGATGAAAATGAATAGAGATTCCTCGCAATTTTCTTCCCTTTGCAAGACCATCGCAATACAATCTTGGGCAAGTTGATTGATCTGGCTATCAGTATGGCCAATGTACGTGCATATATGTTTAATTAAGGTTGGGTAGTCTGAATTGGGAGTGGCGCCTTCTAGCACTTTGCTGCAGACATTGTATTCAAGGGATGTTTTGTCGAGTTGTTGGAAAATTCCTTCTATCAATTTGTTTGGAAATCTATAGTTGATATACTGGTTCATATCTTCTGGGTATAGTTGTAGCATCTCGAGTTGATACGGGATGAGGTCATCAGATTCTATGTTATCACCCCGAAGACAGTGTAATGCCATGCGCAGGTTGTGTCCGACTTTGTCAAAGCCGGGAAGAACGTCGAAGACATCTAGGTAGTCCTGTACTAGTTGAGCAGAATGGTCCAGCAGTTCTGTATCCAGCTTTTGTGTCGATTCAACATCCGTCTCGTTATTAGGAACAAACAATCGATATCTGTTGCCATTGATGATGAGTGTTGTGCACACTGTACTGAGTAGCCACACCGGCTTTTCTTCAGGCTGTATAGTGATTCGACTTTAGTAAAGCTCAAAGTATTTTGTGTTTCAAGGTAAGTAAACTAACCTTTAAATCATTTGGAGATTTCAAAGTCTTGATCATTAATTTTGGTTTGGATCGAATATACTTTGAGGATAAAGCACGCGAAATGACATCCCAAAACTTGGATAATTTGTCCAGTAATTGTGCATTAACGTCTCCTGACACGAGGTGGTTCCTTGCCACTTTCAAGAACAATTGTATCTCCCGCCAAGCAAGGTTGATCAAGAATTCTGAGACATCTAGCCACTAAAATGGTATCATCAGTACTGTTCCATTAGTGGCCATGGCTTCACATTTTTTTTTTCCATTGCTTACTTTTTCCATTGTCTGTAAGAGTGTTGTCATCTTTTCCAAAAGTTCAGCTGTATCTTTGTATTCTTGTGAGCCGCTTTGTTGGATTTCGATAATTTGTATCTTCCCGCCACTAACTGGACTTGGTTCAGAGGGTGGACGTGCCATGAAATTCAAGATATATCGTGATATAACAAGCACTAAGTCGCTAGCGAGAACTGAAAGCTGTGTCGAAATGGGACTGAGACAATATTTCAGTTGACGAGCTTCAATATGGGATATCAAGTGGTCAGCTTCGATCGTCTGAGACTAACCTTGAGGACGCAATCAAAACGCACGAGGATACAAATTGCTTTACAGTGCCGACCTCCGCCTGAGTGTACTGCACGTTTGCCAATTGCGTATCAGCTGTATTCTTCCAATCTTCTGTAATGTAAGCTATCATTCGAAGAATAGCTAGCTTGGTTCTCAAGTTATCCGACATCAATTGCTGTTGCAACATATCGCAAAAGGCTGACTTGCTCTCCGAATACAATATCAAGTATTGCGCGATGTTACATGCTGAATTGTGGTGATGATTCTTTGTCATAAGAACCTAAACACAGAATTTTAATTTACTTGATATCTATAAGATGTTATTCTTGCGCAATCAAACTCTACCTTATCCACTAGAGAGTCCAGGAGATCTTGATGCGCGGAGCTATCATTAGCAATATGTTGGTCGATAGCTACTATTGCGCTTTCAAAATAGCCTAATATAAATAAAATATTAGAGTCAATTATATGTCTGAAAAGTTCTTATCAGTGCCTGCCTTTTAACTCGACTCCTTGCCGTAGGTGCATAAACGTGGTGCGCCAGGTTTGGTTGTTCGCCTCCAATAACGTATACATGGCTTGTCCAAATCCGATTGTCGGTTCATTTTTCACAGTATCTGTTTTTGCTATCGATAGGTCCCCAAGGTTCTCGTCTTGTTCTCGGTTTAGTCTAATGTCGATAGCATTTTTCTGCCATGTTGGAAGGTCCATGCTTAAAGGTACAGTTTATGACAGCTCTAGAACTGCGCTGTGGTTGGAAACGTAATTTTCTCACAGAAACCTTTTTTGCATTTGTGGAGTGTTAAACAGATAATGATTATGTTGACGTAGCCAGTTGGTGCAGTATAAAGGGTTGCAACGAAATTGTGATAAACGGGAGGGAACTTCTCTCTAAGAATATTGGCTATTTGTACAAGCTATTATATTTGGAGACATATTTCAAATCATTGTAGTTTTTAGTAGATATCTCTCCCTTTTCACGTTTGTTATCAGTATATCGAATATTGTCGGCATCCATTAAATTTATCATGTAAATGTGATGATGTCAATAAAACAGGTAATGAGCTAAAAGCTCAGAGTGCAGGATATTTGCAGCAGAGCAGCAGTGTTTCGTCTCCATTCCATACAAACCAAGTTGACATGTCGAGTATCTATCGTACAAACAATGTCAACCGCGGCGGCTCTCCTAGACCTATGGGAAGAGGACGTGGAGTTCCGGGACGACCACTAGCTCGGCACCCACCTGGCATGGGAAACAAGCTCAATGGACAAGCTGGATCACAAGCACACTCACTTCCTCCACTCACTTCACAGGATTTTCCACTAATGTCCTCTAGCAAAGGAGAAGCACACAACATTATGAACTTTAAATCAATTAAGCCGGTCATGCTTGAAAACTTCACGCCACCATTAAAGTTGCAACGTAAAGATCCTCATGCTCCGCCACCTCAGCCTAATCCCGAACCGATTGCTGGCACCTCTGAAACGGTTAATGAGGAACCTAGTCGTGGGCCAAAGACGGGCGCTGATACAAGTCTGATTGCTCCCATGGGAGGCGCAACTCGCAATAAGCAAATGTTATTTAAGAAACGTACCCGACAGATTTTCCTTGCTAAAGAAGATACTCGAAAGTTACGAGAAGAAGAGCAGAAACCATGGGTCTTGGAAGATTTTGATAATCAGAACGCCTTTGTTGGAACGCTTGAAGGCGGCCAAAAGTCAGACTACATGTTGTTTGTCTTTGCCGTAAGTGGGAACCCTATCAGGGGGAACCTAGTTTTGAGATTGTGCTTTGCGTCTGACTTTTTTCATATAGGAAAACGGCTTTAAAGTTGTTCCTGTAGACAAATGGTACAAGTTCAATTCAAAGATCAGTTACCAAACTATGTCGTTGGATGAAGCTGAAGAACATGTCCGTACCGATTTTCCTGCATTGTGAAGCATTGATTTAGTATGTCTAACGTATTTCGAACATGATAGTACAAGAGGCAACAGAAAACGGAGTCTAGTAGATGGTTGACTGCACGCAAGCCCAAGACTGAAGATATGGAGACTGAGGAGGCTGCGGCTCCTAGCCAACGTGATCGCTTTAAGACCGTAGACAGTGGAAATACTGGGTTAGTGTTGAACCTGCTGTACCTTGATGTCGAAACTATGAAGCTCACACATCAAAAATGAATAGCGTCAAATCGGAAGATGAGGATGATGGTGGTGGTAAACGGCGTGGAGGGAATGACTCTGACATCGACGACATTGATTTTGAGGAGGTCTTCCAGGACGATGAAGAGATGGCTGCAGAGATGGAAGTTGAGGACGACGAAACCAAAGATGTCAAAGTATGTTCATCTTCCGATTTTTTGGGCGGATGACTACTGGAGCCGAAATACTAAATAATATTTGCATCTATAGGCTAGAGTCAAAAAGGAAACGAAGGGCTATATGCCAGGTGGCGATGAAACTGTTGAAGATTTCGATGAAAAAGACATTTCTTTGACGAATGAGGGCAAAGTGAGCTGATCTATTGCATTACTGACATTTTCATGTATGTATCTGGGCTAAACGTGTACCCTTCAAAATCAATTTAGCAAATGCGTAAGCTCGTTCGCAACCTGGAAAAGAACAACGTCTACGATAGTGACGACGATCACGATCCATACGCCTCTAGCGTTAGTATATCAATTTATGTGGAAGCACGAGTTTTGCATGTTCTAATTTTAACGTTCTACCTAATTAGACGGGAGACTTGGGATCGTCAGATGACGACGACGATAGTAACAAATCGGATGCAGAGACAAAGAAGAAGAATGAAGCTGCGGTGCCAAAGAAGGTGTCTACGCCTACCAAACCTACTCTGGCTCAGAAAAAGCTTGCAATGGCTAACCGTAAGCCGCTCTCCAAGCCTATTGGCAGACCTCATTCGCCGTCTTTACATAACGTCAAACGAGAGAGAAGCCTGTCATCGGCCGCTTCTTCCCGAGCGTCGTCGCCTGTTCACAGAGGCAGCTTGAGTCCAACGCATCCAGGCTCTACGTCCGACACCACCAATGGAGCCAAGAAACGACAGTCTAGTGAGATTAGCGATGGAGAGAGCGAGACCAAACGCATGCGCAAAGCTGCCGGTTCAGCTAGTCCTCCTCCGCACTCAACACCATCCGGTTCACCCGCTCCTTCTGCTACCGATGCTGACGGGGATCTTATTACCGAAGCAGAAGTCGTCAATGCACTACGCGGAAAACGTCTTACCACCAAGGAGTTCTTGTCTGTGTTTAGGAAAAGACTTAAGAAGGACCGCAATAAGGATATCATTACCGGTCTTCTGAAGAAGGTTGCACGACATGTCGATTCTGGTAATCCAAAGGAGAAATTGCTTGAACTCAAACCGGACTATCAATGAGTAATTTACCCCAGTTGGCTCACTGTCTGCGCAATTACCCCCCATCCATCTCGCAAGTTACCATACTCGAAGATTTCCGTTTTTTTTTTGTACATTTTTTTTTCTTTCTAGCTGTATGCCTTTCATACATCCGTTTTTTTTTTTACCATCCAATACAATAGTTTCCAGCTTGGATGCAGTTTCAAAGTAACTGATTTATATATACTACGGTAATAATGTGTGGGAAACGAATGAGTACAAATTGCGCAATACGACATTATCGGGTAAGTAGGAAAAACTGGGATGGTATAGATAACTATGGGGGTAAAGGCAGCGCAGGGGGATTGAAAAAATAGATCTAAAGTAGTGATGAAAGCTCATCGTAGAGAGGCAATTATCCTCTCTCACATCAATCCTGAGTTTTTTAGGTTCATCCTCTGCACAATCACATTCACAGCTGAGACAATGACCCGCATTTGTCTTGTATCCTATATCCCATGGGCCTTAGTTATTCAAAGTGTGACGGGAAAAAGGAGTGGGGATAGTACTTACAGTGGCGTGGGTCAAATGCAAATAGATTTCCTTTTGAGGGACCTTATTTTGAGAAAAGAAGAGGTGCTGGAAGTACGAAGTTACGTACTGATAATCATTAGGACCTGCGAGAGATGGGGTTTGAAGATAGAGTTAGTATGGGATCCAGATGTCAATCTCCGCCATTCTGTCGGCGAGGCGAGCGCACCTGTATAATCCTTGAAGTAAGAGGACAACCGAGTGCCGTTTGCCAATTTCCTCTTCAGAACATCAATCTTATTAAGGAACAAGATGATGGAAGTGGAACGAAGGAGTCGATGGTTGCAAATGGATTCAAACAGCTGCAGAGCATCGTACAGGCGATTCACTGACGGATCTTCCACAAGGTATTGATCGAAGCTTGACACAGCAGCAACGAAGATGATAGCACTGCAGTCGTCAAAATAAGGGCTAGGTGGGACAATGGAAAACGGTGGGTTAGGCAAAGGGCCGCGGATCAAAAAAGGAAAAGGACCTCGCAGAGGCAAGACCAGATGGCCCAAATGCCTGCTTTGTACGCCACCCCGCACTGACAGATGGAGAAAGTGACTTACGCCCAGCCTTGTCTTTGCGATCGTTGGCCACCAACATCAAATATTCTGTTGTAAAAAGAGGTTGGAATGAGTGCCTTTGTCGGATGGGGGATATCCATAAGGCCCCATTTGCCCTCACCTATATGTAACCAGCTCTATCTTGAATTGATGCTCGGTTACGCCAAATGTTCTCACACGTGCCCGTAGAATATCCACATCCGTCGGGGTGTATTTGTCGGCTGCCAGACGATCTATTTCATCTAGAAATCTGCAGACCCAAAGTGAACCCCGTCAGTACAGAAGGGTCTTTTTTCTTATACCTAAACTATCTTTTTCAACTTACGATGCAGCGGAATCTTGCATGTTTTTTGCAAACCCTCGTTGAAAGACTTCTTGAGCCGCGGGATCACCCCAGACAGCCTTTATGGAAGGCGCAGCTTGGTGGAAAATAGTATCGACTGAGCCGTCGTCTGAACTTTGGCGCCTTCGCAGAAGATTGCTAAACTTCTTTCCATTCATAAAAGTGGATTCTCCCGGTCCTTCAAGTGACAATAAATAATCAAAATGTTCCTGGTTGATGGGAAATGTGACTGTCGCTTTGTGTTGCAACATGCACAGACACAGCTCTCTAATGGCGGTTAGAGCGTTCTGTCGGATGATTTTACGATATTCCTCCCGCTCGACATTGAATCCTTCACCATGTATGATTTTAATCTGCTTGAGTACCTGATAGTGCTGTAAAATTAGCGCCGTTTCCTTCACGCCGACATTTCCATCCGGCACTTACAGTTGTTTTTCCAGATTCACCAGCACCTACAAAAGTCAGTAGGGTTTAGTCAGGATACAAAGCGAGCGCTCATGATGATAGACACTTGCCTAGAATCAAAAGTTTGGCAGTGCGATCTTTGGCTAACGCAGCCCGTTCGGCAGCCAACCGACGGTCTATCGCGTTGCTTATCCGTTTTGCCTCTCGTTCATCCACTACTGAGATATGGGTTGGCAATGTGCGGCTGTAAACATTTTTTGCTGTGGCGGGTGCAGAAGGTGACGACATACACAATACCAAAGACAATAAAAAGTAAAGAGAGAGTGAGAATGTGAGAAAGAGAAAAAAAAAGGGAAGGAAATTTATATATGAAAAAAAAAGGTTATAAAAGGGATCCGAATCCAAGGACAATCAGGCATATTACCTTGTCCCCCAAATAAACATCGCTTGGCCTCTGTGTGGTTAAACTTCGATGTGGGGAACCTGAGTTTCACACTCCTCTTTTAGCCATGGTGGAGTTTGCGTTTTTTGGAAAGTCCCGTCAGCACCTGTCACAAAGGTTGTAGGTCACTCTGCCTGGGAACAACCATTGAAACTTTTTTTTTTAAGAAAACAAAAAAGCCGCAACAGTCAGCATCGAAGCAGCCGAGAATGTGTCGAGCCCTTTTCTATCACCAATAAAGTGCCTCAGTAGGCCACCCAATCTAATTTTATACCTTTGTGTGATGGTTTTCCAAACCCGAGGTTAAGGAGTGACTGCCGTGTAGCAGGCTGGGTGGTATGACTTTTTTGTCAAATGGAATATTATCAAGTCATTACGTGAGTAATTCATATTAATGTGGATGTAGCCTTGTAACCACTGGTAGCTTGTTCCCTTCTGTCCAGCTCGGTAACCACGGGCAAAACCCCGGCCGATGGATGAATGTGTTAGCCTTCTCAATATGGGTACGTCACACTTTCCTGCGAACCATGGCTTGCAAAAAAGAATATTCCAACCCTTCAAGCCTCCAATTTTCAAGGTCTTCAGAATGTGTCATAATGGCGTTTGTCATACCAACGGCCGAACCTGAGACAACCGATCAAAAAAATCTTTCGTTACTTTACAAATCATAAGTTGTTTTATACAAAGGCGTTACAGATCAGACCATGACGCTTTCATGAATTAAAAACGACCGACCTATATTCAAAAATCCAAATTCTGAGGGAAGAGATATGAGCGAACACAATGTAGGATAGTGAATCATTGATCTTTTAGAGCTCATCATAACTCAATCTTCTTTCTTCACACCTTAAATTACACCTATCTTGTTCTAAAAAAAAAAGTGGGCTTTACAAACAACCAAGGCAACTGGCGCTTTAATTGGTTCACTGGGAACAAAAAGTTTCACTTCATTGGCTGTCACTTTGGGTTACGATTGGCTCTTTCATTTTAAGAAACAATAACAAAACCGGTTTGAAAACGTTTCGAAACAGTTGTTGTGATTTTCTGACCCAAGATCATCACTGACCAAGCTCAGTCCAATCCCCAACCCTTTGCAGTGGGGATACGTTTACATATATACTTTTTATTTTTATTTTTTTTACCTACGCCGAGAATCTTGCTCCTGCCCATTCCATACAACCATGCGAGAACCCAATTTCTCTCTACCAGCTCAGAATAGAGCGGCTGTAGTCATCACATCGACATTGTATGATCGACGAGCATTGGACTGTACCGCCATTCTCCCACTTATCAACTCATTGACACACTTGACTTACATGACCTCGACATCACCACGAATAAGAGAAATACTGGTATTGGATGGCGGTCTGGAAAGACTTGTGCGAATTCTTCATTCGGCTGGCTCGATTAAACCTGGTGATCGCAAAAGTATGTGGAAGTGGAGTCTTGCCTTCCAGTGCGTTGTCAATGTTGGAGTCCGTGGGTCTGAGCAAATAAGGACACGGGTTGTTCAAGCCGGTATGATCCCTGTCATTGTTGCTGTGCTAGACAATTTTTTCAAGACCATGGAGCAAGTCAAGATGGAGAAGGAGAAGTGTAAACTCCTGTTTCAACAACAACCAGGAGCAAGTGGTGACAGCACTACATCCGAAGTGGATCCTTTATCTTTGCATCCTTCTCATACTCGATCTACACCCATTCACCCCTCACGGCCGTTATTTACACCCATGAATGCCGATCCAAGACGCAATTTTGCTGAAAATGAGAATAGATCGCCCTCGCAACCTAACCTCATGCGACCACTAGCTACCACGTTTACCAGCCCTTCCGATGTATACCCAATCGATCGAACCAACCATGATGTGGGCGATTACGCAGCGAATGAACATCCTAGAGGAGACCAAGTTATCAATGGCACCAACCTGTGGATGGAATCCCGGCCCAATCTGTCTCCGCCATCCTCCTCGTCAGCAAGAAGAACGACCTTCCCACTGCGAAGTACGCCAACTCCGATCCAACCCCAATCTACTACCAACAATACGATACCACTTTTAGATGCATTGTCGACCGATGCGCCACTTCATCGCGATGAAGACATACTTCTTTCACTTCAACTTCTTGCATATATTTCCAAATACCCACACCTTCGAACCCATTTTCATGAACATGCTCCTTGTAACGTCTTTTCCCTGGTTGAAAAGTTCACGCATCGACTTCATCCACCTGCCATTCAATATTGGGCTGGCGTGATCATGCGCAATGCTTGTCGAAAGGATGAGAGCCGTGGTGGTGTTCGACAATGTGCTTTTATGCAATGCGGTCGATGGGAACGTTACCCTCGAGAGTTCGCAAAATGTCGACGATGGTACGTTTTTATCTTCTTCATGATGACAAATACTGCTCCGACTTTTTCTGACCCTTCCATTGTAGTCGTAAGGCCAAGTATTGTAGTAAACAATGTCAATCAAAAGCTTGGAGTGAAGGGCATAGGTGGTGGTGTGTTGAACGAACTCACACATCATCATCGCACTTCAATGCGCAAGCATCTACTGGTGTATCCACCCCAATTGAAGAACCAAGTGAAAATCCACAAACAACGACTGAACCAGTCATAGCCATCAATGAACAACCTATTGGAATGGAAAGAGCCACCACACCTGCCGTAACCGCCGAACCACCCAATACAGCCATTCCTCCCAACGAGCCACCGCCTACCATTGTTCAACGTACTTTTGGTAACCCTCCCACTCACCCCAACTTACCTTTTAGCGAACTGACTCGTGGTATGTCAGTACAAGATAACCTTGAGAGACATGGAATGGACGTCCAAGAGTGATTGGGTCCCCTTTGTATTTTTTTTTTCTTTGAAGGTAACAATAAACGTCCCAACCAAAAATTCATCTAGGTGGTGCATTCCTACTGGCTGCAATGGAAATGTTTGACGGAAAAGAACTGACAAAGGGCGAAACAAAAAAAAGAACTTCTTTTATTGACTGGCATTTTCAGTCTCTCCGTTCCGCAGCCCTTTGACGTGGAGCAACCGTGTCCAGTTGAACTGATCAGCCTCGCTTGCAGCATTCTCTTTTCTGCTGTTCATTCATATTTCATTAAAGAAAAAAAAAAAATAGTTGGACATGACCACCTCTGACGTCTCCTCCACAAATAAGCCTTCTCCTGATCACCGCAACGGTGTGGTTCACAGAAAGGGTCTTGCACAAACATCAATGCTAGATCCATCTCCCGATTCTGTACATGTTCGCAAGCGCGACCATGTCCTTCAAACCACGGATGATGACCGACAGGAGATGGGAGACTTCAACTCCAATAGCGACTCGAAACCATCTGACCGACCGCAATCCCTCTCTCCAAATGATGTCCCCAACTTCATGTTGCTCATCGTCTTGTATCTACTCCAGGGCATTCCTGTTGGCCTCTCCTTCGGATCCATACCATTCTTATTGAAAGCCAAGATGTCGTATTCTGAGATTGCCATCTTTTCTCTCTCTTCATGGCCATACTCTCTAAAACTGTTATGGTCTCCTATTGTCGACGCTATTTACTGGCCTGAGCTGGGCCGTCGAAAGTCTTGGATCATTCCTATCCAAACGCTGACGGGAATACTGTTTTTGGCGTTGGGATGGCATATTGATGCCATTATGGCTGAGGTAAGCCAGCGCATTCTTCAGAAGCAAACCTCATTTGTTGGGGAACTAACAGCGTATCCGACGTTTATTCATACAGGATAACATCAATATCTACTTCATTACCACTCTTTTCTTGGTCACCATATTCTTTTGCGCGACACAAGGTAAAAAGCAAAACGACGCTTTACTGCCAAACATTCCCGTCTGCAATGAACCCCTTTGATTAAATGCCTCCTTTACAGATATCGCCGTAGATGGATGGGCATTGACCCTGTTGTCAAAGGATAGTTTGTCCTATGCTTCCACTGCTCAGACCATTGGTTTGAATACCGGCTATTTCCTGTCCTTCACTGTGTTCTTGGCGCTCAATTCAGCCGAATTCAGTAACAAGTACTTGCGCTCAGCTGAAAATGTTGCTGAAGTTGGGGTCATGCCACTTGGCACCTATATGATTTTTTGGAGTGTGATGTACCTGCTTATTACCGCTTGGTTACTCATTGTGAAAACTGAGGTAAGTGTCTGGCGACTGAATTCGCGGTCCTTGAGCGCAGTCGCTTATGCCTCTCCAATATTCAGCGTCAATCCACCTCAGACGAAGATCTTTTAGGCATTAGAGGTGTCTACCATACTATCTGGAAAATTTGCAAATTACCACGTAAAGTATACCGTTGGTTCAATCATCCATTGAAGCTTGAGAAGCTCATATCCCGTCCCTCCACTCTTAGATATGAAATCTTTTGTTACTATCCTATTGGTAGCCAAGATTGGATTCATCTGCAATGAAGGCGTTACTGCTTTGAAACTTTTGGAGAAAGGGTTTTCGAAAGAAGATCTTGCGCTGGCCGCGCTTTTGGACTTCCCATTCCAAATCGTTTTTGGATACTATGCTGCGAAATGGAGTAGCGGACCCAAGCCGTTGAGACCTGTATGTAGTATACTTGCTATACCCCGTTACCACTGTGAGCTAATATCCTCGTTTTAGTGGCTTTACGCTTTCTATGGCCGTTTGACCTGCGCTGTTCTGGGCATGCTAGTCGTATACTTTTACCCTGAGGGCCAATCTATCTCACTTTTCTACTTTTGTGTCATCATGTTATCCACTGTGCTCAGCTCCTTCATGTCTACTGTACAATTCGTCAGTATCTCTGCCTTCATGACTAGCGTAGCTGATCCTTTGATTGGAGGTACATACATGACGGTAAGTTCAATATGCTATGCATTGAAACAAAAATGGTGTACGCAGTGAAGTACACCATTTTACATAATGGTTCAACCTCTTTTGAAAAAAGTCCGTGAACGAGATTATTAATCCGCTCTGTTTCCAGCTTCTGAACACGTTCAGCAACTTTGGTGGAACCTGGCCCAAGTTTTTTGTCTTGGAAGCGGTGGACAAGTTTACTGTCACTACGTGCAGTGTACCTAACGCTGATGGATCAGAGATGTCGTGCATGACCGAAGCTGCCAAAATCGCCTGTCAGAAGTTGGGAGGAACCTGCATAAACCAACAAGATGGATACTATTATGCTGGCAGCCTTTGCGTCTTACTCGGCATTACTCTCCTTGTGCTCTTTGTGAAGCCTGCCATCTTGAAGATCCAAACCATACCCAAACACATGTGGAGATTGAAGGCAGCAGAAGACGAAAAGTCAAGTTTGTAGAGGTGCCGTATATCATCCAACCGATATCATTTTTGGTCAAAAAAAAAAAAAACGCCTAGACGATAGGTCTTAGTAGAAGAAAAACAACTAGTTTTAGAATGTAGGCTTGGAGAACATAGTATTCGAGAAGAACCTCAAGAGAAGTTCAATAAAAAGCAAAGTTTTCAATTTTTTTTTTTTTCAAAACTGCTATTATTACGCGCAAAGGACATGTTGCAAAGTCATATCGGAGATTTTCGCAATCGGGTGCTTCAAACATTCTACTTTGTACTTTCCCCATTGTCATTCTAGAATGAGTCAAAATAAATTTGTCCAGGCCTTCACCGAAGAAGAAAAAAAGGCAGTTCAGGAACTCAAGTCCCAGTTGCCCGAACTCCTCAAGGCTACAGCTCCCGCTACTGACGAGGCACCTCTCAGTACGCTGTGGGGCGTCCCATTGACAGCCGAAGGTGAAGATGAGCGTGTGGACGTTGTGCTTGTCAAATTCTTACGTGCCAGGTAACATTTCTCGTTAATCACTCCTACCTTTTACTTGAGAGCTACGAGATTTCGCTCTTTGCGTCAAAAGAAGGATAACTCTATCGCAGTTGTCCCAGGCGTTTTAACGAGCCGACTTTTATCTGTTATCGTGCCTAGAAATTTGGATGTCAAGGAAGCCTCCATCATGCTTGCAGACTGTCTTATTTGGCGTGCAAAGTTCAAAGCTGACCATGTCTTGCAAGAATCCTTTGACGAAAGTGTCCTTGGCCGTGTTGGCTTTGTTCACAAGACTGATAAGGAGGGCCGCGTTGTGACCTATAACTTGTATGGAGGAGATATCGATCTGGAAGCTGTTTTTGGTGATGTTGAGAAGTAAGTCTCCACAGATTTATCTATATCGTTTGAGCAGAGACTCATTTTTCAATTTACTAGCTTTGTTCGTTGGAGAGTTCAGCTTATGGAAAAGGGCATGCAACATATTGACTTTGTCAATGTCGATTCCATGGTTCAAGTCCACGATTACCTTGGTGTCAGTGTTTTCGGCTCACGCACTCCTAAATCCAAGCAAGCGACAAAGGAAATTATCAAAATTATGCAAGATAACTACCCTGAAGTCCTGGTAAGGACGCTTTCATTACGAATTTTTGCCATGCATGCCATTCACTTATGATGTTCTATTAGGCCAAGAAATTCTTTGTCAATGTTCCTTCTTGGGGAAGTATGATCTTTAAGCTTGTCCGCCCTCTGTTGTCTGAGAACACTGTCAAGAAGTTTGTTATCTGCTCTAGGTAAGTTGAAATATCTAATGTTTCCATGTGTGCAAACATACTCATATTTTTGTACAGCTCCGAGGCTTCAGAGAGCTTGCTTCAACAGATTAGCAAGGAAAATCTTCCAAAGCAATACGGTGGTGACTCTGTGGTTCCAGAGCTCGCTAACCATGACGAAAAGACAAAGGAGAAGGAGGCTCCTCTTCAAAACGACGAAACGGCCGAAGCTGATACTTTGGGTGTCGACTGAGTGCCAAGCACGTCCTTCATCAATAACCTTGCTAGCACTCAATGCATATAACTCCCCACTCTCCATTTGTTTGTCGACCTTATGATTTATTTCCCGTAATAACTAACTATTAGACAAGTCAAATTCAATATCACATAAGTTTCATTAAAAATCAGCAGCATATACATCCTCAGAAGTGATAAAAGTAGGCTACTATGACGCGGTGTATCCTTCGACAGTGAATAATAACTTATATGGAGGCTGGTGAAGCCTTCCTACTGTCATACATCACCCAACTTCAATAGTGTTTGTACTTTCGCTTACTTTCAGTAGGTGGGTCAAGTTTTAGTAGACACAGATGCAAGCTTCGGTGACGTTTTCCTCTCAAGACTTATAAGCAGAATTGAGTACGTGCAATGCGATGGTGTTTATTTTTAGAAATGATGGGTCCTGATAGCTTATTTCAGAAGTCTTCGTAAATACCATCTCACTGGTCAAAGCTAAACTGCTCATGAGTGGTGAACTTCAAGACCAGGCACTCAAAAAAAGCCGATGAAATCCCGTGATTTGTGACTGTATTCATGCCTGGTGTTCGTATATTGGCGACCGGCAAGCGGGTCATCGACACGGCATACCTTTTCTCTCGTCTTGCCCTCAGTATGCTTCGTACAGCTTTCCGACCGCTGGGAACGTCCATTCTTTGCCGAAGCTCAATGTCTTCAGTCAGCGTGGCTCCTAGAGCTATGCCAATTGCCGGTACTTTTATTTTCTCTTTTACTATTATGTCATATATCTCACGCTTCCCACTAACCAACTGTCAACAGCCATAAGTCGCCGCACGATAACACAAAAAACAACACAGTTGCCAAAGTCATGGGTGCTCTCCAAGTCAGTAGTACCAGCGTCCAGTTCGACCATATTGGCCATGGTCATGGCTGCTACTGCTACCCCGCTGGCTATGAAGAAGCCGGTGTTGTGCCAAGGTTGGTAAACAGCCGCAATTCACACATTGGTACGCTGTCATGATACTTATGTTCCTTTACAGCGTTTGCCAGCCCGGTTCAGGAGCCGTTTGACCCTTCTACTAATGTTGGAAACAGAGACAAAGGCGCGGCCAAATCTTTACTACACACCGGCGAGCTCACGTTTGGAGGCTTTCTTGGAGTATGCACTGGGTACTTGATTAAAAAAGTTGGAAAGCTGTTTGCCTTGATGGTTGGTGTGGGCTTTGTTTTTCTTCAGGTAAGGCAAGACCATCTCCTATGACGTGATGTGGAAGTTTTTAATTAACTCCTCCCTTGCGTCGGGACCAAAATTTAGTACTGCTCTTCAAAAGGATTTGTGTCAGTGCACTGGGAAGCGATTGAAAATAATTGGCGAGGAGGATTGGATGCTGATCGGGACGGCCGAGTCAGCAAAGCCGATCTCAAGCGCAAATGGGGTACATTTACTGGGTTTTTGACCCATAATTTGCAATTTAAATCATCTTTCATGGTTGGTTTCTATGCTGGTATTCGCTATGGATAGATTCCTTCCTATGTAAAAAAATTCAGCTGTAGTTTTTGTCATAAAAAGGCTTGTCTTTACCTAACGTGGATTTTTCTCTTGTGTGCCTGCTCACCTTTGTGCAAATCCTCGTCATGGCCGGTACTGTGCCAACCATCTCCATCACCAATCCTGACATGGAGAGTGAGAACTTGGCCCTTACGGCTCCAAACACTCCAGATTCCCCCACTGTCTTTGACATTGTAAAGACCATTGACCATAAAGATTGGGAAACCGAAGCTCCTCTTTCGCTGGATGATGGCAACGATGTGGCCAAAGACCTCGAAGTGGCCAACGGTGACCATCATATCGACAGCGATGATTCGGATGATCTTCATCGCATCGAAACCATTGAGTATGGAAAAAATTCACTGGAATCCGATGAAGACCCTGAGCAGCAACCAAAGACACATGCTACTGCAGATAGCAAGCAAACCACCCCTACTCAAGCTTCTTCGAGAAAGTTACCCGAAAGTATCATTCAGGATGAAGAGACGCTCTCATTCGTAGCTCTTTCTCAGTTCTACAATGAGAAATCCATTCTGATTACCGGTGTCACAGGCTTTATAGGAAAAGCCGTTTTATGGAAACTGCTAAAGTCACTGCACGAACCGATTGAGAAAATATATGTCTTGATTCGTCCGTCTGGAACGCATCGTAAATCTACTTCTCGTCCATCCGATCGATTGCATCAAGAAGTACTTTCAAATAAAGTGAGTCACTGGATCAAACGACAGCAGCCTTTATCCAATTCTCCCAACACGAATATTTAACCTTGTTACTTTTTTGCACATAGGCTTTTGTCAACCTCCGGAGAACGTTTGGAGCTACAGCATTTGATCGATTGATCAAGGAAAAAGTCCAGGTCGTAGTGGGTGATTTGAACTCGCCATCTTTAGGCCTGTCTGATGCCGACCGAGCTGCCATTATCAAGAACGTCAATGTGGTAATACACTGTGCCGCCAGCATTGACGGAAAAGAACGATTGGATACCGCAACAATGGTAAGCAATGTTTGTTTACAAAGGATCTACTATACATACATGGCAGGCAACATAGCTGACTTTTCCCCCCCCCCCAACAGACGAATGCAATTGGAACAATGCGGTTGATGGATTTAGCGGATGAATGTGCACATATGAAATCGTTTGTTCACTTGTCTCCAGCCACTACACCAAATGATTATTCGTCAGCATCAGGTTCACCAGTACAAGAACGCATATACCCATTGGGTTTGGGGGATCCAGAGACTCTTTTGAACCAAACTCTCGGCATGGACGTGGAAGAGATGACTCAAATGACCCAACGAGTCTTGCAATACTTTCCCAATACTTATTTATACACAAAGGCACTTGCTGAGCATTTACTGTTGAAGCGAGCTGAATCGAAACGTGTTCATGAAGAAAATGGTACACGAGAACAATATCCCATCGCCATCATGCGTATCAGCGCTGTTGGTGCTGCTGTCTCCGAACCATTGGTTGGATGGGCCGATAGCGTTGCTGGCCCGTGTGGCATGATTCTACTCATTGGCAAAGGAATGCTGCCAATTCAAGCGAGTGATGGAGACAACCTCTTGGACATTGTGCCTGTTGATTACGTCGTTCGCTTGATACTCGGATGCGCTGCTTCCATCAAAGCTCCCGGTACTGAATTCATCCCTCCCTACCCCGAGTACATTCATTCCTCTACAGATCAAGTTACACGCCCACCTTCTCTTGCTGGTTCGGTATCCAATGATTCTACAAGACCTCCTTCCAGTGTCACTTCTCCGAGCTATCAGCGATCATCCACCGCAACGTCTCGATCATCTCGTCCTCTCTCCCAAAACTTCGAAGCCAAAGATACCACCTATTTCCCTTACATTTACAATGTCTCAGTACAGTCATTGGACCCAATTTCTTGTCGTGATGGCTATGATATCATCCGTGAATATTGGACACGAGCAACCTCAGTGGTCATTCCTACTTCTCAAGCGTATTTCTCACCTCCTCCTAACTCGGGTGGTCTCTCCCGTGCACGTACTATGATGCGTACCTTGACCAGTATGGTGGGTAGTGTACCTACTAGCAGCGGAGATGCCTTGACGGGTATACCTAAACGTAGCTCTCAGAGATTGAGCCGCATTATTGAGAAAGCGTCCAAGCTATCTGAAGGAACCAAGGGATTTGCACGCCAGTCAGCCGTTTTCCTGGATCACCATGTACGCGAGTTGAAACTTCTGTTAAGTCAAGCTGACAACCGAGGCGACTATGACTTGCAAGATATTATACCTGATGATGCTGGCCCAACATTCTGGAAATCGTATCTCCTGGATGCTAGTTATGGTGTCCACTACTATGTTGGTCAAGAAACTGGCCTTCGCAACAACAATTTGCCGGCTGGTTGGGATTGTGCCATTCGACCTCGCGCTACGCTATTGTATCAAGGAAATACGTTGCATCAGCTCGTTATTGACCGTCGAATCCACAGCGCCATCTTCTCCCTTGCCCAGGTTAACCAGCGTATAGAACGCATGGTTTCCCATGTGGAAGATGCTGTCATCAAGCCTAACCATGGGCAAATACGACCCAAGAACGCCTTAGAAGCGGAAGCTGTGAAGAAACACGACGAGGAATGGCTGACTGATCTGGATGATGCTCTGGCTGATTGGTGTGAGGATGTATTGACAAAGGATGCTCCAGACGGCAGCACCGAACTTGGTCGCTGGAGAGTCAAAATTGGCGACAATGATGAGGCTGTCAAAGTGCTTGTTCTGAACGACAAACGTGTTGGCGCTAGTCTCAAGCAAATTGTCCAAAATGCTGGCGTTCCACAGCAAACCGGAATTAATGAAGCCATGGTAAGTTAAGAGAGCGTTCTCATGCCTTAGAACCATCCGTAGTCAGCCGCTGTACGTTATAATGTCTTACATTTTTTTTTTACCCTCGCCTTAGAAAATTCTCTTGCGAATGAGAGAGCGCACTCAACTCTCTTACGTTTGGTTCGCTGGATCGTTCCTCAAGAGCCTGCTCGGTGACATGTTTGAAAGTGTTCGTGTGCAAGAACAGGATATCGCAAAGGTACGACAAGCTATTCAAGGAAAGCGAGTTGTATATGTACCAGTCTACAAGACTGTCTTAGACCCATTGATGGTGTGGTATACCGTCATTCGATATCAGTTGCCAGTACCCGCCTTGGCATGCGACGAATTCATGGGTGGCCTCGGTCCGTTATCAGATGTATTCCGACTTGCTGGTGCCTTCTACATTAAGCGTAATGCCAAAGCCAGGTCTCCTTTGAACTCTGCCGTCACAGCCGCTTACACGCAAGTTTTACTGCGTGAACATGGCGCACTCTCTTTTGTCCTTGAGACAGCTCGTTCACGTACCGGCAAGCCTCAAGCTTCGTACCCTGATGGCCTGGTTAGCATGATTTTGGAAGCTGCCCTCCAGCATAATCAAAGTCGACTTTCACAACACTCTATGGACTCCGACACTGCGCCTGCTTCGCCTATTTCCCCCAGCTCTCCCAACCCAGAGGGTCTTGTCGGTCAAAAAGATGTCGTTTTTGTTCCTATCAATATCACTTATGAAAAGATTCCTGAGCTTTCCACATTGGTGGATGAAGTCCTTGATCAACGTCCACAATCTCAAGCAACATCGCTGCGTCTTCCTATGCGAGGTGTCACCCGACCCAGTGAAGCAATGGACAAACGTCAGAAGACCTTGGAAGGTAACCAAGCTAGCCATGGCCGTTACGGCCGGGCCCTTGTTGGTTTTGGCGAGGTGATTAGTGTCCAAAACATGGCCGCGGAAGTCAACAGCACCCTCAAGTTGCCTGTGTTTGGAGCTCTTGCCGAGGATGAGGCCATGGTTCAGAAGATAACCAAGAACATTCAACAGAATCAACGGGATGCTCTCATTATTTCTCCTGTCGGTCTTGTTTCAGCTATTATTTTGTATGGAAGAGCCACTGGTGGTGTCCATCTGGGTAAGTGATCGGCTGGCCCTTGCAAGTTTAGCTTCGAGATGCCCTTGACTGACCTCCATTTTTTTTTTTTTTTTGGGGTAAATTCAGGCAAAATACGAGATTTGTTAGAATGGCTTTGCACAGAGATCAAGCAGCGTGGATTAAAGTTGGATTGGCAAGGTAAGAAAAGCTGTAAAATGGACAATATCTCATTTTCATCGACGTTGGTACTAATGGTAAACGATCGTAGACGGTCAAGATCTAGACGCGATCATCTTCAATGCCTTCAAAATATTAGATGAACAACGAAACCTCATCATAGAAGGAAGGGAAGTGAACGACGAGACCAATATTCGGGTGAACGACCACGCCGACAATGTGATGACCTTGTCATACCATGCCAACCAAATTGTTGATCCTTTCCTATGTGAGGCGTTCTTCTCTGTGGTGTACTTGTCATTCACATCTGCTACGGTTGCCAAGGAGGAAATCATGGATCGATTCCGGTTCCTTGTTCAGATGTTTGAGCAAGAATTTGTCATTAAATGGGACATTGACGAGGTAAGGCTTTTTAAAAGGGTGGGGGGTTTGGAATGGTTAGTGTGGCATTTCCTGACATGTTTACTAAAACCTCTACCTCTTCGGTTTAGAAATTTGCATCCATTCTCGACTCTTTTGTGGCCAAAGGTATCATCAAAATCGACTCCAGCAAGCCCAGCGAACTCATTTTGGCGGTGGGATTGGAAACAGATGCATTGCAATATGAGCGCCTCATCTTCTTGGCCTCGTTGGTCTATCCTACAGTGGATGCTTACTGGATTACATCGTGCTCACTGTCTGCTCTAGAAGCAGTTCCATCACTGCCTCGTAGCATTGTACCACTTCTTTGCCAATGGATTGCTACGCACCTGATTAGCGGACGGCGAACTATCTATCGTGAAGTTCTCTCCACGGAAGCCAGTCGCACCGCAGTAGATGTCTTCATGGCACTTGGATTTGTGTCTGAAACGCAAGCCAAGGAAAAATTGTCGCCTGATGCCCAGATGCTGTTGCACGAGTTGGGTATCTCCACCAGTGAGACTCTCATTGAACTGAATGGACAGAACAGCGAAGGAGGAGCGACTCCGGTATCGCCTGTGGACCCGGAAGGCATGATGCGAGCGCTTATGGCGCAAATCCAAATGAACCGAGCCAACTCCAATATGGCGGATCTATGCCAGCAGATTGATTCTTATCGACTTGGTGCGGCGTCTCAGCGTGAGAGCTTCCAGAATGCCCAGGTGTTCAACAAATGCCAAAAGCAAATCAAGGGCATCCTACGCGCCAACAGCGATACTAGCTTTGCTCAACGTCGTGGCCACCAGCTGGTCGAACAGGAGGAAGACATGGTCCAACTTGTCTATGCATTGCGCCAGGGTAGCGCTTCTAATACCACTTTGGATGCTTCTGGAAAGTCTATCCGCAGAGTGTCGGAAGCATACAACCTTCAAAAATCCTCCTCCACATCGTAGAAACCACCCTCTTTAGATATTTACCCATAGTTCGCACTATGCCATCTTACATACATCATAAATAATAAATGACATTTACATTACATTCATGAATAGATTCGCGCCGTTGTATTTTTGCTTAAACTGAATTTATTTCGAGGGGTAAAACTACAAAAGTGGGGGGGGGGAATATCAGTGAGTGTGCGCATCTGCACGTATGTGAAGAATGAGAGATCTGGTATTTCTATATACAAAGAAGTGTAAAGGCAAAAACATAAATTAAAGAAACAGAAACGGTACAGCATAACGCCAGGGAGGCGGCATTGAGTTGCTTAGAAGTCGGCTTCAAGAGTGAAGTCCTTCTCGCTCTTGTCCTTGTTCATGACACCAGCGCGTTGGTAGTCAGACACACGCTTCTCGAAGAAGTTGGTCTTGCCTTGGAGGGAGATCATATCCATGAAGTCGAAGGGGTTGGTGACCTTGTAGTGCTTCTCACAACCCAAGGACACTAAAAGACGATCGGCAACGAATTCAATGTATTGGCACATAAGGACGGAGTTCATGCCAATGAGGGCAACAGGCAAAGCATCGCTCAAGAACTCTTGCTCAATCTCAACAGCTTCCATGATGATCATCTTGACACGTTCCTTGCTAGGTTGGTTGCGGAGGAGAGAGAAGAGGAGACAAGCAAAGTCAGTGTGCAAGCCTTCGTCACGAGAGATCAGTTCGTTGGAGAAGGTCAAGCCAGGCATGAGACCACGCTTCTTGAGCCAGAAGATGGAGGCAAAGGAGCCAGAGAAGAAGATACCTTCGACAGCAGCGAAAGCAATCAAACGTTCAGCAAAGGAGTCGTTGCTGGAGATCCACTTGAAAGCCCAGGCAGCCTTCTTGGTAATGCAGGGAACTGAGATGGAAGTGAAACATGTGACGTCAGTAAAATGAATGGAACAACAAAAGGCGTCTACCAACTGGACCGACCCCCTCATCCCATGGCTAGGCGAATTTACGCGCGTGAATGGGTAGTACGAATTTCAACATCAGTACGCGTTCGTGATATTTTTTCATTCACAGCGCATGAATTGTACACCACAAGCCATTGACAGAGAGGGATGGCCCGGTTCAGTTGGATTGTTTGGGAGATGGGTCAAATATACATACTGGTATCAATAGCGTCAAACAGATACTCTTTCTCTTGAGAGTCCTTGATGTAGGTATCGATGAGAAGTGAGTAGGTCTCAGCGTGAACATTCTCCATCATAACTTGGAAGCCGTAGAAGCACTTGGCTTCAGGGATTTGGACTTCACCACAGAATCGCTCGACGAGATTCTCATTGACAATGCCATCAGAAGAAGCAAAGAATGCAAGGACATGGGAGATGAAGTAACGTTCATCCTTGGTCAAGCGATTGTCCCAATCATTCTGATCCTTGGAAAGGTCAATCTCTTCAGCAGTCCAGAAAGAAGCTTCGGCCTTCTTGTAGAATTGCCACACCTGAAATAGAATTAAAGATAGTGTTAGGCACCGAATGTAGGGTCCACGCGTTCCGCGCGCGATAACACGAATGAATTCGCGTCCTTAAAGCCCCAAACCATTGCATACCTCATGATACTTGATAGGGAAGAGAACGAAACGTCTGGGGTTGGGTTTGAGGATAGGTTCTTCCAAACGAATCTTAGCGACTTCGCTGTTCTCCTTCTTGGCAAGCTGCTGAGTGAAGTGGACACTGGGCTTCTCAGAGTCAGTAAGAGTCATCTCAGAAAGAAGGTTTGAAGTCTTGTCAATAGAGGCAGCCATTTAGAATTATATGTGTTGGAGGAAAGAAGACGTGTTTGAAAGTCTAGGAAAACCGTAGCGCAGCAAAAATTTGTGCCCTTCCAATTTATAATCGCGCGACACGTGACTCGCTTTTTCGCGCCTACGCGTTTGGAATTTGCACCTTAAATTCTAATTTTACAATAAACGCGCCGTGATTATTCAAATCTTGCTCAGCGAACGACACTCCGATGAAACGGTCGCCGATGAAGTGCGAAGCGCCGCATCTTTTGATGTGTCATACACGACTAATACAAGTCCTAATAGGCTTATGGAGTGGAGAGAGTCGTTAGAACTTTCTGCCGTCGTGGTGTCATGCATAGATTCATTTGATAAGCTGGTGCTAGACTCCCAGCCCTTAACCATTGTCAAGGGGGCTGGCTGGCTCATCGACCACTGTGCAGATGGCCTGGAACGTGTCTTTATCCCCAAGACTTGCGTTCTTCCAGCCTATATTCACTGGTACGTTTAAAGCCGTGTCCTAGCTGATGTGAGGGCAATGCGGCTGTGCAGAAGATGAGAGTGTTGCATGACGTACATGGTCAAACACAGTACAGATAGCCAGCCCCACTTGAAACAACAAGAGGATTCACTACATTCCTCTCAATTCTTTAATATTGAAGTGATCTCGCGTCGGTCTAAGCAATGATCAAATACGCTTCCTTGAACAGACCAACCGTTGAGGCTTGGCCACCACCATTCAGCCTTTCTACCTCTTGCGCGTACACCTCATCCCATTCCAGTCGCCTTTAGCTACCAATTGTAAAAGCTATTGCATGGACGTCAATCTAGTCGACTTCCTTGTAACATCATACTGGTTCTGAAGAATTGTCTGCTCACTGTAGTGACACCAGCAGCGGGCTAACAAAAAAGTTTTCATAGGAATCGATTGGTTGGATGAAGCGTGTTCCGAAACTGGTGAGAAGTAGGGTGTGCCACTGATGGTGTTTGAGATTGTCAAGCAGTTTCGCAGTGGATGATGATCATTACGACATATGGAGAATAATGAACCAGCTGATCGTCCGTACGCATTGATATATTAAAAAGCTTGAACCACGAAGAGGACAAATATGCATATACGAGAGCAATCAGACGGTGAACCGAAAGGCAAGGAAGGGTCATTACATCAGATCAGACATTTCAGGACACTCAGGGTCGGTCGGTCCATTGTGGCATGCAGCCAGCGTTGGTCCCTTCATAGCCAATTTCCTGTCCTGTAGAAAAAGAATTCCCACTGCACATGAAACCTCCCCCTTGAACGTGGCCACTACCTCATTCCAAGATCGCTGCTACTCATGTCAAGCGAACAGAACAACTCAATACAATTCACATAACTTTAATAGCGATAAGATGGTCACAAATATAGATAGTCATTATTTTTCGTTTTCTTGTTACTCTGATGGCAGGAGAGAAGATGGGGAGGTGATTCTGTGGGATGGCAGGGTGGGTGGGTTGGATTTTTTGGATCGTTCTTTCATTTGTCTCTCCTGGCTAGGAGGGCCGTCAAGGTCGCAAATAAATATACAAAAGGGCGGGCGGGCGGTATTTAAGAAGATTTCTTGGCCTTGGATGCTTTCTTGGTGGTGGCAGCAGTTTCTTTGGCAGCTGGCTTGGATTCCTTTGCTGATTGTCGTCCTCGCTTCTTCTTTGGCTCTTCCTCAGTCTTTTCTTCGACTTCTACCTTTGGCTCAGCCTTTGTTCGCTTCTTTCCCTTGGTGGGTTCTTCTTTCTTCTCTTCAACCACTGGGGACGATTCATCGGATGCATCAGCATGTTTTGCCTTGTAGGCTGCCAGTTCCTTCTTATGACTCTCCATTGCAGTAGCTGCCTTTTGTGTCCATGCCTGTAACCACACCATAGTCAGTACACGTTCGTTCATTCGTAATGCTTACTCCCCCTTACCTTTTTCTGCTTTTCACCAAGTTTACTCCATTCATCGGACAAAAGAGCCGTTATCTCCTTGTGATTCAAGTTGGGTTTCTCGCTGGTCAACTTAGAACGACGGTCATTGGAGAAAAGGAAGTAGCTACCGGGAGGTCGCTTGGGGGCATTGGGATCCTTAGGCTTGCTCTTCTTCTTTCCGTCTTCCAATTCCGAAGCGGCAGTGACTTCCAGTGAGCCAACCTTCTTGATCAGTTCGGCGGTAGCGAGCAAGCTCTGTGCTGCAGCTTCCAGAGCAACAGTAAGCTAAGGTAAAAGGATGGAAGGATTATTATTTGGGGTGCAGTCGCGTGATGACACGATAAAAGGAACGTGATTTACCTCTTGCTTGAGAGAGTCGGAAGGTTTGGATGTCATGAATAAAAAATTGCGCGGGGTGAGAGAAAGAAAGATGGCGCAGAAGATGCCCAAAATCGCCGGCTTTTCTGGCCAAAAAAATTGCAAAAGCGCCAAAAGAAAAAAAAGTTTCAGGTTGCGCTGCGCTTGTGCCCAGTCAAGTGGTCCAACCCACGTCAATCCATATCCTCTTTTTTTCAATGATCCCTTTGCTTCTTGATATGATGTACCACAAGAATATATCAAGTCTTGAACTGCTGGAAGTTTTTCTACATTTCTCCAAGTTGGCTAATCTGGAGGTTGAACATTCGTAACATCCAAGCTGAAAAACTTCTTCGCAGTCCAGGTACAGAAAACTGCAGCACAAAATATTTATTGCATGTACAGTAGCACTTTGTACACATTCTCGGATTCATTTTCCATTATATGATCTTTAAACATGTTACTTTGCTCATTGCGGCCTGGTTTACAGGGCTCTATCCATTACATCTATATGCATTAAAGTTGTTTATTGGGGCATTGTGCGGTTGGTCAGGTCAAGCCCGCTTGATGCCGAGTTTTTTTTGGTTTAACTACATGTTGACCTTCAGAAATAAAAAAAGTGACATATGCACAAGAGAAAGTTTGTATGAAAATAGGACATGTGCAGCAATTCAAGAAGCTAGACAGGAAGAATTTGGTGGCGACTGTGTTCCTGGTGAACTTGCAGGTGTGGAGCTCGCTGTGGTCGGCTTTTTTCCCGCTGTCGTCTTCCTGGAATGACTGGAAATGGGCAACGTCTCTGCTTTTTTTATTTTACCGCCCTCAATTCTTTTGAAATGTCCACCACGGCGAGGGGATGTAAGCTCACTCCACCGTTCTTGCTCTGAGCCATCGCTTTCGAATTTCCTGGTACTGTCCACAGGACTAAGGGATGTGGTGTCGATGGATTGTGTGTGTTCCTCTGGTTGGTCAAAATGCTCGTAATTTCTCGGTCGTCCAACTCGACGAGATTCAATGCCCTCTCTTCCTTCCTTGGGGGCGTCAGCCAGCTCGGATTTTCTCGGACGCCCGACACGATGACGAGGTGCGGTTGCATTTGATCCTTTCCCCTGTGCATCAGCTAGGTCGGATTTTCTGGGGCGTCCCATACGACGAGGTGACGTATTTACAGTAGTTGTCATTTTTTCCTTCTGTGCAGTGGCCATATCAGATTTTCTTGAACGTCCAACTCGTCGAGGTTCTGTCAATCCAATTCGTTCGTCCTCTGCTGCGACCAATTCAGATTTTTTACCCCGTCCTGCTCGACGTGGGAGCTTTATTGCAGCGGATGACGATGGCTCGGTGAGTGTTGAACCATTGGGTGCAGATTCGTCGGTTGCGAATGGAGCAGGGATCTGTACGGCAGGCTCCGACTCATTCACCTTAGACGCTTGACGATTGGGTTGTCGATCCTTGAGCAACCCCATCTGGCTTGCTGTGTCGTGAAATACTTCATACTGGATCGCCTTTGTTTGTTTATAATGATCATTGGCTTGATGATCTCCCAGATATCCTCGTGCATATTCGGTTTGTATCTTGGTAGCAATCTGTGCACTGGAAGAACGCCAAAGTCGTTAGTACAAACGTTGGGTGTCATTCACATCATAAAGCTACTGACGCTGTTCTTTCTGGTATGATAGACGTATAAGAATCGTAATCGTGATCCAGAATGGGATAAAGAGCATGTAGTATGGATAATTCTCTGACTGTCCATGGTCGTGGTCGTTTTAACTCCGATTGTGAAGGTTCTTGTTCTACTTCGTCGTAAGCTTTATTAATTGTATTCTGATTACAATGACCACATTAGCTCGCGCAATTTTACGTAGTGGGTCCTTTCCGATTTTACGTACCTTGAGGTCATTTACCATCAATTCAGTCTTTTGATTTTTGTCCGCTAACCATGATTTATGCAAATCCAGGAGCAAATCATCTGCATCTCTATTTACGATGGGGCAAGACGCTTTCAACGCTGTCGAAAGGTGATCCGCTTTCAACTGATTTTTCAATATTCCAAGGATCATAGGCTGTATCATAGCCTCGCGGTCTTCACTTGTAAAAATAGCGGGGTCAATGCGCGATATAAAAGCGGTGGTTTGGTCGGCATGGCACTTTCGCAAATAAGTCAGCTCTGTTCTCTAATTATGCAATGTCAATGCAATGAAGGTGAATGAAGGCCAATTTCTAAAAGTTGCTGTTACCAATTGACGTGGAGAAGTGATGGGACCTGATCGGAGGGGTGACATGGTTGGCAAAATAAAAAATAGGTTGCTCACAAAAATGATTTTCCGGCCCACACGCCCAATGTTACACGGCAGTAACACAAGCAATAAGAAATCCTTTAGCGTCGATTTCATATTCCCCTTTTTTCTTGCGTTTCTTTTCTGTTACCTCTTTTTGCTCCGGCTCCCTTTCCATTCCTTCATTCGAAATTGCACAAGATGGCTACTATAGCGCTGGTTAGCTTGTGTATCGCCTCCGTCATAGACGCGTCTTCCGATTTCAGACCCGTTGAAGATTACCAAAAGATGAACAAGCGTGCTGAATCAACGACCAAAGAGGCTGAAAAGACTACTACTAAGAAGACCACAGCCAAGGGTAAGTTTTCTTTCTTTACAGGATTCAGCCAACCCGAGTTTGGTGTTAATAGAAGCCTATGTCTCGCTCGATATTGACATCTCTGGTTATTTGACAGCCACCACCACCAAAAAAACAACCACTACCAAAAAAACCACGACAACCAAAAAGGCTACAACAACTGTAAAGGCATCCAGCGTTGCAGCATCGACCGCTGTTGCCTCACAATCGCTTCCGGGCGGCATTGTCATACCTACAACTACAGCTGGTAGTGCCACAGGGACCGATGTGGCCTCACCATCCCCTAGTATCAGCCCTGATGCCTCGGCCAGCTCAGGTTTATCGGGTGGAGCTATTGGTGGAATTATCGGTGGAGTCGCTGTAGCTGCTATTGGTGTGGGTGCCTTCGCTTTCATTCGAAACAAGCGTAGAAATAAGCCTACAACTCCCAACTACAGACGGTCTATGCGACAGAGCATGGCTGATCCTTTCTCTATGGGTTTTGTGGCTCCCAACAAACCTCAACCCATGCCAATGCAAGATAATCCCTTCCCACCTGCCGCTCCCTATGAGCGCTTGGAGGAACCAAAGTCATTGGGTGTCTACAATGTCGTCTCTACCTACACGCCCACTCTAGGCGACGAAATTGATATACGATCTGGTGATCGCATTCGTGTTCTCGTAGAGTACGATGATGGCTGGATGCTTGGTGAAAATATATCTAATGGAGATGCAAAGGGTGTTTTCCCTCGTCACTGCATAGATTATCCCGGAAACGATACCTACGTCCAACCCGCTTACACTGCCCAAGATCAAAATCGACCGGATTCCATGCTCCATGTAGCCGATAACCGACGCAGCAAACGTATCAGTTCACTCTACTCTGCAAACGATATGAAATAAGAGATGGCCTCTGGTTCTCTCATTTATCCTTCTATATACTCCTTCATTATTCACCTACTATCGTGCTCTTAGTGGCAGTGATTTTTCTCCCTCCGCATTTAGCGAACCCACTCTCCCTTTTCTATCTAACTATCTATCCTTTGTCTCATGTAGTGTAGTCTTATTATTTCTCTTCAGTCCCCCCATCAGAGCCCCCCCCCAATCTTGCATGTAAACCGCCTCGACTGTCAGTATTAAAGAATTTGAGAAATCGAGTTCAAATAAATTAAATAGGTAAAAACTCTATATATTTTAGTAATGCAGCCTGCTTGGTTAGTTAGGCGGGCTTTTTGAGAAACTATGTTATTTCTGGATGGTTTGTGTAAATAATCTGCAGATTCATTCAACGCACTGGCGAGGTATTTTGGGCAATTTAGAAGGTGTCCCCCATTCATTCGATCTTCCCTATGGTTTGCGACAGTGCTTTCGCAACTGCCCCCAACTGAGACAGGTATCCCTTGTGATGGATGGCATCGTATGCACACCCCACTTCTAAGCGATACGTTTTGATCCTTTGCTGTAACAAAAGCGCTTTGCTTCCCTGCACGAGTGAAACGTACCACAAAGCCCAACGCCAGGTTCAATGAATGGCGTTGCAGGCTGTGTACTCGTTAGATGCCTTATCGCCGGCTTAAAAAGGAGAGATAGTCTGTTGCTCTACAACTTTAGCAAGCTGCAAAGGTGGTGCTAGAGGCTGAAGAAGAGAAACGGCTGATTCGGTGCCTGAAGGTTAAATACCCTGGTAGTGCATTGCTGATATTGAAAATAAAAATTCTTTACCAAATAATCAAAGTCAGATGTATCCGCTTTTACTTGGCATGAACTTTAAGTTACCAGGCCAAATGCTCGCGACGGACAAAGTCAAGCCATCCACCTTTGTTACTTCAAAATTATTCGTGCATCCGTCAAGCTCAGCGACCGTCTTTGGCTACGGTTACAAATGCAACTTTCACGACCACAGTGTGATGGCCAATGGTCTGCCTTGGTCCAGGTAGGATCAGCAATTCGACTTCTTAGCCCATAACCAATTATGATCGTTTCAATTCCAGGTATAAGCCCTGCTGGTTATGTTATGATTTTGATTCACAACCATAGCAGGTAACTTTATACTTTTGGTAAGCATATACAGACAAACCTGATGGGTATCACACTCAATGTCAGGTCCTGAAAACAAGAAAGATGCAGCAGCTTTACAAGAAAAAATAGGTGGGCGGTAGAAGGGCTACGTGGATGAAATAACGCGTCTTGCGGGGGATGCGAGCGCTTTTGGCTCATTCGTCACCCGCATCTGGGTCTGTGGCGATATCAATGTTTATTGCACCGACGGCAGTGCTGAATTTTGACAATGAAGATCAGGGGGCTCATGTCCTCAGCGTGGATCTCCTCCATTCTTGTGCAAGCCAGCGTAGTTGTGATGCATTCAATTTTGAGAACATGTTTGGAAACCACTCCGTCATGATGTTTATACAGCCATGCTGGGCGATCACAGCGTGGGATGGTTTCAGTACAATATAGCATTTCATATGAGGCTGAAATTGGCTATCAAAAAAAAGGTCAGAGCATATTCTCCGCTCAAGGGCAGGGTAGTCTTAAATCATTACGTTGATGGAAATCTGAGCTGTTTCTCTGTACACTTGGCATTCTTTGAAGCAGAACCCAAAAGACGTTATAGAGATAGGGGAGGACAACGAGCTATACATCACCAATCTGTTATCCATTCTCGACTGTTTACTTTCGATCATTACTTCTCAAACCACGGAGTTCAATGGTAGACAGCTGTCTCAGCCACTATTTATATTTCTGATTTTCGTCCCTGATCGTCCTCTGTGAAAGGAGGAGGCAGTGTGATGGTCGACCAAAGAAAATAGTGTAGGAATATCTGTCTGCTTTGACTTGCCGAGTAGAGACTTCTTTTTTGTGTCCTTCTCTTTGGTAATGTGCAATGGCTACCTGACGGATGAAAGATTTCACTTTTTGTTCTATTCCGTTTCATTTTGTGTGGAGGTGGACTTTGGATGATGTCCGTCGACGCTGGGTCTCAAAATTTTCATCTTCCAATTTTTTTCATTTACGATCAGCTTGTTCCGATATGTGACGGACCACTGCTCGGAAGTGTCGAATTGGAACGGCTGGTTGACAATTTGTATGAAATACTTTCGATGGCATGATTTTCTAGTCCATCGCGGTATCATATGTTGGTTTGCCAGCTGTAAACTTGTAAACGCCAGCTGATGGCGTGACACAACGTGCTTTGCACCCGACACATGGACGATGTTTTTGAATTGGGAGTTTATTCTTCACACTGCAAATCTCGGGTCCTGTAAAGAAACCCCACTTCCTCACTGAGAGCTCATATGAGAAGGTATAAACGAATCTTAAGTCTGATCACAAAATGGGTATAATTTCGACCGGTTAAAAAAGGCAAAGTGGCATTGTCAAGCACCCGACCTCAGTTGTTATCAGTTGTCGTGAAGTGAAATGTATACGGAACGGTCTATCTGTCTCTTCACAAACATGCTGAAAACCACTGTGCTGTTGATATCAAAGAGGCATGTAAGCATCTCGGCAGTCAACGCTTGCTGTTCTTACTTTGCCATGTGATTGGTGCTAGTCGATTTACGGTCTAAATGGCCTGAACACAGATTTGGATTTGGAGGACCAATAGGTGAGAGCGGAGCCAGGATGGATAAATTTTTTTTTTGTCTCGGTATGAAGGCAGGCTGTACACCGAGAACGAAAGTCAAGCAGCATTAGCATGGATTGCTTCTTGTTCACCATGGGTTGAACTTCTTGTTGGATGACAGGTCTTCGATGTAAAGAGCAATACCGGGGCTGGATGTAATTGCCAGAACAAGGGAATTCAACCCCATTCTGGCCATGACTGCCTGATAGGGAAAAAAATTCGCAGGACAGAGATAACACCGCTTGAAAAAATTGTTACAAATTGCCATCCGCCGAGCCTTCTTTCTACTTCTTGGTTCTTTATCGCACGCCTTTTTCCTATGGCTGATCCATCCCCAACACTGTCTTCGGCAGAATTAGGCCAAAACCAAGTGCATGGCGTAGACAACCACACCTATGGTGATGAGAAAGCCACTCCAAGCCCATATGAAGGCGAGGTCGTTAGCAATTCTGACCACTTTGCTGAAAAGGAGCCTGATCAGGTTCTAACCTCCCGCAATTCCATGCTTGGCAAGCTGTACCAACGGTTCTTCAGCATGGGTGTCGAAGCAAGAGGTGTCGAGCGTGTTCTGGAAGACGATCGAGATCCTAAGAACGCCATCAATAACCTTCTCATGTGGTTTTCCGTCAATACCGGTATGGCATTGTCTTAAAGAATGGGGATGCCTTGCCTTCAAAACTTTGTATTGATGCTTTTGCACGCTTGATTTTTTCAGTCCTCACTACCATTCCTATTGGTGCCCTTGGCCAGGCTGTCTTTTCCTTGACCCTTCCACATACTATTGCCACGATCTTCTGCTTCACTGCACTTGGATGCCTCACCACTGCCTTCATTGCCACTCTCGGCCCACAAACGGGTAAGCACGACGGTCGACTCTTTTCATGTCATTGATTTGAACTCTTCTAACCGGTATGCGGGCAAATAGGATGTAGAACCATGGTCATCAGTCGTTTCAGCTTTGGTTATGTCGGTGGTGTGATCTTGTCCATCTTCAACATCCTTACTCAACTGGGTTTCAGTGTTACATGTGTCGTACTTGGAGGACAAACGTTGGCATCCATCAACAACACCTTGCCTCTTCCCGTGGGTATCGTCATTGTGGCCGTTTGCGCTCTCATCATCTGCTTTTTCGGATACGACCTCCTGCATATTTACGAGCGATATGCTTACATTGTTATCGCCATCATCGTTATCATGCTCTATGCTCTCGGTGGATCACCACCAGCAGGATATGACTTGGTTGCTCAGGCTGCTAGTGAGCCTACGGGTGCCAATCTGGCTGCTAATATTCTTTCATTTGGAGGTATCATGTTTGGCGCAGTTTCTGGCTGGAGTCCAGTGGCTGCTGATTTCAACATGCGATTGCCTGCCGATACTTCACCTACCTATGTCTTCATCCTCACTTTCTTTGGTGTCTATATTCCCGTTGTCTTCGTATCCATTCTGGGAGCTTGCTTGATGACCATTCAAAACCCAGATTACACTACCGCTTACGGCGAGAATGGTATGGGCGCTTTACTATCTCAAACCCTAAGCCCATGGGGTGGTGGTGGCAAGTTTTTGATGGTTGTCTTGTCTCTCTCTGTGATTGCCAACAACGTCCCCAACACCTACTCCGCTGCCCTCTCCATCCAAGCCCTCGGAAAGCCTTTCCAAAGGATCCCTCGTTTTGTCTGGACTGTCTTGGTATTCCTCATCTACACTGTTGCCGGTATTGTTGGACGGGAATCCTTCAGTGCCATTCTTTCCAACTTGCTATCTATCTTGTCTTACTGGACTGCTTTCTTCGTCGTTGTGGTTGCTGAAGAACATTTCCTCTTCCGTCGTCCATCCCAAGGCGGATACAATCTTGACGACTATGCTACGCCCTCCAAGTTGCCTGTTGGTATTGCTGGTATCATTGCCGGTTTGTGTGGTATTGCTGGTGCAGTGATTGGAATGTCCCAAGTCTACTACACTGGTCCTGTCGCCATCTTGATTGGAGACGAATTTGGAGGTGATCTCGGTTTTGAGCTTGCTGCTGTCTTTTCCGGTGTGGTCTATCCACCTTTGAGATGGCTTGAGCGTAGACACTTTGGCCGATAAATGAAACAAAAATAGGTTATAGCTTGCTAGCCGTTCCTGTATCCGTAATAATAATGCAATAGTCATGCCATATCTTTTAATATATATCACATAAACATAATACGTTCTCTTTGAGTTATTGCAGGGTTTTAGGAGACAAGGGTTTCCGCCTGGTATGATATGATGTCGTCGTTCATTGTCATGTTTGTCAAGTAGTGAAGACCTTGTGCATATGGCGGAGTATGTATGGGATGCCATTTCATCCATCCCAAAGTCATAATAATACTTGGAGCAAAGCAATCGACGAAAAGGTTTTGCTATTGCTCAAAGAGTGTGCTGGTTATTCAAGACAATGTGAGAGTTTTTTCATTGTGACTCACTTGGGGATATTTATGCAATGCTTGCTTCAAACATTTTGACTGCGGAAAGGACAACAAGATTGATCCAAAAAAAAATCTTTGACTCATTTTTTAAGCTTTGTTGCACGAATCAAATAAATAAGGCCCATACTAGCCAGAATGTTGGACCAGCCTAGCATGATTCACAAGAACTATCTTAATCGGGCCCGCCCTTCAACCGACTCATTGACCATTGTCATTAAAATCGGAACCTCATCCATATGCGACGAAAAGACTCATTTCCCTTTACTCTCGAATTTATCCATGATTGTCGAAACCATTCTTCAACTGAAGGCTCGCGGTCATAGAGTCGTACTTGTGACCAGCGCTGCCGTCGGTACCGGACTTCGACGCTTGAACATCGACGTTAAGCCAAAGAAATTGGCTGCGATACAGGTAATAGAGCCGTCTCGCCACTGCCATTTCAATTTGCTTCGGTTGTTTCTCATGTCCTTTCAATTCATCAGGCTATCGCAGCTGTCGGCCAGGGTCGCTTGATGAGTCTGTACGATGATCTCTTTGGTCAGTTCAATCAACCTATCGCCCAAATTCTCTTGACCAAGAACGATCTTGCCGATGTAAGCGCCCAATTTCCAGTGTGATTGCACACGTGGCTCCTGCTAATATGTTTCATATCCTTTCAATGAAGCGATCCCAATACCTCAATGCTGTCAACTGCTTCGAGGAATTGCTTGACATGGGCGTCGTACCTGTAGTCAATGAAAACGACACTATTTGTAGTTCGGTATGGCTTTGAAGCTTTGAAGGCTTTACCTTTCCATGAGCTAATATCCTGACGTTCGTAGGAAATTCGATTTGGCGATAACGACACCTTATCTGCCATTGCCGCCGGCATGGTCAAAGCTGACTACTTGTTTTTAATGACGGATGTGGACTGCTTGTATACCGATAATCCTCGAACAAACCCTCTTGCGAAACCTGTATGGCAATGCGATGACATTCAGGCACTTCGAGAACAGAGTATGTACTGACGGCATTCAATGGTCACTGTTGAGATCCGGCTTCTAACTCTCACTTTTTGTTTCTTCTCCAGTTGTAGTCAGCGCTCCTGGTACCTCTTTGGGCACAGGCGGTATGGTGACTAAACTCATTGCGGCGGAATTAGCGACAGCAGCGGGTGTTACGACCGTCATTGCCCGAGGCTCCACCCCTCAAAATATACTCAAAATCCTTTCTGATACGGAACAAAACGATCTCCCATTACATACCCGATTCACCGCCAAAGACAATCCTCTCGTCGATAGAAAATGGTGGATTTTGCACGGCCTCAAATCCATCGGCAAAATATACGTTGACCACGGTGCGTATCGTGCTCTCGTAGCGAAACAACGGTCCAGTCTGTTCGCAGCTGGCATTGTTAAAGTGGAAGGCGACTTTGTTGCTCAACAGTCGGCTTTGATCCTGTATGAGCGAAAAGATGCAGCTGGAGCAATAATTGAGGTGGTTGAAATCGGCAAAGGCTTGGTCAACTACTCCTGTACAGAGATTGGACGAATCATGGGTTGCAAAAGCGCTGACATCCCTGAAATTCTCGGCTACATAGAATCGGACTGTATCGTTAATAGAGAGAACCTTGTGATTACAGCACTGAGAGAGGCGTAGAACGCCTCGCAACATTGCAGCTATTTATTAAAGGTCAAATCATCATAGAATAATCTACACCGCGAATTATGCAGTTCCGTCCCAAACAATGGTGCAAGGGTAGAAATAATGTGCACCATAGGAGTGATGAATGATTAGAATACTGTCGAAACATGAGCTTCATAGAACGGATGACATGGTACTGTGGTTTATTGTCATTTATCAACATTAGGTTCCGTTACAAACAATTCAAAGCCAACGCTCGGCTGTTTACTACAGTATCGGATCGGGTATGATCATGGATGGTGTGTACAAAAAATCAGTAAATTTGTACCAGCCGTTTCCGTTCAGGTCAGACGGCTCGTCAGCATGGCCAGACATGATTGGAAGTTCAAACTGATGAAGATCTTCGACTTGATCCCCTATGGGAATACCATAGCTGTCGCTATTCCCTGTGTGAGTTGTGCTGGTTTGACTGGCTAACGCATTTGGACTCAATGCCATATCTTTTTCGTCTGACCCTATATTCAACTTGGGTGATGTGTTCTGCTCCAGCAGGCCAGCAATCTGTTTTACAAGTCGTTTGACGTGCATATGATGACGCACCGGTGCGTTTCCGAGAACGGATTGGAAATTACGAAGTTGCTTTTTGGCATGGTTTGCTGCACGATCCTCTGATGAGGCGAGGACTCTCCCATAGATGAGTGTGGCCATTAATATTGTCTCGATGGTGAAATGACACCATGGTTGTTGCAGTTTGACCCAGCAGTCTAACAGTTCTGTGATGATGTCGCACGAGAAAATGCATTTCTCGATAGCACACAAGCTGAAATTCGAGTACTGCTTCCCAGATCGCGAGAACAGCGTCGAATACAGCTGGCATATTTGGAAATTGTATTCAAAGCCAAGTTTCACGCAGGCTTGTTCCCTAAAGCTGGCCGTGACCCATTTATCGCTATGTCGGTCATTTGGGCGGTATTGGAGGTACAGTGGCAGTTGCCGGTACCAGTCCTTTAGGCGTTGATCCAGAACTAAAATAGACGCTATAGTGGGTTCCTCAACAGCAATTGTAGCTGCTATTTCGTGATGTATCTTGTTGATTTGCTGACGATGCGTCATAAACTCAACCCTATATCGCTGATCACCTGTTTCGTGGCTCATCAAGTTAGGGTTACCTGCTGTGATGGTATAGTCGTAAGGAAAGAGGAACGGTTTTTCAGCATGTGCTGAACAAAGTGACTCGAGAAATCTCGATCCCGTGAACAATCGCAACTTCTTTTCTGCGACAATCTCGTCATCTTCGTCGTTTGTCTTGTGCAAGCCCATATCAAGTCCCATGCGAATAGCCAATCCCAAATACATGTATGCCTCCGATACGGTTTTGGATCTAGACTTCCCTGATTTTCCAATGGCGTAGATGTACAGTACCAAAAGTGCATGCATGGTGTCTAGCGTGGGTTCCAAAAACCTCGTCCGCAGCAGGCTTTTGGCTGTTGCAAAGAATTGCTCTCCTACAATGTTTGGGTTTTTTCCTTGAAACATGCCATGGTAAATACTTGCATGTCTTGCTGACCAGGCAAAGATGGCATTTTGGAGCAATGGACATAATGTTTTTTGCTTGTATTGTGTCAGTAGAGCGTCCACGTCTGGTAACGGAAGGCACAGAAAGCAATTTATAAAATGATCCATCATCTGGTCCAATATACTTTGCGGCAAATTAGTAACATCCATTTCCGATTGTTCTGGTGCGTTTTTACTTGACTCCCATGCATTGTACAAAGGATACGTGCTGGTTTTAAATGTGGATTTCCATGGCGAGTAATTGCGGCTAATGGCAATATCCGTGATAGTTGGTGATTGCCGCCTTTCCGTGCTCAAAATTTCATTGATATTTGAGTCGATACTATTTTCTGGCCGCATATCTCGCCTCAGCTGTCCAATGTCTCTTGTGAGAAATTGATATAGATCTGATATGAAGTGTACATTGGAAGAAAGCCTCAAGGTGGGTGAATTGAGCGACAGTGACCAATCTCTCCGAATGTTAGGAGTAAGTGGAGCTGGCGGAATGAGTGGGACGTCAGAAGTCTCTGGCTGTATTTTGCTCATGATGATCTTATTCGTGTGGCATAGGTCGCGTAATATCTCTTCAAATGTTTCCATCCGCCTTGACATATGGTGAACGGCATCGTTAATGGATGCCAGCTTGAACAAATCAACCTTTGTCTCACCTCCGTAGCTACAATGTACTGCGCATAGATCAATATGCTTGCGCCAATTACAACAATTGTTTCTTTTAGTGCTCATTACCTTTCTTTTTAGCACATCTTTTACATGCCGGCCGATCAGCACTGCATTTCACTATGTACGGCACGCAAACAGAAGATCAATACAGAGTAGTACTACAAAGGAACTAGCTAATAATGCTGAACAAACCTTTTTTTTCTCTAGATAGTGGAGAGTATACAATGAGCTCATGTCATAGACATACACTACTATAACATAAGTCCACTAACCTACATTGCTCACAAGCAATGGTCATTCGCACTCTTTTAGCTGAAGTAAAGTTATCATCTACCATATCGGAGAAATGCTTTCGAAAAGCTGAAGTGCGGGGGCAAGAGGAACAAGGGCATCAAAAAGAAGACAATTCCCCGATAGACATTGGTTCGAATACCGATGACAATCACTAACGACAGAAGATTTTGAAGTAAAGTCGTTTTTGTCTACGAATGTATACTACGAACATGTAATATCACAATTCTCATAGTTTTACTAAAATATGCAAAACAGCTACCTCGCGCTGCGGTACAGCTTTAGTTGTAGTGTGAAGTTTATACAATTGATCTACTCGCAAGTATGACCTTCACTGCAGCAATTGAAATTTACCGTGGGGGCTGAATTTTATTGGCCTGCGAAAGAACATTTGTGACGTTCGAACTTCAAAAAAGCAGAAAACCGCTTCCTCCTGGATAGAACGGAATCCAATAACGTGCCATGAACATCGATGAACTTTTCAAGGTAAATTCAAGGAAAATCGCTTTGTAAATCAGCATACTTCATTCCTAATGCGTAGATCCTGTGTAGATTCCAGCCATTCCTTCGGGAAAGAACAAACGAAAGCTCCCCGATAATCCTTCACTTGACTTTCTCAACAAATACCGTCAAGCTAGCAATGACGAGGAAATCGAAAGCAGCGAGTCCAAAAGACGAAACGTCACGATAGAAGAAGACGAAGATGATGCAAGAAACTATGGTGGTGAAGTAGACGACTATGGTTACGAAGACGAGGAAGACGAAGGACGGTTTTTTGGCGGTGGTTTGACTGACGAACAAAAGAAGATCTTGGAGTTGGTGGACGAAATAGACGCAGACGAGGTAAATGGAATCCTTGAGTTTGCTTGGATGCGTTTACATCTACTAACACTTGGAGGTTTAGACGGAGGCACTTGATGCAACAACGGTCAAGAAATACATTCTTCGATTCGAAAAAGCTATCAACAAAAATCAAGAACAGCGAGTCAAGTATGCTGACAACCCAGAAAAGTTCATGGAATCAGAAGCCGACCTGGATGAGGAAATCAAGAACCTACTTGCATTGACGCAAGCGCCACAACATTACCGTGAACTCGTCAGTCTAGGCAGCATCCCATCACTGCTGTCCTTGCTTAGCCACGAGAATACCGACATTGCTCTTGACGCGATAGAACTTATTAATGAACTCACAGACGAGGATGTTGCACCTGGTGAGGATATGGAAGACGAGGAGAAAGCGGAAGCTATCACCGAGAGCATCAATATCTTTGTAAAAGCGTTGGTAAGTGGACAATTTGCAATGAAGACGCGGTCCTACTTCACAATACTTACCACCCATTGTGACCTAGATCGATGAGCAGCTTCCGGAACTATTACTTCAAAATTTACAGAGATTGGACGAGAACGAGGCAGCTGATAGACAAGGCGTTTTCAATGCTTTGAGTGAGTATTTTAAATCTGCTGCTGTCGGAGAACGTGTTAACTAATGCAAGCTTATCTAAGGTATTTTTGAGAATCTGGTGTCCATTGATTTAAAGTACGCCGAGATTGTGGTGGAAAAGACGGACATATTACCATGGTTGCTCAAGCGCATCAACACAAAAGCATTCGACTCCAATAGAGGATACGCTGTCGAAATCTTGTCTATCCTGCTACAAGAAAGTAGAGGTACGATATCACGACGCTTAGTGTCGAATGATATGACCGTGCACTAAAAATTTGCTATAGCGAACAGGATCAAGCTTGGTGAACTCGGCGGTATCGATGTATTGCTTCGCGTTTTGTCTGTAAGTATTGACGAAGGTGAACTGGCAAATATGGCGTTGTTTCATAACCATTTACGTCCCCATAGTCTTATAAAAGAAAAGACCCTGCTGATGATGATGAAGCTGAATTGATGGAAAATTGCTTTACATCTCTGTGCTCGGCACTGGCCGAACCAGAAATCAAAAAATTATTTTTAGAAGGCGAAGGTATTGAGCTCATGTTGATCATGATAAAGTAAGTACAGCTAATTAAAGTTCAGAGAGAGAGAGGAACATTTCACTAACACGCAGAATAGGGAAAAGTCAATGGCAAGAATTCGTGCTGTCAAGGTGCTTGATTATGCCATGTCTACATCAGCAGGAACAGCCAATTGCTATCGATTTGTAGAGAGTTTTGGCCTCAAGACTCTGTTCCCCATGTTCATGGGAAAGGTATTTTTTCTTTGGATAATGCGTACATATCTCCTTTATGGCATGGAGCTAATGCTGCCTTCTACTTCTTAGGGAGTGAAAAAGCTGAAAAAGGCATACAAAGCGTATTCAGAGACGGAAGAAGAAGGTTTGTTCAGGATAGTGACATAAACATTCGCCGAAGTTTTCCACTCACGCTTTCAATCTACTTTTTTCATTAGAACATATCCTGGGCATAATAATATCCCTATTCAAAAACTTGCCTCAGGACGACATTCAACGACTTCGGTTGATACGAAAGTTTTCCGATGAAAATTTCGAAAAAGTCGATCGGTTATTCGATTTGTTGGAACATTACCACGCTCGGGACGCCATGACACAAACAGAAATAGAAACCGAAAAGGAACAACTTGACGAGGAAGATCTCGAAGATATGGCAGACCAGTTTTATATCCGCAGACTAGATGCTGGTTTATTCACGCTGCAACGAGTCTGCCTTGCCATTGTTGTCCTTTGCGAAGAAGACGAGCGTGTACTGGAACATGCACTCATGCTTTTGAACCGCAAGGATCGTGACATGACCTTTGTCACTTCATTAATTGACGCAGATGAATCCTTGGCTAAGGAAATGGAGGCTGTTCGGGGTCCCATCTTCAGCAACCAAGCTAGCACTGAAGAAAGCAAAGTTGAGGCGATGGACACCGATTCGGCTCCCAATGTAGATCAACAAGCCAATAATAATTAGTGTAGCTCGGCGTGCATTTCTTTCGCACTGGCTTTGTTGTGTTAATCTTAAGTACATGTATAAAAATCGATGTGTCACTTAAATGAGATGCCACCTTGCTTTTTTTATTTGATAAGTGAATGAATGAATGTATATTTTGGGGGAGGGGAAAGGGGGTATAGCTGCTAGATTGTGTGGCATCTTAAGGGACCTAATCACAACACGGCGTGATAAGTTTGGCCAGCCCTTACTGAGAGCAGTAGGGGATGGAGCTTGAGCCAGTCAAGTCGATACAAACATTCTTAGGAGTCTTGGAGGCCTTGGAGACGTTGATGTTGGTGACAGCGAAGTTGGAGCAAGGAGTCTTGGAAGAACAGTTGACACTCAAGACAGGGTGGCCAGCGTTGGAAACAGTGCCGTACACATTGTTGATTTTAACAGCAGAGATGGTCAACGAGCTTGAGTCATCAGCATTGCACGATGATTGGTGCTCACTATCGCAATAGTGCGTGGTGATGATGATTGGATTATCGACATTCTGGAGGTTGATGTTATCGTAATTGATGTTCTTGACGTAACCTGTTTTTAAAATTAAGCCATGAAAATAAATTGAGTTTCCTGTCTTGGAGATCTGGTGTTACATTCTTTGCATGCAAGATCAAAATTACCTGTGCCGCCGGGCCATGTCTTGATGCGAACTCCGTTCTGGCAGTTAGTGCAGGAAGAGGCGGTAATGTTTACACCATCAACTGTTCCAGCCGACAGATCCTTTCCAAGACTGCCAATGGAGAAACCATGCTAGAACATACATTTAGGTTAAGTTGAGGGGATACTAGACACTCTCATCTGATTTGAAGTAAACTTACCGATCCATTGCAGTTGTTATTGGTGAAAGTCAAGTTAGTCACACCAGAGTTAACGGCAAGACAGTCATCACCGTTGTAAATGTTTGAGCCTTGAATAATGATACCAGAGGAGGAGCTGACGTCAAATGCATCAGTGTTCTTGGCAGGATTGCTCGAGGTAGAAACGGTGTTAATGTAGAGGTTTTCCAGAACGGTGTTTTTGGCGCCGTTGATACTGAAATGAGCTCGAGGGGCCTGAGTAATTTTGAAGCCACTGAACACTGAATTGGTAGTGTGGATGGCAAGTACGCGAGGAGCATCCGTAAGCTTCTTGTCGTACCTAGAGAATTTCGCGGGTTTTTAATTAAAAAAACAAAATTAAGTTTGTCATTCAGCTTTCCGCGGTAGCTTACCAGGCTTGACCATTTCCTACAATAGTACCACTTCCGGTCCATTTAACCGAATCACCTGTGACGGAAATGTAGGCAGCTCCATTCTCATAGGATGAACTGTAGACTGGGAGGTTGAGATTACCATCGAATTGGACGGTAGTTCCTTTAAGTCCAGTAATACTGATCATGGCATTGAGATAGTAGGTAGCGCCTTTAGTGAAGACAACGGTACCTCCGGTAGCGCAGGACTTGAAAGCGCTTTGAATGGCAGAAGTATCATCCTTTCCTGTGGTTGGGATGGTACAGGTGGTAGCTTGAGCAGCAGCGACGAAGAGGGATAGAGCAGCAGCAATTGAAACAAGTGACTTCATTTGAATATTTTTCTCTTTGATGCCAAAGGATGATGATGAAAATTACAAGGCAACTACGGCGGTATTTATGTTAATTTCACCATAATCATTAAAGCGGTGGACTCATTGTTGCACGTTTGGTTCTGTAACAGGAGAATAGGATATTTAATCTCGATTTTCCGTGCCTGAGAACGGTACACAGGCCGAAATTACCAAGCGCCTAAAAATTAATTGCTACATTGCAGTGCGTCGAATGGCTTCCTTAACGCGTAATGACAATGACCATCAGAGATCACCGTCCATATTCCCCCGAGATATTTTCCTTCATTCTTCCTAAGCTACGTACAAACGGCAACACAGTGTATGCTAGCTTTTTACAACTTTCCCCAGATCCAGCCCATGTAGCACCAGTTTCCAAGCGACCTCCAAGCTATGCGCCTGGCCTGCATCTGAGGAACAAATGGTTATTCAATGACCGTTACTCAGCCATGCCATTAAGCAATCGATCGGTTCTTTCCAGTCCGCATTGTTCTACAAATTTTCATCTCAACATGATCTGATATTTGCACAATCAATCGATTCCAATATTGCCGTTTCAAGTAGCAACAGCGTCTGGTGTAACTTGCAGCACGAGGAGCATCGCACTTTGCTGGACCTGGTTTTCATATTAATTTCTTTCTCACAAGAGTTAGTGACCACTCTGAAAACAGCCGTGGGTATAATTGGATCATCACGTTGAGCTGGCCATGATGGACTGACTCCATCTTTGAAATTCACCGAAGATGTTCCCAAAATCGCTCCTTTTGTCCTTTGCACAGTTTGATTAAATGATATGCACACGCTAAAACGTCCATTGATCGATTACGCCATGTTTTTAAGATGCTTTTTATGGAAGATATGGGTTTCAATCCGTTCTAAAGTACATGCAGAATATTTGACATTATTCTTATCAAAACATCTGGAAGCCAGGCCGGTTTTCTATCTACTGTATTTGACAAGGGGTTGAGGTGTAATGCTGAGATACGAGGGACTTCTATTTCTTTTCTTGTTCAGCTTGCAACTTTGCAAGCTTCTCGTCATGTAACTTCTTCTCCTGAGCCTTTTCGTCTGGCTGTGCTCGGAATCGCCATCCCTTCAATTTTCTGCCAGCAGCTTGGCGAGCCAAGTCTCGATCAGGTCCTCCGAGTGTGTTGAGGTCGGGTTCCGCAGGGTAGGCGAAGGGTTCGTCGATGGTAACAATAGCCTTTTTGTAGGCAGCATCTCGGCCAGTGACACGGCCATCCTTGCGTCGCTTGATACGAGTAGCATAGTTCATCGTTCGCACTTCTTGCACGTTGACATTATATATATTTGTAAGATATGAGTGGATATCGAATTTGTTGCACTTTGGGGGAACTCGGAAGGCAACTTGGTTAGGTTGCAAATTTGGTGATCGCACCATTTTGAAAATGATGTTGGGCAAGTAGACTTTGTCTATTGTGATGTATAGAGTTTAATATTCGAGATCGGCAATCGAGAATTCATGATAGTTTTCAAGTTCCTCATGTTGAGCGAACACACTTACTTAAGCCCTGGCGAAGTGGTGTGGACATGGTGGACACAGAATGTTGATTTTCCTTTGCTGCCAAAAAAAATCAACCAGGTAAAATTGTTGGGTGGCTTGGCTTCCAGCAAGGAACAGGCCAAACGTCCACTCGCAAAATCACATGATTGTCCCAGAAAATTGCTGACTGTGTAGTTTTGTCCCGCTGATCGACTCACACCCCGCACTTCTTTCACTGCCCTTTACTCTTTATTTCATGTCGACGACTATTGCTGTCGCATTCCCTGATTATATCAATCAAAGATACAAGAGGGCACTTGGTCTCGTGAGAAACCTGCCCAAGAAGAGTCTATTCCAGCCAAGCAATGCCGATAAATTGAATTTATATGGCCTTTACAAGCAGGCATCATTTGGAGATATCAATACCCCGCAGCCTGACCGATGGGATTTACTGAATAGGGCCAAATGGTACTTTACGTTGCTAGGATGCACTGGTTGAGAATGGCAATGGAGCTAACTCAAGATTTGCATTGTCTTTAGGGAGGCATGGCGTCAGTACAGAGGAATGGACGCAACGTCAGCAAAGCAGCAATATGTTGATTCTCTCATTGGATGTGTGATACAGGTGAGTAAAATGGACGTGTTGGGTACACTTTCATAAATTTGGCATGTGAGAGTATTTTTGGGATAGGTTCCATATTCGCTTACCTCATGTTCAATCTTCCTTCTCCAGTTTTTGACTCAACTGCCCGAAAACACCGACGCAAAGAAACTCGCCCAATCTCTTCAACATTTTGAAGCTCACAGCAGCGACAACAATGACGGTATGTAAGCCCTCCGGAAATCATTTGTGGTTATGTTTATACAAACATAGACGCACTCATTTTACAACTTGCTAATTACTTAATATAGACTTCCAATCTCTCGAAGAAGACGACGAAGGAGATTTATTTTACACCGAGCATCTTCAGCCAGAGTTCCTGGAACAATACTTTCGAGGTACTAACAGCTCAAGTGCCAGTTCAAAATTCAGTCACCACCCCGATCATGATAAACAGTCCAGCCGGCACAATGGCTCAACCCCAAAACTGCACGACCACCACTCACACTCTACCAACGTGCCATCACACCATACCAAACAACCTTCTGTTACTCCTGAATACCCTTTGACACCTGCCATGTCACCAGAATATCAACCACGGGCTCGGTATGGCAACCACTACGATGTACCAGGCGTGCATCGATTAATCGCCACCGACTCATTCCTCAACCTCAATTCATCGGAAGACAATCAATCTGATGGGGATACCATTGATCGAGAGGTGGCCGCCACCACTGCAAAGGTCGGCATGCCTGCACCTCGCCATGCATATACTACTCCCATTACCATTAATCGCACCAAGTCAAAAACCACCTTACCAAAAGATAGCACGGAATCGGATGGAGAATCCGAAACGGAGACGCCATCTCGAAAACCGTCTTCTTCAGATCGTTCAAAACCACGTAGCGACCATTCTTCCAGGCGAAAATCCACAGACAACAACAACACTCGACTTCGGCCAGTGGCGGAAAGAGCGTTGGAAAACCTGCAGACAGATGTTACGGCGCTGACGGAACAAATCGATATTCTAAGACGTGGTATGATTGAAAAAGAAATGAAGCGCAAGGCGGAAAAATGGACTTGGGGCTGGCTATTCAAGACCACTGCTAAACATGCTGTAGTGAATTTGATTATTCTCACGGTGATTTTCCTCTTTCTGATGAAGAGAAAGAGTCCCATCGCCTACGCCGTTATAGCATATTTAGGACCCTGGTGGAATGATATTTTTCTCAACTTTATTCGAAAATTTCGTTTGAGAAGACTTCTCCAAAGATTCTAGCTTACCAGTGATTGTTGCACATTATTGTATTATACTCGCAATTAAAAGAAATCAGGAAAGTAATAGGAGTGGTCTGTTCTGCTGATCATAATGTCAAATTCGGGGTCAAAATTTAAACTCGACTGAAGTGACGCTTCGCGTGACAGTCAGTCCGTCACAATTGGCTTAACATATCCTTTGTAACTCACAAGGTGAACATCATTTTGCAGAAACTTGCATATTGTCAAGTTGGTATTGCTCTGATCGTACTGCTGACAAGTGGTCATATCCACCTTGATACAATATGACTTTGATCTAATGCATTTTATCTTATTTTATCTATTCGGTACAATCAATCGTGATGACACGAGGTGTGACGAAGGGTTGCAAACGGATGGAAAAACAAAACGTACCTGCCGAATAACAGCCATTTTCGATGTTTTGTTTCCAGTACAATTCTATCGTAACTTGCTTCCATCGTAACCTAATAAAAATTTTGATCCTTATTTCGTATCCTACCGCTGCTGATCCCCCCCATTGTTTCATTGCACCTTGAGAGTACGTCAATAACCAAATTAACCTTACTCAAAAAATCAATCACTATCCTTTTCAACCTCGACCGGTCATCCACCTGATAATTCGATGCTATATCACCATCATTCCTCGTGTTGAGTAAAATAGTGCCGGCTGTTACTGCCATATAAAAGATATCCCTTACTCCCTATCCATCAACTTAAGTTTTCACCGAAACCTCCTTCTTCAACTAAAACATTAGAGTTATTGAATTTAATTCTCCATCGTAATAATACCCTTTTCTTTTCTCTTTTTCAATCGACTGTCCTCACAACTATGCCTCCAACTGCAATAAAACCAAAGGCTACATGTCCTGACTATCAGACGTGGGTAAAATTCATTTTTTGCGTAGCTCTATCAATGTATGCTCACACTACATACTTCAGGTACGCTTCTGCGTTTCATAAACCAGGGAGTGGAGGAACGCTGAACCTACCGTTTCAAAGACCACCTGTACCATGCAGGAACTTCTATAGTGCTGCCGTAGAAGGCGTCATAAACGATATTACGTCCAAGGTACGCACTTGTGGATGCAATACCGGCAATCGCTTCTTCGCCGTCCGGTTCAATATAAACTCCTTATTCACCTTGTCAATATTAGATGAAGGATTTAGATCTGGCCCAGCTTTTCCGAAATGCATACCCAAATACCTTAGGTAGTTATGGTGTATTTGCTGGAACCTGAGCACTGGCCAAATTTACCGTACTCCTCATGACTGACTTTCCCTCCTTCCAGATACCACGGTTCAGGACGGCTGCGTAAATGATACGTGCGAAGGGAACCCAAAGACATTCGTCATAACTGGAGACATTCCGGCAATGTGGATACGTGATTCAACATCTCAAATGAATCCGTATATGCCATTAGCACCACAGGAACCATCGCTTAAAAAAATGATTCTCGGTGTTATTTATATGCAAGCACAGTTTCTCGACCTCGATACATATGCCAACGCTTTTGAGTTGCCAGCCAGCAGTACCAACGTGGATCTATATAGCCATGATACGGGCGGCAAGGGGACAGCTAGAGTTTGGGAAGAGAAATACGAAATTGATTCGCTGGCCAATTTTCTGAGACTGTCACATAGTTACTGGAACACCACAGGAGACTCGAGTTTTGTCAAGGATCCAGTGTGGATGTCGGCGGTTAAAAAGGTCATTGATACCATCCATGAGCAACAAGAACCTACCTTTGATAGTCAAGGTAAGCACACGCTTCAAATGAACCAATTTTTCGTTGTACTTGTACTAATTCACTGGGATATACAGACAAACCAACCAAAGAGTTTTACAAGTTTGTAAAGTCTTCGACACGGCCAACTGAAACTCAGTTTCTCGATGGTAGAGGCAATCCTACCGTTCGAACAGGCTTGGTTAGGTCGTTGTTCCGGCCCTCGGACGACGCTACCATATTCCCTTTTTTTATACCCGGAAACGCTATGCTCTCAGTGGAACTACACCATCTTTCTCAGATGCTGAACGCCACGAATAGCGATTTTAACGTATCCGCTACGGCTGCTATGCTTTCCGACGAGATTCGGCAAGCAATATACGACCATGCTATTATTAACCATCCTCAATACGGCAAAATTTTTGCTTGTAGGTATTTGTATGATATTGGAACATGGTTGATCCTCTCTGTTGATATATTTTACTTTTTGTAGACGAGGTTGATGGTTATGGCTCTAATCTCATCATGGACGACGCAAACATCCCTTCATTGCTCTCCCTGCCTTATCTTGGATTTGTGGATCAAAATGATGCAGTTTATCAAAATACTCGCAAACTCGTGCTTTCAACGTCAAACCCATTCTACTTTGAAGGACCAAGAGGCGCCGGGATTGGTGGACCTCATGTAAGTGCTTGAACCGTATACCTGATGAATTCGCATGCAGCTCACTAAAACACTTCATGCACAGGTGGGACTAAGTGCTGTGTGGCCGATGTCTCTGGTGGTGAGGGTAAGTCACCTATGCAAACCTTAAATGCCAAAGACATTCATGTAACCAACCCCACCGACTTTTAGATTTTGACATCCTCGAGCGACGATGAGATCCGGTCCGCACTATCTACGCTTCTGAACACAACAGACAGCACTGGTCTCATCCATGAATCGTTCGATACGTGGGATGAAGGTGAGTTGAAGAGACTCGATCGTCCTTACACAGGCTGCATACTAACACAATGCTCTTCTTTCATGACGACATAGGGTCGTACACTCGACCTTGGTTCAGCTGGGCAAACGGGCTATTCGGAGAAGCCATCGTGAAGATTGCTAGAGAGAAACCTCATCTGCTATTTTAATAGAGCGAATTCATACCCTCGATTAATATGTATAAACATTTGACGTCTTTAATATGTACAATAATAATCAAAAAAGATATTTACAGCTTGAAATAAAACGGAAAAAGAACAACGGAACAAACATTAACAAGGGTTTCAAAGTAACAAGTCGGCTCTATGTTTGTACAAGAATCGATGTATATCATCGTGCGACACCCAGCAACGATACTTTAAAATCTTCAAAAACGCTCGCTCTAGATCACCAATATCACGCAAAGTATACATGCCGTCGCAAAGACTGCAAAGTTTTTGATTCGTGAGACGTGGAGTGACTGTCATGTTTGCGTCTTGAACGAACTTGGATGCAATCAGAACAGCGGCCAGAAACATTCTATGGGCAGTATCTGCAAACAACAACCATGATGGGTTGGAAATTTTTTGCCAGTGTTGTGTGGCGAAGCCTAATGAGTTGCCTTACCTGGATTGCCAACGGCGCCCTTGGGTAAAGCCCGCTTACACCGATGAAGATAGATGAGAGCAATGATAGCTACCTGCCAATCCATATGGGAACGAACTGACATTTTATGAATGAAATAAACGAGTTCGGGCAATGGCGAAGAGCAAGTCGCAGGCTTAACAATGGGGATCATGTCGCAGACAGTTTCGGCCATATAATCTGAGAAAACGATCATGGTCAAAGAATTCGTTAGCATTCATTCTACTTTTTCCATGAAGATAGGGTGTTCCATTTGATCGCTCACCCGTTACAGCCGATGGCAACGTTGACATTTCTAATGGCGCATAGCCGTCTGGCTCTGTCTCCGGCGAGTGTGGCAACGAGAGGTCGATCGAAAATACTTGCAAGTCGGATTGCACAAGGGGGTTATCGAAAACATGATAGTCAGTGCAAAGCATCGAAGGGTTTGCTCAAACGAAAGGGATGTTTAAAGCAGATGATATCGAAAGATGACGACGTAAAGAAAGAAGGAGATCGCTCGTAGTTTTCGGGGAGGGAGCGTTACATTTGGCGAGGCACTTTTTATGTATTGGCTTGTGACCGCATTTCCCTGCTTTTGGGATGCCAGGGCGACCTTTGTCATGCATTCGTTTCTTTTAGCTAGGTCACGAGATAGACATCTGTACCGTCGTGGGGTGGTGTTTGCTAACAAACGAGCCATGAGATACCCATCATGACAATGTTAATTTATTGATAACATAGCTGAAACGCATATATCTTCAACACCACCTGTCCCCGCAGTGATCGCTACCGCCATGTGAGTTAACCACCGGAGGACTCACCTCGCGACATTTTTTTGTTTTTTGGATGGGTGGCGTACGACTTTGTTTTCACTCGGAGAATCAGCGCAACAAACGAGTGAATTCTAAATGTTTTGTTATGGTGGCCGACACCGGGGCATATTTTTTTTTATCGTGAAGCGCAGAATGGCATAATGGCAAGCAAACATACCCTCTCATTCTTCAGTATAGCGCTTGCACCGAAAAGCCCTATTTTCCCAAATCCAATTAACAGCCGTGACAACTTCCTAACATGTGGGGCGGCCATGAGCACCGCGTATCTAATTCGCTCAATGTTGATAACATGCCCCCCTCGTGGGGTTTTGTGAGCCCACTTCCCTCTTGATCTCGAATGAATGCAAAAGAAGTCTTGCAGAACAATGATGCCAACAAAATTTTTTTAAAATTCATAACCTAAGCTAAATCAAACTTTTTCATTACATCACTTCACTTTTGCATGGCCCATCCCCTCATTACAAATTGATGCATACCACCGGTACTTCATGAGTCCATGATATTTTTAGTCATGGATCGGCTGGGCATGCTATTCTATGGTATACCGAGAATTGCTCAGCCTGAGGCATATGTTTGCCCGTACTACATGCTCATACCGTTGGATAAGAAAATTTTTTTCTTCAAATGGAATTTTGCTGATCATAAGCTGGTTCATGTTTAGCTCAAAGCATGACCGATACTCACTTTGACCAATTGATACTTACTAGATTGGTACACAAATTTGATAAGCATCTTCCGCTACGATGTAGTTATTTTGTCATTCCACGGAGTTCCATTGCAGGGGTGCGCCCAATACACCGGAGATACGCTGGATAGAACCATATCCCAAAGGAGCGGTAGATGCTCTGCTCTTATCGGCGTCTCAGCTTTTTCTTTATCGAATTCTCAGATTGATTTTCCAGAAAAGCGCTTCCACAGACGATAAAGTTCACAATTAGGCGCACCCAGTGCTGTACATTGCATATTATAGTGTATTTTGATAACGCAATGGATGTTTAATTGATTATGTAAAATGGGTATTTCACTTTTCTCATATTCGCCGTGGTCTATGAATTTAAAAAAAAAAAAATGCGGTGCTGGGGAAATGCCAATTTCAATCTGTACTGCACGTGACTGATGCGTTTCTTGACCAGCGAGTTGACCGCGTTCATAACCAAAGAGAATATTCTTACCACCAGCCCTAAACGATGTCGAAGAGAGTAAAGATATCTCTCGAACCAGCTTCTGTGCGTGTTCCTGTGGACATTTCGGAAACTGGCGTTGAGATTTTCAAGGAGTAAGTTGTCGCCATTTTGAAAGATCCAACCGTAATTTGCCACTCATGCAACCTCGTACCTTAGGGAATCAACATTCCACAATAAGCTGATGGAGAATGCCAACCGGATTTGGTTTGAACGAGGCGAATGGAAGAACATTTCCGGAGAAAGTCTTGAGGAGAATGTATCACGAAAGCGATCTAGAAGTGGTACTGAATCGCCGAGCTTGCAGGATGCAGATCTGCAAGTGTCTCAACCTGAGAAACCAACTACGGTGGATGGTAAAGGCACTACGCAACTGCCGTTTCCTGATCCCCAAAAACTTCGAGAATCCGTTGTGGGGAAACTAAAGTGAGTTGGCATACTGTCTCTTCGGTATTGATGGTATATCTATTAACAATGCCGCCAGCCATGCAAAAAGCGAGATCGACGTCGCATTGGATGTTATAAATATGCTGTTATCGCAGCGTAAAACTTCCTCTGCTAAAGACTTGGTACTGCCGCCCAACACGCTGCAGGCGACTTATGTGTCTAGACCAAAACAAACCGCGAAACACGAAGCTGAAGCTTCAAAGCTAGCCTTGGGATCTAAGAGGAAGGTTAGTACTATGGACTATAGGCGCATCGATCCAATTACCATTACTCATTATACGCAATGCGCAGCAATTGAACGACGCTTCAAAGTTCTTGTTGGAAAAGGCCGCGTCCCTTGGTTCATCTGTCCAAGCTGAACAAGATTTCTGGGATGAAGCATTGGAGATGAGAAGAAAATGCTGGCTAATCCAGCCTGGCAGCGCATTTCAATCGTACCCGGGAACGGCGATGGCATCAGGCGAAAGGTCATTCTATGTTCAATATGGTTTTGGTGACGGTGAGTCAATGTCTCTATGATGAGTTCTGCTTTTTACACATTGGTGGCTAATGCCCTAGTGGAAAAAATTTAGTGGGTTCCAAATTCAGAGAGCCAACGTACGCTGAAATCACTAGAGCATACGATAAGTCGAGCGGCGATGAGCAGCAAGGTGCTGTTCAAATGTTGATTCCGCATACAGTTCGCCGACATGTTGTCGCTAGACTAGTGGAAAGTCATATCGCAGGATTGGATCTCAACTTTGACTATTCTGAAAAGCAGCTTTCAAACAAGGCAGCGGCTTCAAACATTGTTGACGAAGATTGTAAGTTGAACTTGGATGTGAGTGAAACCAGTGGGAGGGTACATTACTTATATATACTGTTATGTAGATCTTGTCTTCACCGACTCTTGTGAACAAAATGAAAGCTTGCTACAGCAGCAGCTTCAGCTAGCACAAACAACTGTTTTTGAATCAGAGCTGTTCCATGAGGTGAGTGCTACATGGATCAAAAAAACACTGCCATACCATGCCATACGTCTCTTATTCTTCTTTGATTCTAATCATATAACATTGCAGATTTTAAATGAAGCACGATCGTCTAATGTCGATGCAAAATTTATTGAAGACGGAGTGTCGGTTAACATTGATGTGCACAATGATCTCATTCTGCAACTGAAAAAGGACTCTGACATTGAGCGAAATCACCCAACAGATGAAGGAAAGATTACAAGGCTCTGTGATTATCGAAGAGTTGCTTCTGTGATCGTCAATATATCCATGCATCTACTACTTCTTCGACGGTATCGATACAATATCCTTGAAAGCAGACGAAAGCTGTTCCGACATCATACCTCCAGCAGTTCCGGCGCTCCAGCTACAACAGCAGCAGCACATTCACAGCTACCAGCTGCCAACCGCTTTTCTCGACCAGCTGGTACAGGCTCGAACGCCATGGATTCATCTTTGAATGCTGGTGCTCGACATATACCTCTCTTTTCGTTCTTGTCGTCTCAATGCAAATTATTGGCCCTTGTCAACCGGGTTCGACATGCCGTTTCTGACTGCATTGCTTCGTTGTGTGGTGAAGGAGGTCTGGATATCTCAGTTCACTACAATATGATTGATACTGCGGAACAGGTATCAGAGGGCGGCGCACATAAACTGGAACACGGTCCTCACAACCTGGCCATCAATCTCACTGTTACTGTAATTAAAGGGTAAGCGACCATGTCTACTATGGTAATGCGTTCAATGATATTCGCGAATACTCTTAAACTAATCTCGATTGAAAACGCTTTCGTTAGACAATGCTTACGGTACTCTTTACGATCACCTTGCTCGATCATTGCACAGCTTCCACAAACGTCTTTGACGCTGACTAGTCTGCAAGCGTTCACGGAATTGTTCAAACGACAACTTAATCTGCTTTGCCTTCAGATGATATGCGACGAAGCTAACCACCTCTTACAACACTCGGACTTCTATCCGGCGGATCGTAAAAATATACCCGAAAAACAGCTGTGGACAGTCGACGAGGTGGAAGAAAAGGTGAATGGCCTTTTGCTGTGTAAGGCTGCCGATGATAGTACAATCAAGGCAACAGACATATGGCGAAGAATGTGAGTAGCCCTCTCTCTGCGCATGACCAGTAATGAAAGAATCGGTTTTACTGATGCGCTATTTCTTCTAGTGTGATTGAACCTGAAGATGTGATTCTAAACGATGACAGTGGCAGCACGTCAACGAACAAGCAATTTACCTTCATAGCCCTTGGAATCAAAGATCTGCAACTTGAGCGTTTAGAGGAAACCTTAACAATGGGTCAGCCCCAGAGCTCTGTAGAAAGTGTCTTGGAATTCCGACCGAGAGCTCGAATGCTATTAAAGCAGTGGATGAAGGATGTACAAAAGCAGCTGACTTAACACACTTATTAGCGATTATCTCTATAGATTGTACATAGCGAATGCGTATAATAATTCTGATACTGCCATTCCATAAAGTAATGTCACTTTTTTTTTCCACAACCCGAATGTCATTAAAGGCATATGGACTATATGTTTTTCATAATTCTGATCTTAAAATTGTTGCAATTGCTGAGGATACAATAGCGGCAATTCGAAATATCCCAACATTGAGCATAAATGCTAAACGTCACACCACGAATAGCATATCCATTTATAAAATTGCAATTACTTAAAGAGATACTTGTGATTATAGATTGACAATGCAGATATTGTACACTATGTTTCCTCTACGATGATAAACCTAGCTGTAACCTGAACACATGTGCGTTACGAAATTATGCTCGGTTCTCCAGAATAGATAATAGATCTTGGTGAGCCTTTTCTGGATTTGTCATCATAATGTTATGACCACCACCTTCATAGACAAACAGCTTGGCGTGTGGAATGTACTGAAGCAAAGTCTGAGAATGTCTAAATGGAACCGTCTGTTTAAAGAGAGTAATTAGTGTTACACGGCGGGGCGCTCATCTTTAGTTATCGAGATAGCCCAAGGCATTTTGAACTTACGACGTCCGCATCTCCCCAGAGGGCATAGACGGGAATCTGGGATTGACCGACCTTCTTGTAACGATCATCCAATCCAATGAGAGGATAGTCCTTTGCAGTATTGATCAATGCACGGAAATAGCCACTATGTTTAGTGATCTGATCGGTCGCCATCAGGGCAATCTTGACAGCAAAGTCCTCGGCGTCCTTAGACTCAGCAGAGATGGTTCCTTTATGTGCAGCGGACCAGGATGAGAGAGCCTTAATGGCCAATGGCTGGAAGATAGGGCTTAACCACAGCTTGACCAACAAGGGATAGTCAAAGATCTTTGTGTAGACTGGGACATCCTTTTGCGACATCAAACCGGCGGGTCCAACCAGGATAAGTCTCTTCACCAAGTTAGGGCGGAAACTAGTGTAAGAAGTAGAAATGGCGCCTACATTGCCGTCGCGTTTTAGTTTCACCATTGCGTGTTACTCAATTCCTTAATACGCGACATTACTTACCACCAAGCGAAAGACCAACCACGTTGAATGTGGTGTCGCTCCATCCTACTTGTTGAATGAGGAATTCAAGTTGAGCCATGTAGAGGCCTTCATTGTAGACGGAGGCTGGTGCATCACTGTAACCTCGACCCCACAAGTCATATGTCAAGACGCGATATCCATCTTCGGCCAAGCTTTTGGAAATCTTTTCGAATATAGGACTGGGACAGCTGTATCCATGAACGAACACAATCTTCTCGCCATCCTCGGGCCCAAACAAGGCATATTGGACGAAGCCATGAGGAGTTTCGACGCTGGTGGAGTTTGGATAAAGCGATGTAGGATAATACGAGGAAGGATTGGCTCTCAAAGACGCCAAAGGCTTTTCTTTTCCACTAGAGGTGGCTAGCAAGAGACCGATAAGGACAACACCAGCAGCAGCGACCTTGCTCAACATGGTAGACAACTAAACAACACTCAGATAACGGGCTCATCCTTTTTGCTTGTTTTGATTTGAAGTCCGTTGACCTCCAAATCTCCTTTATGTCAGCCAATGTAAAGCTTAAATTCCCTCCCATTTGATAATCCATAAGCATAAATGAACCTTATAAAGCCATATCCAAAGCTACGGTACGGCGTTCGAACAATAGCCAGTACCAGCCTGCTTCATACGATGATCGCCCATACAAATTGCGGCTGGAAACTCTCGCTCCGATTTTCTGTGCAATATGGAACCGATGGGTCGGAATCATTGCTAGGGACGCTCTGGAAACCGCTCAATCACACCTCTTTATCCCCCCATGTTGTCGCCACCGGACGATAGTGGATAGTCCCAAAATGTTCAATTACAAACCATCCATATACAAAGTGCTATTCACCGTTGCGAGTTTGAGGCTGCCATATTTGAGAGCAAAGCTATGGCCTTGAGGTCAGGTGACTACTAGTCTGAGGGTGGCGACAGCAAGGACAGAGTCATCTACAACAGATGCCGCATGCTCATCAGCTCATGCCGACACGATTTTAGAGGAAGTGTTTGAGAATTTATGCAGTCTAACGTAAAAATGGTTGGCCCATCAATTTCCCGCGTAATCAAAAAATATAGCGCCACCCTGCGCACTGTCTGGAAAGTGTAGCTTATGCGTCATGCGACAAGGGTCTGTAATGGGGCCATTGCTTGAACACAGAGAAGTAGTCATCCAATAAAACCTTCTCCGTAGGCCCCAACAGCAACAAATACCTCTGTGCTCCATCCTTTCTGTAAATGGATTGCATCTTGTGATCGTGCTCCACCAATTTCAGCGTGGAGCGCCGAAAAATTTCGCCTGACCCCGAAAAATCGAATTCCCCAGCTTTTTCTTCTTTCTTCCACACCTCCTCCTCCACATAAAACTCACCGGCCTCTGCATTGATGTCCGTAGCGACAGAAGACGTCGTAGACAACGTCGCAAACCTACCTAAACATAAACCCACCTCACAACTCCATATTACATCATTACTTCACTCTCTTAATTCTCTCAAAAACTCGTTTAATCAAAAACCCAAAAACAACCCATGGCCCGGACGACGACGAGGCTCTACACAGTCAAACCGATCCGTCCATTTTGACCGGTCGCCAGAAGTACGCTATACATTCTCGAAAGAAGATTACGATCGAGGTGGCAATACACCCGATACCGATGATAGGCCTCCATCTCCTCAGTGGAAAACGAAACGACCTCCGTTGTTGGACGATACCGATGAAGATGACTGTAATATGAATTTGATATCTAATGCATCGACGAGCTCTCGCCGTCGTTCCTCCATTCATAGTTTTACGTAGTTGTACTTTGTACCCACTTGATACCCGTGAAAAAATTTTGTTGTGTGCTGCAAACCTTTTTTTTGTCTCTTTCCAGCCCAAAAAAAAAAGCAACAATCTTATCTAATCCACCTATGACCCACATTTAAATGAGAATTAAATTTTTTGAAAGCGCTCGCTGGCTAAGCGCGCTGTGGACACTTACGTTTGCATTGGTTTACGCTGCAAGGGGGATCATTGCCATTCATTACTCGATGGGTTTGCGTCGGAAGAGCCCTAACTGTTCACCCTTACTTTCATTCAGTCATGTGTTTTATAATTGCATACTCCCATAGCCTCGTTCTCCAGAAGGGATGGGCAATATTCCGTTTCGGTGGAGTCAGTGGGAAACAGAGTTTCACTTAAATTGTGAACCCACAGAGGTTTTGCTTTTGCCACGTCTTTCTCTTTTTCTCCACAATTGCATGAAATGCTTTCCATTACTAAGGCAAGAACTATCGCTTTACCCTCCTTCACTTTAGCCAGAAGGTCCATCGTATATCAAGTAGCCTCTCAGTTGGATCTGCCAATGCCGCATCTTCCTGCTGCCGTTTCCCCAGATATTCAAACTCATCTGGACTCCATTGAATCTCATATTCAAACCCTCAAAACCTCTTTGGATGCCCCGGATGTCACTATTGGCAGCTCTGCTATCCAAGTGCGTCGTCTCTTGCACTTGCTGGATTCAAGTGCGAACGAAATTAGGCAGCTGACTCACCATGGGAATAAGTCCTAATACTAGGAAAACCGGTATATAGTGAAACGGGTACCGTTTCCATCAGTTATATTGAAGATAGCAAGAACATTGTTTAAATAAATGAAGATGAAGTACCTGTCAAAATACATGTTTGCAGCATTGCTTAAGGCACATATTGTTTCCCATAAGGAGGAAGCCTTGGGTGAAAACCTCCTTTTGGTACTGGGGTCGTCTCACACTCGCTTACCCTTGGCTTGTTATAAAGTCACCTGACCTGGCTCCAGCAATGTCAACCATTTTTTTTTATGCCATTAGCCGCTCATGATGGCCAGTGCCTATGCCTAAATATATCAGAGCGAACAGGACTTTATAAAACGACAGATGTTCCTTGAATCTCTACTGAAACTGACTAATTCTTATCATGTATCCAACTCCACTGACTCTTATTCCATAATAATCGTACCCTTACTGGCTCACAAGATTACATACTACTCTCTGGTTCTATGGTTGCTCTGTTTTAAGACCTAGGTAAATTCTTTGACTCCTTCTATTGAACTGACAAGTATGTCAAAAATGACTCCTTATTTACACGTAGAAAGCAATTCAATGCTGGACGAGTGACTGCCGGTTGTTTCAATTCACCTTGCTCAGCAATGAGTTTGGCTCAGCAATAGCACGTGACTGGCAAAGCTAGAGGTTGAGATACAGTGAGCGTAAACAAGAAATTTCCCTTCAGTTCCTTTGCTCTACCCATTTCTCCCCTCCCATCTTTGTCCCATCCACCAAGGTATGTTATCTCAGCACATTTCAAGAAAACCATACTCTGCTCGATATCCGAATCTACTCGCACGCTCCTCGATCTCGTGGATGATCCTACCGGATTAGCTCCTCACGTAAACACGCGCGAAACATCATTGGATCAGTTAATCCACATGATCACGGACGATAGCCTGGATCATTACTCCATCTTTTGCACTCCCCATTCCACCTTTCTCCCTCTTTCGATGGCGGAATATTTTTTTTCTTTTCAAATCTCCCATGTCAACTTTGTGAGCAACAGGAGTTCATCGCTCCCAAAACTGACTAGTGATTCCTGTCGTTTGCTTGCTCACGATCATATCTGGAACGTCTGAAGGGTGCCGCATTTCTCTCTTTACACGCTTTTCAGCCCCCCTTTGTATCCATTCCCTTCACCCAAGTTGACGACCTTGATATATATGATCCGCCATCACATTTGCCCCCCATTCGTTGTTGTTCCTTTTCTATCGACTCATCCTTCACACAACAAACAACACATCGTGAGAGCGCGCGAGTAATGGATTTTTGCACCTTTTACAGCAAGGGAAGGCAGAAACGAGTGCAGTGTATATTTGATTGTACTTCAGTGGACGGTACCCCCCCCCCAGACGGTTGCGAACCTTATACTAAATGATACCCTTGCTATTATCCTCTTTTTATCCTGGGGGTTTTTTTTTCTCACCTCTCTCCAGTACAAAATGTCCGCAACTGACCACGCCGATGATTTGATCGATTACGAAGAAGAAGATGAGCAGACCATCCAGCAAGAAGTTGCTGCTTCCGCTGATGTCAGCGGTACTACCGGACAAGATGATGAAGACAAAAAGGACAAGAAAGGTTCCTATGTCGGTATTCACTCTACTGGTTTCCGAGATTTCTTGTTGAAGCCTGAGTTGCTCCGTTCCATTGTTGACTGCGGTTTCGAACATCCTTCAGAAGGTACGCAGCATTTTGCAAGATATCAAGCAATGGACCGTTTTATGTTGACATTCTTGCTTGCTTTTTCTAGTCCAACAGGAATGTATTCCTCAGTCTATCCTCGGTATGGATGTCCTCTGCCAGGCCAAATCTGGTATGGGTAAAACTGCCGTCTTTGTTCTTGCCACACTTCAGCAGATTGAGCCTGTCAACGGTGATGTCTCTGTCATTGTCCTTTGCCACACTCGTGAACTCGCTTTCCAGATCAAGAATGAATATAACCGTTTCTCAAAGTACCTTCCTGATGTCCGCACCGAAGTCTTCTACGGTGGTGTCAACATTAAGAAGGATATGGAGACCCTCAAGGATAAGGAGAAGTGCCCACATATTCTCGTTGGTACTCCCGGCCGTGTTTTGGCTCTCATCCGCGACAAGGTTCTCAAGCTCGGAAGTGTCAAGCACTTTGTTCTTGATGAATGCGATAAAATGTTAGAGCAACTTGGTAAGTGTCTAAAGGTTGAATACGTCCCATCCTGTTTTTGCCAAATCCAATTAACCCACTGGGCGTCCATTCTCTCATAGACATGCGTCGTGATGTCCAAGATATCTTTAGAGCTACCCCTCACCATAAGCAAGTCATGATGTTCTCCGCCACACTTGCCAAGGAGATGCGACCCGTTTGCAAGAAGTTCATGCAGAATCCATTGGAAATCTATGTTGATGACGAAGCTAAGCTTACCCTTCACGGTTTGCAACAATTCTACGTTAAGCTTTCAGAACGCGAAAAGAACCGAAAGTTGAACGACCTTTTGGACACTCTTGAATTCAACCAAGTCTGCATTTTCGTCAAGAGCGTTGCTCGCGCTGTTGCTTTGGATCGCATCTTGACCGACTGTAACTTCCCCAGTATCTGCATTCACTCTCAAATGAGCCAAGACGAACGTATTGCACGCTATAAGGCTTTCAAGGACTTTGAGAAGCGTATCATGGTCGCCACTGATATCTTTGGTCGTGGTATTGATATCGAACGTGTCAATATCGTCATCAACTATGATATGCCCGATGGTGCTGATACCTATCTTCATCGTGTTGGTCGTGCTGGTCGTTTCGGTACCAAGGGTCTTGCTGTCACTTTTGTCTCTGACGAAAAGGACGGTACCACCCTTAACGATGTTCAGAGCCGCTTCGAAATCAACATCACCGCATTGCCTGAAGACTTGGATATGACCGCTTACATGGCCTCGTAAATAAGCAAACCCCTTCGGTTTTTTCTTTTCGCCTTCCTTTTTATTCTGTTATATTTTCTTTCTCCTCGATTTTTTTTTGTTAAAATACTAAAAAAAAAAAATACAAACCGAAAGCCAACAAGACATGTTCCCATGTCACAGGCTCCTCTTACGGTCATTTTCTTGTATGCTCACTCTCCATTTGCTGATATCCTCAACGCTATCTTATAACTGGTTGGCTAACTTGCACGTTTCCCCGACCCGCGCAGCATAGCATAGTCAATAAAGCTTTCAACATCACGTCCCAACTAAATGCCTTTGGCTACATTTTTACAAGCTGTGTTTTATTATAGGTAACCTATGCGGACTTACTCCACAACAGTTGGATTATGTGGTGAACTTATTTGGCTCCCTTCTTGAGCTCTTCAATATCCTTCTTGAGCGACTCGGTGGCCTCGGTCTGCTTCTGGAGAGCATCACGGAGAGCCTTGATCTTCTCAGCATCCTAAGTGATAACAAAGTTCATCAGTAAGCACTTGCTTAACGCGCAAATATGATCACACTATGGAGGTTTTTCTACTTACGTGAAGACGAGCCCACTGGTTCTCGACAGCCTTCTCCTTGTCACTGATACCACCCTTGGAGGTAACGGTGGCACCTTCGGAGGGACCTCCAGAAGAAAGACGCTTGATCATTTGGGTGTTGGAAGAAATGCGGCGAATGGTAGTGCGGATCATAGTGTAGTGGTTAGAACAGTAAAGTGCAACGGAACGGTTTGGAGCCCTGCTTTTGAACAACTGTCCACGAAAAGAAACACGTCATATTTGATGCCGAGTTCCAGGTCCGCCCTGCATTCCCCGTTCCTTTCCAATATCGTATTTTTCTCTCGCAAACACTTATGGCTGTCAACGAGTGTGGAACCCATGATTATGCCTTTCTACAGCGGCTTCCTCCATTATGTGTATTGATCTCAGTGATGCTCAGCGTGTCTGTTCTTTCAATTTGACGTTGACCGCTCGGTTCATGCAATTTTGAACCGCAGCCCACTCCGAATCGTACAGTACGTCAGTGCTTTCTATCGTCGTTCGCTTTGTCAAGTTTTCAGTGCCGCCCATGTCCTTCGTATTCAAAGACAGCAGCATACCATGTCATATGCCATTAATTGAAACACAGGGAATGAAATTTATATGGGGCAGCACACGTCAAGGCAGGTTAACTGGATACTAACCTGGTGCATTGTCAGATTTCTTCGGATATCACATCCTATCTGACGAAGTAGCCTATGCTGTTCTACCAATGTAAGAATTCCTGCGAAGCTTATTGGTAGCATAAATGGCAGCTCAAGTGTATCACACTATTCTGAACAAGCAATGTATGCTTTACCTTACCATGCGGTCGTTACCGACCCCCAATGTCTATAGTGAACACATGGTCCAATATAAACATGACCCCGTACACAAAATGTAGATAGAGCAGCAATAGAAAGGTGGTAGCGCTGCAAAAGGCCGTGCTCTCATAGCTTTTGCAATGGCGGCTAACAGAATACTACAGCTGTCTTGTCTGGAGGGTAGTGTCTTTCATGGCGACGAGCGCCATAGTGAGGTTCGAGTGGCACCCGCCTGGGAGAAGAAGCATTCAAATTTGGCTGGCTGCACCCGCGTTTTTTTTTTTTTATTTCATTTCTGTGACCTGCCTTGACCATTGAATTCTCCCAATGGACAGCAGTATCTTCCCGCTGCCGGTCATAAGAGGCTTGACCGACCGACTATACGATAAACGAAAAGCTGCTGCGCTGGAGATTGAAAAGCTCGCTCGCGAAAATGCAAAGTCTTCAGAACGAATAACCCAAATCATAGACACTCTGGTGCAAGACTTCGTGTACTCCAACAACCCGAATGCCAGGAACGGAGGTCTTATCGGATTGGCCGCTACGGCTATAGCTCTAGGACCCGTAAGTGTGCCTTAGACCCATTTTGAAACTTGCAATGTCCGTGAATCTCAAACCAATCTGCATATTAGGCCGTCGTTGCATATCTAGATATCATTGTCGCTCCCGTCCTGTCCTGCTTCACCAACCAGGATCCCCGAGTCCGATATTACGCATGTGAGAGCATGTACAATATTGCAAAGGTTGCAAAGGGTGATATCCTGCGTTATTTCAACAGTGTGTTTGATGGCATGTGCAAGGTAAAGAAAGAAGAGGTTACACGTTATTTCTAATTGTGTCGTATGATTAACCTTTGACGATGACAGCTTGCCGCAGATACCGAAAGTTCTGTCAAAAGCGGTGCAGAGCTGCTGGACAGACTAGTCAAAGACATTGTGTCCGAGTTGTCGACCAAATCAGTTGCACCAGATCAATCTCCTTTGAATCCACCTGAAACAGATGAAGCCATTGAAGTGCCTGACTCACTACCACGAAACACCGCCTTCTCATTGCCCTTATTCATTCCTTTACTCAGTGAACGCATCTATGCGCAAAATTCGGCAGCTCGTCAGTTTTTAGTGTCGTGGATTTCGGTTTTAGACTCCATTCCCGACCTTGAGCTCGTCTCCTTTTTGCCAGAGTTCCTGGATGGCTTTTTGAACTTTCTGAATGATCCTAGTCAGGATGTGAAGGTTTCAACCAACGTCTTGCTTGCTGACTTCATGCGTGAGATTAAGGCCGCTGCCCATGCTGCATCGCAAGAGAAAGCCGACATGGCCAATCAAATCACTGAACCACAAAACACTGACCAAATCACACCTGGCGAGGAAAGAAAGCTTAATGACGACAGAGAATCAGACACTTCGGCTCTTGTGCCTACCACTAGTGACCGACAAATCGCCGACAACGACACCCTTCAAACCTCAGCGTCAGATAACTTTGAAGCTCCTATTTCTGAAAGCGAAGGCGTAGGAAAGGGAACCTACGTTCCTGGACAAGGCGTTATCGTAAAGTACGCCAATATTATCCAAATATTGATACCCCATTTATCTGACCAAGGTTTGTTATAAGCATCCATCTACTTCACATTTCTCTGTTTTTATTTCTGCCTGACTGATCAATTCATCAAGAGGAAGACATCCAAAACATTGCACTGCTATGGATCAACGAGTTTATCGGTATTGCTCCGGACATTGTCATGGAGTTTACGCCTCAAATCATCACCTCAGTGCTGCCCTTATTGGCTCATGAAGGCTTATCTATCAAAAACATGGCCATCGAAACCAACCGCAATTTACAAAAGCTTGTCTTGCAAAACCCATTCTCGAAAGCAAGAGTTGATGATCCCAGTTCGAATTCACAAGTGGATCCCTTTGACTACCAGAAAACAGTCAGCGAACTTCGACTACAGTTTTTGAATGAAAACGAGGAAACCAGAGTTGCCAGTCTGGAGTGGTTATTGATGCTGCATAAAAAGGCGCCTAGCAAGGTAAGGATGCACACAGAAGCAAATCAGTCCTGGCTATCCATTCCATTGACACATTCTTTTTGACATGCTGCAGATTCTTGCATCGGACGACGGCACCTTCCCAGCACTACTCAAAACTCTTTCTGATTCATCCGAAGAGGTAAGCAATCTCCCATTCTTTACATGATGCCGAGGTCTATTTCTCACTATCTTGGCATGCATCATAGGTGGTTAGAAGAGATTTGCAACTGCTAGCCCAGATATCCTTCCACTCGGATCATGAATACTTTCGAGGTTTTATGGTCAACCTACTATCCCTTTTCAGTACCGATCGACGACTACTGGAAACACGAGGAAGTCTAATTATTCGACAGTTATGTGTGAGCTTGGATGCTGAGAGGATTTATGGAACTTTGGCGGATATTCTCGAGAAGGACGAGGATTTGGAGTTTGCTAGTATCATGGTGCAAAACTTGAACATTATCTTAATTACCTCATCTGAACTGGCCGATTTGCGAAAGCGTCTCAAGAACCTTGAAACACGGGTACGTTGTTGCCTTACTACCTTTCAGGCCATGGTAGTGTAGGATACTAATGCTTCCGCATTCTATAGGATGGTCAACAGCTATTTACGGTTCTATATCGATCATGGTGTCATAGTGCTGTTGCAACATTTTCACTATGTCTACTAGCACAAGCATATGAGCACGCAGCCAATATGCTCCAAGTATTGTAAGTGTACTTTTTCACCTTGACCGATTTCTGTTTCCCAGCTAATTGCCTGTCTATGCTATCTCATACAACAGTGCGGAACTTGAAATATCTGTAAATATGCTGATACAAGTCGACAAACTAGTGCAGCTGTTAGAATCTCCTGTATTTACATGTAAGTTCACCAAGCCGGCTTTTTTTCTGATGGCATCACTCGTTCGTCTCACACACTCTTTCGATAGACTTGCGATTACAGCTGTTGGAGCCTGATAGATACCCATACCTGTTTAAATGCCTTTACGGTATTCTAATGCTCTTACCACAGTCCAGTGCATTCTCAACGCTTCGAAATAGACTCAGTAGTGTGTCTTCCTTGGGCTTCTTGAATGTTATGCCAAAGAGGTATACTTTGTTCGCCTATACTTTTTGCTGTCCATAATATTCAAACCTGACCAACGCCCTGATTTCCAGTATTCCTGAACCAGCCAAACGACAAGGTAGTAAATCAGTACCTGGTAAACAAGATGAACCTTCTATCAAGTTCCAAGACTTGCTATTCCACTTCAAGAATGTTCAAGCTCGTCATGAGAAGTTCAGGAGACAAGGTAAGTTACTTGATATGACTTGCTTCTCTATAAAGAACGAAGTCTGAGCAATTCTCCCTTCCAGTACTTCAAAACGTTGCTCGAGGAGCAGCTTCGCGCAACCGGCGAGGAAAGGAACGTATGCCGAAAGCTTCGTCTGGTGCACCACTCCCAACGGCATATACGGGCTCGTCTCAAGGTGGTCCAAGCATGACTTCGCTATTGAATCGAGTAGACGCAAGAGATCGAGCAAATGAAATTGGTAATGGACAGCGATCCTCACAAGAACGCTCAAGCAGTGCGACAAGATCTTCCAGTCCATCAGGTGGTAGGGTTGTAGGCAGAAGTAGACCACGTAAAGTATAGTAGTAGAAATTTTGGGGATATTTTGATGGAACGCAACAACAGACTTTTTTTTTTTTGGGCAATATCCCAGGACTGCATCTCCTCTACACCTTCTTTACCCTTGTTTACCCCAAGGTCGTGTAAAGCTAAAGACAATGTCTTACGGCTTGCAATATATACAACTTTTAAAGTCACCACCTAGTTGTGTTGCACTGAATAAGTCATTCAAAGTTGTACTGACCATTACCAACGATCTGACCGACGAAAAGTGTTACGACGAGATCACACTGGAATGCAAAGTGTACGATGGCAATGGGCAAGAATTCAATGGCCTTCGACTGAAAGACGGTGCGAACACTATAAATTACAACCCGTACAATGGAGGATTCTGCAGCTTTGAAGCGACACTGACTCAGTTGCCACCTTGTGGAACTGGCACCGCTCAACTTATGGCACACGCTGTCTCCACTCCACGGCCATCGTCCTCAGACAACGTTGATAGTCTCATGGCCATGATCGGATCCAATTCACTCATTATACCAGTGTGGACGACAAGCTTCCGTGTTGTAAAGAACACCAAAACGGCGCCAGATTCAGATAACCAGCATCAGTGCGAACGACGACTACAATTGTGTGCTAACCAGCAACTGCGAATATTAGAGGACAAAGAGGAGAGCATCGCACGGCATTTATGGTACAGTCTCTAAATATTTGCGAGTTTATCTGACATGCCTGCCCTGACACACTACTTTTTGGGGTGACCACCGATAGGGATAGTGGCGTGGCAATGTGTTGCTTTCTAGCGTCAGCTGCTAGTCCTTCCAACAACCCAACAATTCGCATCAACCATTCTTCCGTGGTCATTGAACTGGGTAAGTGGGGATGGTAACTCATGGAATTGTACGACCTGTATCTCACGTTAAGACCAGGCAGTGGTACGGGATTGGCGGGAATTTGCGCTGCTCTATTGTTCAAGCCGCGAAAAACCATTCTGACTGACCTCGATGATGCTCTCGAGCTATTACGATCCAATGCCCGTCTAAATTCGTCCAGTGCGCCAATTGAAATCCAGGAACTAGACTGGAACGAATGCGCTGCCGTACGAAGCTCCCTCCCTGAAAAGATCGATACCATCCTACTCAGCGATGTTTTATATAATCAAGAAAAGCACGATGTCTTATTAGAAGCCTTGGATCTGCTTGCCACTCCAAATACGCAAGTTCTACTGGCCGCGAAGGAGAGACATGTAGACGAACGGATCTTTTGGGAAAAGATACGGGGAAAATGGAAGGCCAAACTGTTATACCGTGTTCTCAGTAGCGAGATCTTTGAGCTGCAAAAGCTTCAATAGAGCCTAGAGAGTTATTGTAGGGCTGCTACCAAAAGTGTATGAAAAAAGCTGACTGTCATAATATGCTAGACGACAGTTAGTCAGGGAACAACATGTGTTTGGTTGGTATGAAGATATAAACCTGTTTGGCTGTTTAGATAGATTCAAGCCAATGTTCATTGATAAACTTTTTACACCCAAAGTGTTGCCATAGAAGCTGCACGGGTCATATTGGGGAAGCTCTTCGCTGTGTGACTTACTTATTTGATCACCAGTTGATTTTCTCATGCCCAACTTCAACTTTAATATCTGGAACTTATATTTTATTCTTCTTACCCCTTTACGCTTGCTTCTCAAAAGACACTATCCACTCTCTAATCAATAATGTCATCAGCAGCCAGCAGATTAGAAGCTATCAAGAACCAGGTCCTTTACAGCGGTCCTGCCACTGGAAAAGAGGATATTGCACGTGAAAGAGCCAACACTAGCTTCGACATCGATGCAATGAAGAACTTCTGGGCTGGTGGTGCTGAGGCATACGATACCCTGGTGAGTATGGTGCATACTGTAAGACGCGTTGACATCTACCTTTGGCTAACGATTTCCGTCAGCAAAAAGCCTATGCCATGATTAAAGATGACCCTGAAATGATCGTTCAGGCTCCACGAAACTTCCATGAACTGACTAGAGATGAACATCGAGAATTGTATGTAGCATTGTACCAACCATGATTGATCTAGTAGCTCTTTGCTAACTTATGCTGCGGGTAGTACTATGGGCCAGATTTACAGAACCATCCAGCTCACTCAGGATATCAAAGACCCCAAGATGCTCGACGCATTAAGAACGGCCATGATGTTAGTATCAACCTGCTATGGCATAGAGTCGTCAAACGAATAACGCTAATATCCTTCTTCCCTTGAAAGACAATACTCTGAGAGTTTCTCCATGCGTTTCTATGTGCACGAATTTTTGTTTAAGGGTGCATTGAACATGTTTGGCACCGACGAACAGAAGGCTGAATGGCTCCCCAAAATTGAGAAATGCCAGGTACTCGGCTGCTTTGCTATGGTAAGTTTGAAATGGTGTGATGGCATGGGGTTGGTGAAAATTGGGGCTAACATGCGGTTAATGAACGTAATAGACTGAGCTTGGACATAGTTCGTTTCTGAGAGGTTTGGAAACTCGGGCAACTTTCGATGTGGAGAGAGACGAATTCGTCATTGAGTCTCCGACTGTTACGTCCACAAAATGGTGGATTGGTATGGCCGCCCATACTGCCACTCACACAGTTGCGCTCTGCCAAACTTATATACATGGCAAAAATCATGGCATTAACTGGTTTATTGTTCCCCTTCATGACCGTGTGAATGGTGACTTAGTTCCTGGCGTCGTCACTGGTGACATTGGCGCAAAGTACGGTCGCGCAGGTCTGGATAATGGCTGGATTCAATTCAGAGGTGTCAGAGTCCCACGTACCAACATCCTAGGCAAATGGGTATCCGTCACTCGCGACGGTACTTTTAATCCTGCTCCCAATCCTGCTGTCATGTATGGTACGTTGATTCCAGAACGCCTCAGTATTACCACGGGCTGTCGTATCATGATGGGTCAAGCTCTATTGATTGCTTCCCGATACGGTGTGGTGAGACGACAAGGAGCCAAAAATCAGCAGATTATGGACTATCAGAGCCATTGTGTCAATTTGATGCCAGGCATTGCTTTCCAATACGTCCTGCGCTTGACCGAACAGTATGTTTACCGATTAATTTCATGTATATTCCGAATCAGGAAAGTTGATCGAAATTTGACTAACCAACCACGTGCAAATTTGGCAGAGTGTTCCAAGATCAATTCCAAAACCTGACTTCCAACGGAAAGATGGACCCCAAGACATATCTTGAAAACGTTGGTGATATGCATGCTGTATCAGCAAGCATCAAGGCAGCTTGCACCTGGTTCGGTAGCGACGTACTTGAGAGCTGCCGTAGGGCTTGCGGTGGACATGCCTATTCAGCTTACAATTCAATCGGTGGAATTATCCAAGATTGGGGTGTGGTGACAACTGGCGCTGGTGACAATGTCGTTCTGCTGCAACAGACTGGAAAGTACATGCTGTACGGTTTCAAGGAAGTAGTTGAAGGTCGCACCGCACGTGGAAGTATCGACTTCCTCAACAACTACTCAGAATGGTTAGCTCAAGATACTTGCAAAGTGGACGATGAACGGGACTGGCTCCATCCTTCCGTGGCAGCTGATGTTCTCACATGGATCATTGTTAAACAGGTAACAAAAGAACGATAGAAAAGTCATCCCTATGGTGTAGTATCATTAACGCATGTTGACAGTTGGAAGTCGTCGCCACCACCATTGCTGGATCTCAAGACAGCTTCCAAGAAGCTTTCAATCAAAATATGTTGCACATCGTTCGCATTGCCGAAGTCCAATGCTTCACTCATCTTCTTAAAACATTTATTACTGCTATTGATGATCTTGAAAAGCAGCAAAAAGGCGCTAGCAACAAATTTGAGCATGCAGATATCCCTACTTTGAAAAAGTTAGCCTCCCTTTGGGGTCTTCATGTGCTCTTCAAGTATATGGATTTTGCCACCATGGAAGGTTATTTGACAGCGTCTCAAGCTCGTGCTATCCAGTCCCAATACTATAAGGTAAGCCCCTTAGTTGTAACCAGGATTTCCAAGCTAAAAACTCGATCCGCTCGCTCAACGAATGTTTGGTTTACCTTAAACAGATTTGTATGGAATTACGCAAAGACGTTATTGGCCTCACTGATGCATGGGGCGTTCCAGACTTTATTCATAAAGCTCCCATTGGTAAATATGACGGCGATATCTATCCAGGTAAAAAAATTTAGGCATGTCTGTCTCCAGTCTTGGCGCTCAGTCCGACTAACCTCTTACATTCAGAATACTTGAAAACTCTTGTCGATGCTCCTGGCTGCTTCGGGCCTCCTCCATACCATTCCAAGTACATCAAACCCCTCACTGATCCTTCTTTGAACAAATAAAGAAAGACGGAACATGGCCGATTGACGGACCTTCTAAACGTCTTGTAACTTATAATCCTACAATACAATCAACAGTGTGATTCCTTACAGCAGACTCAGCCTATGTGCTCTATGTTTTGTCTTCATTAGTGTTATTTCATTTTTTTTTGCTGCCATCTTTGAGCAAATGAAAGCGAAAAATTTGCCTAAAGCGTCCCACTTCTGTCAGCATTATGTCACATCCATAAAAAATAGCAATTGTCATTGATAAACTCCGACAAGCACACTGATATCATTATTTCTTGATCCGAGACTTTTTCTCTTCTTCTCTTTGCTTTGAAAGAACATTATTCCCTCTTCCCTACTGAACTTTAAATGACAGAAACCGTCAGCTCTCCTAGAGAGAATGGAAATGATATTCATACCAAAGATCATGTTACAATGCCAAACGGAGACGTCAAGCTGGATGAGATGAACGAGAAGAATAAGCAGCAGTACAACCAGAAAAAGTCGAAGACGCTGAACAGAGAGAGCTCCTATGGCGAAATCCACGAGCAAGGCCCTGAAGCCTTTTTTGAGGCCGACAACAATGCCAATGAGAACCCTGCGCCCATTCCCCATTTACAGCAGGTGCCACGGGGTGACAGCTATGACGAGTCGCAAGAGAAATTAGACCACGGCTACGTTGGAAAGTCATGGCGTGCTGATAGCCGACCAGGATACAGCAACAAAATATATACATCCGTCATGCTGGAAGACAGCGAACACGAAGGTCGTCCCAGCGTCTACCTGTTTATCTTCGTCAACCCTCTCAGTGGTGATCAGAAGGGCCAAGAACTTACCCGAATGGCCATTCAGAGTTTCCGCTTGAAGCAAGCTCCCGAAGTTCAAGTTCAAATTTACAACATCTTGGATGACAAAGATCGTGAACTTGGATTTGAAATGCTCAAGCTCGTTGAAGGCATGGCCGAACGAGACGAACTAATGCCTGTTCCTGAGAACTCGAAAATCGGTACAACTGCTCGAAGAAGACAAATTCATGTTTGGAGTGCTGGAGGTGACGGAACCGTCATGAGTGTCTTTGAAGAACTTGTCTCCCATAAAGTCAATCTCGATATTGTTTATTTTTCATGTAAGCAGCTGATCCTTGTCAAGTTTTGATGGCTGGCAATGTGTTCTAACCTCACCCTTCAGGTATACCCTTCGGCACTGGAAACGATTTTTCACAAGTTTTAGGATGGGGCCGAACTATTCCCAACAAAGATATTCTTGGAACCTATTTGAACCACTTGGTGGATCTATCTCTTCAACGTCTTCAAGGTGAGGCGGCCAGACTTGATATCTGGGAACTGGAGATTTCTACGCACGATACTGGTTACGCCCGCAAGGCAGGCAAGAAGCATCGCGACGATAATTCCAAGATCGTCACCAGAAAAATGTGTAACTACATGAGCATTGGCGTTCAAGGCTACGTAGGCAGTGGCTTCGAAAATCAACGAACAGGAACACGAGAGTTCAATGTTCTCGTCTACGCATATGAGAGCGCAAAATGGATGCGCCGAGGATTCCCACCTGTCACTAAGATGATAGAAGGCATGACTCAAGGTGGCAAGAAGGTCTTGCGATGCCGTAACCCTAATAAAAAGGGAGTTCACAAAGCTGCTGTAGAAGACGAACCTGAACAGGAAGATGAAAATGTGCCAGTCATGACGAAGCACCCCATCGACTTTGTTATCCAGAATATCCCTCATATTTGGTAAGTAGTTATTCTTGGACTACGTATGCCTATTTTTTTTCCTCTCTTTTTTAACAGCTACTCTGTTTTGCTATAGGGGAAGAGAAGTTGATCTGTGGGGAAATGCTGTGTCTGGTTTGGAGGTAGTCGACAACCGTACGGGTCCTACTGACCCCTCCCTTTGGTCTCCTCAGCGTGCGAATGACGGAAAGATGGAGGTCTTGGTCCTCAACAGCATGTATTCTTACCTTAAAAAACTCGCCAATTTCCAGGACCATGTTTCACGTGTTGGCCAATTCGCCTCTCCTTTCCAAATCGATTTTAGAGAACCAGATCTTACTTATAAGAGCAAATGGTGGAGACGCAAGAAGGACAAGACGGACTATAAGGATCCTTCCGTTATTTGCATCATGTGCGATGGTGAATTTTATGAAGTCAAACACCCAAAATCTATCAAGTTCAGAAGATTTGCTCAGATCACCACCTTAGGAAATGCTGAAGGAAACTCACGCCTTGTTCGGGACGAAAAAGAGGCTAAAGAGAACAACACTGGTGAAGAAGTAGACAGAGCACAGCAAGATGTTAATGATTATGTCCAACCCAGCGAAGAACGAGTAGAACGTCAACCCGAATTGAACGGACCAGACCCTTCCCAAACTAATGAAGAAGTCGATAACACACCGGCTAAACCCGTCGCAAAAGAAGGCCCCCTTTAAGAGCATTATAAATGCTCGCCAAAATTGATATATATATATTTTTTCTTTTGTGTTTTGTTTGGTTGGTTATTATTCAATGTTCTTCTACCTTTAGTTTTGGCCGCTCTTTGTCATAACTCGCCATGGGCAATCGTATATCCCACTTTCTTTTACATTTATATAATCTACTTTTTTTGTAATTTCATGACCAGCGAATACATTTTGTAGAGTGGAGATTGGTCTTGATATCCACAGGTATTAAATAAATCGTGTACAACTTACCCGTAAGTGAATATAATAGCTATTGGCAAGGATTCCATGGTAAACTCGATATACAAGACAAAAGATTTCCCGTCTGTCTACACCAAACTGACTTTGCTCCAAGATGCGAAGAATTGAAAATACCGCTTTGTAAGTTTGTGCTGCTTTATTTACAATCGCAAAAATTGCTTTGGGAACAATATTTAAAAGTTAGGCATAGTACAAACAGGGTATTCCAGCTCGTAGCTTGAAATAATAATACTTTACTGATTTTTTGAATTTGGACAGAGACCATAATCCACTGTCAAAATCTTCAACATTCCAGTCACATAAAAGGCATGATATCGAAACTCACACTTGTAACCTGCCAAATTACGGTCATGCTTACCGTGCCCGATAACAAACTTCTCGTATCCAGCCCTTGATCCATCATATTAAAGGATCTGTTGTTATTTGTTTGCTCCATGTTAAAATTTACAGTATCATTCTTGTGAGTTATATAACGGTGTTCTCACAAAGTCTCAAGCGCAAGATCTTCTTCCTTTTACCAATACACGGCTTTGATTCAATGGTTGCTCTCTCCGCTCTGCCAACTATTGCTGTGATAACTGCAATCGTAACCACAGTTTCTGTCTCTTTGATAACTCTGGGGACCGTCGTATTTATATACCGCCGCAAACGTACCCAATCTCTCATTCCTGAGACATCGATGGTTAAAACTGAGCTTAGTGCTCTAGGACTTGAAGAAGGCGTGATATCCCCCATGAGTGAACCAGAAAGTATGGTTCACGCCACGTTCCCAGATGAAAAGAAGGAAACTCAGGTGGCGGAACAAGAAGTATCCCAAGTTTCGAGCGACGATGAAGGAGAGGAAACCAAAGAGGAAAATAGTGATAACGAATTTGAGTTTAAGCGGACATCTTCCCAGGACTCTGCATGCTTTACCGACCCTATATGTCGATCGTGCTTCAACGACACTTACAACAGCACTGAGTCAGATGATATGGATGAAGAAGACATTGTGACCACGGCCTGTGTTCATGGGCTCAAGAGGGATTGGACAAGAATAGAGGTTGTTCTACCAGAGGTCTATACCAGCAGCCAAGAATCAATCTTAGATGCAGTGGTCTCCGCTTCTACAGCTTAAAAACTCGTTTTTGATTTATCGTCACTCATTTCCCAGCATGTATCATTATCCCCCCCCCCCCCATTCTGAACGCTATCTTTAGAGCAAACCTCTCTGATCAACAGTAATAATTATTGTGTTCGCTCATTAATCCTCTTGATAAAAGTATAAGCCTTTACATATTACGAATGGTAGAGCTCCATATATACTTGTATTATAGCACAAATGAGAAGAGGAATTAATAGTGAATGTTGGAAATATTGTACAAGGAGGCAGGCTACATGACATCACTATCGGAAAATGGCAATTAAAGAGAAGAGAATGATTATAAGAGCAATGACAATGCATATCGATTCTACATCGTGAAATAGATATTAGTTGAAAAGATAACAGACACAGACATGAAATAACGGGGGCATGACACTTACTGTTGTCTTTGACTCTTCGACCAACATAATTCAGTCTCTTCTGAGCATTTCGCAGGCGGGTATCTGTACGATCAACCATTTCATCCGTTTCCTCTATGAGCTGAACATGAGATTCTAGTTCATCTCCAATAAGCAAACCTAGTTCTCTTTGACGGCCGACGGCCTCGCTCAGCATGTCTAGATTTCGATCTTGATCTAGTAACATGGCATATATTAGAAAATGAAAATCAATTCGCATACCGTATTAGATACATACCGTCCATCATTCGAGACTGCAGTTGCAAAATCTGTCCATTCTCTAGTTCGCGGGGATTGACCTCGGTATCGTCTGAGAAGCGCACAATTTTACTGGAATTCGCTCGCGAGACATTTCCCAACAGCACCTGTCGAGCGTCCTCATCACCTTTGTCTGCGAGCAGAGCTTCCAGCTTATCTACTTTTATCTGAAGCTCAATGAGCTTGTTTTCGTCGTCCTTGACATTGCTATATTATGTGGGTGCAACGCTAAGCAATGATGACAGTATATACCAGTCTCGCCCTATTTATTTAGATTTTCAACTTACGAAGCACCAGTTTGTTCCACTCTGTTAAGCTGTGACTCTAGAGTATGCACGTTTTCCTTGATTTTCGTCATATTCTTCTGTATTGTTGCTTCGTGAGATTCGTAATTTAGACTGCAAAAATCTAATTAGCAATGAGAGCTGTGGGGCGAAATGTTAAGCATGTACATACCCCATATCCTTGAGGCGGTTGCGTTCAAAGACAACAGACATTGAGTTGTCCGCCAGGATTTCAGTCCGAGTGGCAAGTTTGGAATCCATTTGGCTGAAAGATAGAGAGAGAAAGTACAAACGTTCCTTGTCTAGGCAGTTGCACTTGGCAAGTGATGCTATGGCCAGCCATCTGGTCGGAATTTTGTGTTGGATAAGTCACATGACTGACAGTCTGACTGCCCAGAGAAGACGTTTCGGTGTCCTGAGAGGTACCAGCATATTCTGATATTACAGACGAAGACTCATTAAGGTGTGAATTCATTGCTTCAAACGTATGGGTTCAAAGTAAGCTAGTCTAAATGACATGTGCTGGCAGAACGGGGGAAATATACCGTGCCAGGCACATTTCATTGAGTAGTTTACACCCTTTCAGACTTTACACATTTCCATGGTAGTCATCTATTTTTGCATATCTCAAACACCTGTATCCAATATTATGTTCATTCTGCTTTGCCCCGAAGTTTTCGATGCAGCAGCTGGGCTGGATTGGAAATTCGGAGCTGAAAAGTCGAGAACATATGCGAGTTAAATTTGACGGCTGTAGGTTCACTCCCTTCACCTTCCACGCATACGAATGCAGCGACCACTAATTGAGGTACGAGCAATGTGGCAAACACAGACGAAGGAAGCGCACAGATAAGAACATCGTGATACTTTTTGCAGATCTGCGTCGATTCAGCTGATGCTGCATATGCGGCTGGTGAGCTTTGCTAAACACGCCTAGACAACATAGCGCCGCTCGCTAATAAATTGACTTTGCTTTAAGAAAAGAGTGGAGCAGACCGGATAGAACTTTGTAGTAGCGTTAAGGCATTGGGTGGAGTTACTCCGTCAGCAGGTAAGCCTCTTCGTATCGAGCAATCTGACTTCAATGTCTAATACAATGACCAAAAGGTAGCATCTTAACGACACTAAAAGCGATCAAGATTCCTGTCATGGTAATTATGTACCCTTATGCATTTGTCTCTGTAGTAAATTGAGTATTAATGTTTTTTACAGGTCATTGTTCGCCCACGGTAAGTTTTATTGTTGTATGTGATGCTTGTTTCATCGCGGCCAGGATAACACTACAATCCAACAGAGGAGGCGACTTTCTGTACACTGAACTGGAATTTGAAAGCATGATTCAAGATATCAATTTCATTAAACAAGCCGGCGCTCATGGAGTTGTTATTGGGATTTTAACGGCTGACGGGAAGGTGGACATGGACCGAAATAGATGGTAAAGTAAATGGTAGATCACTCCAGAATTTGTTGATTTCGGCATTAATCAGGACCAATGAATATATCCAGTCTCATTGAAGCAGCACGGCCCATGGAAGGTAAGTCAAATCTCATCTATAGGCCATACAGAAAAATTAAGTAACGCAACAAATGTAGTCACATTCCATAGAGCGTTTGACATGGTCGCGGATCCTGTGGTGGCACTACATGACTTGATCCACTTAGGAGTTGATCGAGTATTAACAAGGTGATTAATCGTTCCTTCGAGCTCGCTGATTGTTCCCATGATTTTACTTTACACATCCTCTATACAGTGGCCAACAGAAAACTGCCGTAGACGGAATTGATGTGTTAGCTGACCTGCAAAAACACGCAAATGATAGAATCATAATCATGCCCGGATGTGGTAAGTACACAAATCATTGATATGCTTCCAATCACACGAACTTTTCTCATTAACCATTTTTGAAGGCATCAATCAACATACTGTCCGTAAGGTCATGCAACATGTTGAACCCAAAGAGATTCATTTATCCGCGTTAAAGACGGTGAAAGGAGGGATGTTGTATCGAAACATCCAAGCTTCCATGTCATCGGATAGCTCGAACGAACAGGAGTACAATGTAGACGTTGCCGATACAGATAAAATTAACGCTGTCATCAAAGCACTGGAATAGCTTTAGCGCCTTCGATTGTATTGGAAAGGAAAAAAAAAATTAAAAAAAAAAATTCAAGGTCTATATACAACTCGGTAAACTTTGGTTATAATATCTACTGCGCAACTACAGACCGTTGCACCTTTTCCACGTATGCATCCAATCCCTTTTCCCATCGCTTGAGCTTGCCCTTTTGAAGGACATAAAAGTCACCTTTGGGACCATCATCTTCGGTCTCTTCTTCGTCGCTGTCATCAGGATCGCCTTCAATGAGCTGACGCAAAAACCATACGTCGTGGCTCACCAAAACAAGAGCACCACTGTATCCGCTCAATGACTCGACCAGAGATTCAACTGTGCCCATATCCAAGTGATTTGTAATTTCATCGAGCAATAGAACGTGAGGCTCCATGAAAGTCACCATAGCAAGCGCTACTCTGTTGCGTTGGCCACCACTGAGCGATCGAATCGGCCGCCTGACAATGTCGCCGCTCACTCCAACTCCACCATAGTGCGCTCGGCATTCTTGTTCTTTAATTCCTGGATACAACTCCATCATTTGTTGAAGGGGCGTCAGATTAAGGTTGAGCTGATCCACTGTGTTTTGCGAGAAATAGCCAACGCGTAGACGATGGTATTTTTTCAGCTCTCCCTTTGCCGGCGCGGCTTCTGCAGCGAGTAAGTTCATCAGCGTCGACTTGCCGCATCCGTTGGGCCCCAAAAGAGCTATACGTGCTCCTTGAGTCACATCCAGAGAGACCTCATTGATGACTTTCTTTGGCCCATATGAAAACGAAACATCATCAAGTTGAAGAATTGGTCCATGGTATCGTAACGGCTCAGGGTCAGGAATCTTAATATCAGCCGTCTTTACGCCTTCCTCGACTACGATTTCGACACGAGCACTGAGATGGTATCCAGCATAGTAACTTTGCTTGAACCTCTTGCCGTCCTCAGTTTTCTCCATTCCCAATTTCTCCAGTTTCTGTAAAGGACCATTCGTTGGTAAGCACTCACACGGGAGTTCTTCCTAAATTCTGGTTGCAATTCATTACCTTTTTGCGAGAGGCTATTAGACCATGACGCTTGTCATCTCCAGTCGATTTGGCCTGCTGAGCATTCTTCTGAATGCTTGCCATCATTTGCTTTCGTCGTTTTTCCGTAATCTGTTGAAATCGTCAATGACGGTAATAAAATAAACCAAGCAATATTGATTATACTCACATCCTTTAATCTTTGCTTGCGGCGTCTCTGCTCCTCCGTGTTCTTCTCCCAGTCTGCGTAATTTCCAACGTGATAAGAAAGTTGCTTATTTCTGAAGATGATGGTCTCCTCAGTTACTTCATCTAAGAAATTGCGGTCGTGGGATACCACCACAATTGTTTGACCTTCTGTATGATTTTGTATGTAATCTTGTAACCACAGAATGGCCGGTAGATCCAAGTGATTCGTAGGCTCATCCAAAAGAAGAATATCTGGCTTCATGAATAAAGCTTTGGCCAATGCGATTCTCATTTTCCAGCCTCCGGAATAGTTATCGATTGGTTTCGAGATTTCTTCTTCGGTAAATCCAAGACCATGAAGAATTCTTTTGGCTTTGACTTCATCGGCATCGAGATCCATCACACCGAATGTTTCAAAAACTTCGGTCATCATGTCATTCACCATTTGCGGTGTAACAAACGTATTAGGGTCAGCAGCTTCTAGGTCCCTGCATTCTTGCTCCACCTTGTTGAGATCTAAGCGTGCATCCCAACCACGGGCACCGGATCGCTTGGTCGCTAATTTCTGAGCATGATCTAGTCGATCGTTCGCTCGGTCAACCAGAAGCTGATGGACGACCTTGTTCAATTCTGGATTGGCTGCAGTGGTGGAAGCTCCAGAAGACGACGACATAACATTCTGCAATGCCTTTGCCTCATGGATCAGTCGTACTCTGTTTTTATCCGCATGCAAAACCTCGTCAACGACATTTCTGCCAGCATGAATATCTTCGAGCTGAGCAATATGCAATATTCTGACATTTTGCGGTAATCCGACCAAGGTATCGTTGCCCATCACAGACATGAGTACTAAGGCCACGATTAGTCAATAGCCAGTGTGCATGTATTTAACAGCTTTGACATTCCTACCTGATTTTCCAACACCGTTTTGCCCAACCATACCATATCGAATACCAGCTTTCAGCTTCAAATGCGCATCAACTAGTAATTCCTTACCATTAACTACAACATTTACACCCTTGATATCAATTTCAGTATTGCTGGCGTCGAAAGTTTCGCGATGAAATCGACTTTGCTGCGAATATGCTTGAATTTCAACAGCGGGTTGGTCTTGATCTGATGAATTAGGAGTAATTTCCTTGTTTTTCTTTGATCTTCTTCCCAAGAGTTTCGATTTCGCTGTTGTCTATTACAATACACTGTTCAATGACGCATCGTAACTTCATTTGGCTCTGGTGTGGAGTATACCTTATTATCGACCTTACTAGACGAATCAAGAGACAAAGACTCCATATCTTTGCTTGTTTCGTCTATCCGCAGTGGTTTTCTTAAAGTCGGTACTTCCGCTTGCGTTGAAGGGGTTGCGGAATCCAACTTCATTGTCGCATAAAAACGATCGATCACAGATTGATCATCTACCGCATCTTGCAGGAATTGCTCAGTTGCTTCGCGAACCGAGTCGAGATCAGTCAGATCTTCTAAAATGCCATTAATGTATTCGAGGGTATCTTCATCTATGGCAAGCTTAAACGCTTGAACTTGAGTGGCGAATGCCTTTTGAGCAGCTACCATGGCTGTAGAAAGTTTGCTTGAAAATTCACCGCGCGCCACTGGAGCAATTATATCAGTCCAGTGGCGCAGCAATGTTACTGCGGCACTCAGTTTTGCTGTGTTACGGCTGAAACGAAACCAAATCTTAAGTTTGAATTAGAGACCTTGTAATATGAACCCGTTTGGATACTGCCAGATGCCGAATAAGAGCGATAATTATAAGGTAAGAAGCTATGCTGCATTTTTTTGGCCAGAGCCATCCTGTAAAGTCCGCAAATGGCATCAACGAAGATCAAATGTGTGGAAGAAAGTACGAAAATGGGGATTGCAATTTTGTGGGGTGTCTATGTCATGATTCCTTCATAACAATATGCCACAACAGATACAATGTTATACAATATGCTCTTCCTTACTCGGTGCAATGACAGATCATACCTGAAGGCAGTATAGGCAGACGTATGTTTGACTTTTATAACCAAGTGTAAGTGCAGCTAAGCGAAATCAACTTTTAAGCTGGTGTTTATCCTCATTTTTATTGCTATGATACTTTGGAGTCTTATCGTCAGTTTATCAATTGGTTTGCAGTTGCCCATACTTACAGATACTTAGCACATGTTACATCTACACTGTCATCAAATAGTATTGATCATTACAGTATCTACGACATTAAAACACTCAAACGTTTATGTTAGCTTGATCATTGAAATCTTTGATGTCACGCTTTAGAAGCTTGGGCTTATCGATTTACAGCTTTTGAAGGTTTGAAAGAATGTTTGTGACAGCCAATTTTACCACAAGGAATGTGTTGGCACGCAACCATATTTTATGAATAAGGTCAAGATGGCAAATTACATGTAGCATATACGCCAGCTATTAAAGCGCACTGACTAACTCATTTTTGTATTCTTTTCTCATTGCTACAAACAATGGAACAGCAAAAGTATGAGCCACTCGACGAAACACCATCAAGAGCTGATATGCAGGTCGCACCGGAAATTGCTTATGACAGCCTACCTGAACATGACATGACTGCAGTAGATCATGAACAAAATCAAAGACTTTCTCAGGCTCCAGCGTATAGCCAACATGAGAATCTGTCGAGTGTTCAGTCAGAGAATCCAACTAGGCATTCTCACGGCGAACTAAGTCAAGATAGTCATAATGTTGCAGAAGAAAGCAATGATATTGAGTCAAGCACTGAAGATGAAATATTTGATAGCAACAACGACACTATGCACTTAGAAACAAAATCAGTTACAAGCTTTGAATCTGACAGTATGCTTACCTACCCACAAGGAGAAAATATAGATTTCCACGAAGGAGTAGCAACTACGGTAGACGGAAGATCTTCAGCAGTGCAGGAAGGACTATCGATACAAGAGGTTGATGCCGCACGGAAGGTGAATGTTCTCTCCAACGGCATACAAGACGATATGGTCATCACAACTCGTTCCAGTCAATCGAGCCTCAGTCAATCTTCAAGCAAAACATTAATTGGAAAGCCCAAAACTATGCTCTATAGTAATAAGTCAACGCCCTATACATCTGTAATTTCAGGGCTATCGACTCCGGCAAAAATCAGCCATTCCAATACACATCATTATTTACCAGCTACTGAAGGAGCGGATCAGGTCATCATCGATGTCAAACATGAAATAATAGATCCGGATTTCGATACGTCCTTACAGGAGAAGCGAAGACCTGTGAACAAGAGAGGTGTTTGCAATCTTATGACCATATTTATTATTTTAGCAATCATTGTTTTCATGTTTGCTGGTTATCCCTTGTCGCTCTATATATCCAAACAACTTCATCCCAACGATTCTAATCCCAGTTATAGCGCAAATTAAAAAGGGCAAAATGGGTACGAACTTGGAAACATAACATTTGGCATTTACAACAGTACTACAATGATCACATCTTTCAATACATATAAAATGGGCCCTACAGGCTTTTGCATCTAATTATTATTTTGTGCCTTTATGAGGCGGTAGTTGTGCGTTGTCGCTGTTCCACTAAATGGTCGATTGCCATCGGCCGATAGGCTTCGAGACCAGGAACATCCCAACCAACGATCTTAGCGTTATCATCCCAACGGCGAACTTTAATCTTCAGTTCATATAAAGGATCCTTCTCAAACTCCTCTATTTGTTGCTGGTTGAAAGGCCCACCCTATAGACATACCACAAATGACGTCCGTTACTATTTCCGCGTATTTGAATACTTTAACCTCACTTGGTAAATATGAGCACATACCTGATATTTCAGAGAAAGCTTGCTAGCATTGCTCAGGCCATCATAATACTTTGAATCCTTGCCAGTTAAATACCGCTTCACCGCTACATGGGCTTCTACAAGTGATGCAATTTTTTCGGAAAATCCTAATCGTCGCAAGTATTCGGCGCCAATACGTTCATGGCCACTCACTCCGACGCTAAGTTTTTGACCTGACTTGCCTGCTTCAGAAGAGCCATCGGGATTTGCCAATGTTTCTGCATCACACAGCATTTGCTTGTGTTCAGCACCGGTTGCAAACTGACCAATGTCATGTAGAAGAGCGGCAAGGACGGTTTCGCTATCAGCATCTATTTCATACAAACGTTATGAGCATACAGATTTGAAAATATCAACCGGTTGGCAACATGCTTACGGGCTTCTTGAGCTTGAGCTGCTGCTTGCAAGCTATGGGCAAGTTGTGAAATGTTTTCTCCTATGTAGCCTTGCTTGCTGCCATCGATGAGTACTTGAAAAACCTTGTCAACAACTTGTTGGCATGCTTCACGATCTTGTTGAGTAGACATGTTCCTGATATAGATTGTTCTGACAAACTCTCCAAGGGAACAGAGTGTGAAATACAAGTATTTATTTGGATCCGCTTGTTATGGTGGAAGCTGAACTTTATTGGTAAGGCTTCGTCCGCTCACCGGAGGTGATGTCTCATGAATAAATTGCCAGCGGAGTTTCATACTAGCGGGCCGATGGTTCGGACGCTGGCCAATGTACGCTCGAGCTCGAAACACGTCGGCCGGATGATGAACAAATATGGGTTTCAGACATCCAATGACAAAATGCGCGATTTTGTCAGACTGCAATGAGTTGTTATGGCCCTGTTTGGACGAAAATAATGGTAGTCAGATTCAATGAACGCCGGGGACCCTTCAATTTTGTGTTCGGATGGTGATCTAATGGCTACGAATGATAACAGCCGAATCTGGTCACATGTACCCTCCTGACTGGTACTAACGTTTCAATGCTGCATTTTAAGGTTTTTGTCAGTAGTCACCATAGCCGCGGTTTCGGAGGTGCCTGGTGGTATAAAATATAGGATTTCAATGACGGATTTGATGTTCCTTACCAAAAATGACAGTCCCAGCTCGTACCCAACCCTACACTTTGAACCCTGACCAGATCAAGGCTTACAACGATCAGGGCTTCATTGTCATTGAAGATTTCTATACTGCTGAAGAGCATGCCTCGCTCGTTCAGTATTGCAATGACCTTCAAAACTGGGGAGAAGCCAAGGGAAAGTGGATGCAATACTATGAGAAGAACACTAAGAGTGGAGACAAGCAACTCTGCCGTACTGAAAACTTCACACCTTTCCACGAAGGCTTGCGGGAATACGTACGCAGCCAGCGTTTGATGGATGTGTTGAAGGTGCTTCACGGAGAGGAATATATACTATTCAAAGAGAAGGTCAATTACAAGCTTCCTGGCGGAGGAGGTAAGAAATACCCATTTTTGGTGAAAATATATCTGTTTAAGATGTACTTAACAAGAATCTATAGGCTTCCCTCCACATCAAGATGCTCCTGCATTCGTTCAGTTCGGTCAGTCATCACATATGACCGTCATGTTCACCATTGATCCTACTACTGCTGAGAACGGATGTCTTGAGGTCGTTCCTGGATCCCATAAGAATGATTTCGAGAGACGCATCTTACCACAAGAGAAACACGATGGTTCTATTTCAAGAGAATGGTGCAATAAGGAAAACTGGATACCAGTCTATTGTAAACCTGTAAGTAGAAACACATAACTGGTTTGGAAGTTTAATCTATTGCTGATTGTGAAAACAGGGCTCAGTCTTGATCTTTGGTGCCTACTTGGCTCACAGATCTGGTGACAATCTCACCGATAAGTCTCGAGTTGCAGTCTATTTGACCTACAACGCTGCTCGGGAAGGTGACAAGCGGGATCATTATTATGATGAAAAGAGACGTCTATTCCCTCCCGCCTCCGACAGAGAGGAAGGAAAGAACTATGGTGAGTTGGTCAATCAAAAGGGAGGTAATCAGACAACACGAGATATTAACAATGAATATTACAGATGAGGGCGCTGTTATATACAATCTCGCAACGCCAATTACGGAATAGTGCACCCTTCGAGTATTTTTTTAGTCTTAGTCATTTAGAGAACATTCATCAAAGTAGTATCGGCTTTTGTATCCGCTACCAAAGTAATATCACAAGTATACATATCCATCACTGCTTGTATTGGTCAACTATGGTATAGGCTGCTCGAGGGAAAGTCGGCTGATAGCATTGAGTATCCAGCTCGTTGAGACAACCTGATACTGCATCAACCAGCTTTGCGATTTCTTCCACTTCGTCGGTATTTCTTGCATAACAACCAAAGGACGATCGATATCAAGCTTTCCGTTTCCTAGTTGTCCACCTTCAACGTCTTTCGGCCGTCGCTGTAGTATGCGTGCACCCGCAGATCGTACTAATATCATCAAGTCGTTTCGTGAAGGAAAAGATTGAAACTCTCCATGAAAATATATTCGTAGGCCATGAAATAACTCAAGCTTTGGCCTATATTAGAACGAGGAATTTTCAGTTTCAAGAGGGGGAGATGCTTACATTCGATGCTTTCATTTGTCGTCCTTTACGTGGAGCCAAGCTGTTTCCTGTTGTTAGGTCACCTGAAACCTCGTATTCACGTTCATCAAGCCATTGTCCAGCAATCATACTCTTCACAAGCCCTATGGAGATAAGACTATGTGTCACTAGTATGCTAATTAGAGACAAGGTTTACTAGAAACTCACACTGATGGCCAAGAACCCATTTTCCCTTGACTATAGCGTTTAGGTATTTTTGCGTTCGTTTGCAAAGATGCTGATCATCCATACTAGTAATTACATGCGTGACTTCATCGTCTATCCATTCCGTATCTTTGTACACTTCAATTATTATGTCGGTCCCGCCGATCTTCAGCAAAGCTGCATTCACCTCCTCCTAACATACATGCAATTGAGCCTAGATATATTAACTTCGTTTAAATGTTCATGTCTCACCTCGTCCTTAACAACCAAACCAGTATGATCCAATTTTACAACCTTTCCAAGCTGGTTTTTACGGTCAAGTAGAGATTCATTTCTGACGGTAGAAGCCGGCTGCTCTGGCTTTGAAACAACCTCTTGATCCTCTTGTGAGGCTTGCACTTCATTGTTGATTCCAGCTTCAATTTTCTGAGCCTGCGTAGCAACTTCAGCGTATTCAATTTCTTCGTAAGAGTAACTGCCCAACACATATTGTCCAGCAGGTGTAGTTCGACGTCGCTTTCTATATGCTTCAAGAAAGGGCAAACTCTAGGTGAAAAAACCATTTAAGATCATCTAAACAATTTTTAAAGATATAACAATTGGGTACCTCATCATCTTCAAAGGAACATGAAGCTACCTTCATGTAAGAATCGTATGTGCTGGACCGCAGCTTCTGTAAGCAAACCGAGAGTATGTCTAGTGTATGGTATGGCTGTAGGTTCTTCACGATAGCAGGTAATTGGCATTGCGGGCACCTTCCTTTCTCTCCAATTTCATACAAAACACAGTCTCTATAGGCGAACCGGTCAACATTTCCACAACTTTCATAGATCCCATACAAATGCACCTTCTTACTGGCAAGAAAAATGACCACATTCAGAAACGATTCGTGTGTTCGTTAAGGTTTTGTGACTAAGCGCAGAAAGATTTGTAAATTATTCGTAGTTGTATTGTATCAAGACTAATCATTTACCATATTGGGCAGGCCAACGACGACTGCATTCGTTCAAACGCATTGGCTATTCTACTCATGGTTATTTAAGAGATTGCCCGAGGGGTTAACTATTGATGAGCTTCGGCGTTTAAAAATTTATCTGCATCAATTTTGGGCTTGATTCGGTTTGTACCCTCCTTCTTTTAATCCACATTGCTTGCAGCTTTTTGCCAGCAATATACCAATGATAATAATCTTAGTATCAATTGCAAGATGTAAAACTTATCTACACGGATACATGCAAAAGATCAGAAACGCCATATGCCGCAACCACTGGCTAAAGCCTTTCAAGAACAACAGTTAAGGGAAACTACTGTAAACCCCACCAAGCATAGGAGTCATCGGCTTGATTGATATCAGATTACAGCACAAAGCTATACAGATGATACATATAAGCGAACGTGTTTAAACGTCTCAGCGACGTTTTTACCCAACATATGACAGTATTCGTAAACTTCTACACCGAACAACCAGAAATCATTCCCACCATGCTGAAAGCTAAGAAAATTCAGCCAATTCTCAAGAATCACCACGGTTTAACATTATTTGGAGTCTGCTTGTCAACTTGTCTGAAATCCAAATGACAGACGGATGGAAAACCTGTTACATGTCCCAGTTATTGAAACTGTAGTTTCTGCAGACCCTACGGCCATACCAATCGAATTTCCATCCAACATTTGGTGTTAGATTTCCATAACTGGAATGTACGTACAAAGCGATTGGAGTCCTATAAGGACAACGGCTAAAACATCTCAGGAAGTATTGGCACGACTTGGAAAATCAACAGCAAAAGGGACTCCGTTTGAATGGACTGGGTAGCACAGCCTTTAGCGGAAAAGCCTGGAAAGAAATTTGGAGTCTGGATCCCACATACGATTCGCAGCGCTGGTGGCGAACCCTCCTGCAAAAGATCTCTACAAATGAGAGGCTTCATAATGTTATCCTTGGTAAGCATAACACAACATGTACTCAACCGAAGACATTGATCGTTTGCTATTCGACTGTCCACCCAGAGATCGATTCTGGTAATACGTCCTTATTTTCTTGAATATATGACTGGTTAAGCATCTCCCAGGGAGATCGCTGACCTGACAAAATATTGTAGAAAGTTTCCAGTATCTATGGAGCAAAATAAGCCTAATCCGCAACCCCTCTAGCGTAATTGCATTGAACATGGCTATAGCGACCGTCTGGCGCTACCATTGGGAATTCGTCTTCCGTGATGAAGAGCAAGTCAGACTGACGTATGAGCAAATGGTGAAATCGTTGCGGCACACCTTGTCGACAAACATACAAGACGACGCAAAAAACTAAAAGGCAAGTTGCTTCCATGTCATCAACTTCTTTACACCCACAAATATATCGACTACCTCGCCGGCTCGTTCCTTAGAGACGCGCCAAAAGATGTACTTAGCGAAGGAAAATCTCACTATACATAGAAAGAACAATTGAAGATGATATCATACAAGCCTTCCTAAGCAAAAGAAACCAAGAAACGAAGGACTGCCCATTGAACCATACATAACCTTAAAAGATACACTCCTGATACACACAAAAACATAACCTTTTTTTTTTTTTTTTGTATTCAGTTCACAAAAACATAACCGCAATGACCTCCGCAACTGCTGACCCATAGCCCTTGTCAATACTGACAATAAACCATTTACCAGAATTCTGACAAGTAAAATGCAGCTACTAGTCATAGGAGCGACCTTTGATGCTGTCAGTATAGTCAATATTAGTACCCATATAAATGATAGGTCAAGGAAATAAAAGCACCTCGATGAATACCAAAAAAAATTGGTTAGAAAACATATCAGTATCACAGTTAATAGAAAATCAGTTTTGCATTTGCTCCATGAAGTTAAAAGATATCGCTTTGATCACCTGTTCAACATGCAGCGTCTTTTTGCTAGCTACATGGTATCTGAGGTAGACTAAACCGGTTTCAAAAAAATTTGAAAAAATATCTGTTTGGTTGTTGATTATCATCATTGTATTTATCACAAGTCAAAAAATGTGTTGTTGAACAGAACAAACATTTTTTTTTGCCTTCATTAGAGTAAAGATATAGGGTGAATTCATGTCTTACATGATAGGCATTGCTATTTTCCTACGTATAGCATTTTAGAACTAATTATTAAAATCGTCTGCTACAAAAAAAAAATAGGAAGGAAAAATATTATATATTGGGACTTATTGGACAGTTAGCACGTTCGCAGGGACAATAGTTGGCTTCTTTTCTTAATAGTGCCAGTGTTTAATTCAGTATGAAGCAGACACATCAGTTGTTTTCTATCACTTAAAATATGTTTATTGTAGATAGACCATTTCTTCCAAGCTTTCCTGTTGCTGATCTCCTCGTCCTACTGATGCAAATAGATTAACTGTACAGAGATCATGTCTTTTTTTTTGTATTCAGTGAGAGACCATGTCAGATAATTTATTGACCTTCTATGATCGTATATCATGTTGATGATATTCATTCGTAACTTCTAATGATTTTCGCTGCCAAATTGCTTCAAGTTGTGAAATTGTGAAGTAGACTCGCTTGTTGGCTTCTTTTTACTGTTATTTAATTCAATTCAGCTCATTAACAGCAGCTTCATAAACAACTCATTTGACTTCATGTGGGAGAGGTGCTGTTCCACGTTCAGTAACGGCCGTGGGGTTGCTTTTGCGTGAAACTCCAATACATCTGTCAAATTTTGCGAAACCCCGCAATGGAGCGCTTGCATTGTAGAAAAAATATTCTTTTAGGTCTGGATTGCTGGACATGCATGTTGTATATATCTTATTCTTTTTTTTTTTGGATGCGAGTTTTATTCTGCTATCTGCTCGGCAAAGCTAAGGAAGTTGAGATATTTTCAAGATATAAAGGAAACATAAAACATAAATTCGAAAAAAAAATGAAACATGAGAGCGAAGAGGATAAGAAAAAGTAAGAAGGCTTTGGCATCAGTTTCTAGAAGTTTACTGAGAGTCTAGCCGTGGTAGAATGGTAAATCTTTGTGTCAGACAACAGGAGTGGTTACCAGAGCTTTGCCAGCAAGTTGATGTGCTCGTGGGTTGTAGTTCTCGGAAAGCTTGACTACATACAGTACATTTGTGTCGGCAATTCACTAATAGATTAAAATCACCTTCCTACATGTATGGCACATGTTAACCTTATAAATGTCAGGCTGTCTACGATACAGCCAAATTTTGTACGGCATTTTACTACGCAAGAGACGCCACCAAGCAGTTCTCACTTGACGCGATATGTCTTTTATCCAAAACACTAACACTAAATGTTGTACGGAGATTTTTAATGGTACCGTTGGGTCTACCGGAACTGCAGCTTCAAGCACTGGAACGTATAACAGCCAGTTCTTCCATCCCTCTGCTGTTGGATCTTCGGCAAAGTGATCAGCATGTTCCATATATATTAAGCTGCCAGTGATTTCTTCATTTTTTTTTATTTTTTTTTAACAAGAGTCAATGTTTATTTCAGTGCAAAATAGAAGTTAGAAGTCGCAAAATTGTGAGATATAATGTACTGCTTATAGGGGTATGAAAATGCGAGGGCGGATGATATGGACAGAGCCATTGGACCACTCCAC